TTGATAAGACAAATTTGAAAATAGTAAGACTGAATTTGTTGTGGAGCTGTGTACAAATGATGATATTATTGCTACGATGTACAAAGCTTTATTTTAAAATATTAACAGGATGAACAAGTTAAAGACTGTATGATTCTTTTCTTCTTTTTACCCCTTATATAATAAAGCCTATAATAAAGATTATAATAAAACCAATAGTAGGCAATGTGGGTAGCATTATTACACTTTTTGCTCATTTACAAATATTTACTTACTTATCATTTGTTAGGTTCTTGGCAATTCACAATAAAATAAAGCAAAACATCATGCCCTGGTGTGTGCTGAAATAAAGCAGCTGCAAATAGGACCTGCAACAACATTTAATGTGGTGTTTTGCTCTTTTACAAAATTTCCCATTATTCCTGGATGGTATGTTTCATTTCCTTCTCTCCACTGCCAATTTCAAAGTGTCTGGTGGGTTCATCACCTGTGCTAACATATCCTTTTGATTGTTGTTTTTTTTGGGGGGAGGAAAGGTATGTAAAATAAGTTGTAAAAAGAAGATAATTATATTCATTATTTTTCTGATTAAGCCATAAATCGTTGAGCTCACATCAAACAGTAAAGCATAGTTTTAAGTCATAAGGTGAGGGAAGTATATTCAACTTTCAAAACTTAAGCAAATTACTTAGATGTTTGTGTGTGCGCACTGACTCCTGGCAACTATATGGACAAGCCTCTGCAGTTTTTTTGGCAAGTTTTCAGAGGTGGTTTGACATTTTTTGCTTCCTAGGGCTGAAAGAAAATAACTGGCCCAAGTCACCCTGGCTTTGTATCTAGGCAGGATTAAAATTCATGGTCTCCCAGAGACATTATATTTTCGCTGAGCTGTTTTAATTTTTTTTTCTTCCTAAGAGGGAAGGGGACAGAGAAAGAGAATGAGAGAGATATGCATATAATTCTTTAATATAATTTTTCCTGAATTTATAATTCCAGCCACTTCCATGTTATTTTCCTTACTCCTACCAGCTGAGAAGCATTTACCTCCCATTCAGCTTTCTGCAAAGTTTGAATTTGCTAAGCTTACTGATAGCTGGTACTATTTTACCTACATAAGTATCCCTACTCACAGCCTGAGTATTGGATATCAGAGACAATCCAAACAACAGTAGGAAGGATTCTTTGTTGAAAACACTGAATAATCCAAGTTTTCAATTAAATTTAGAGAGTAAATGTTTAGTTAACATCACTGTTAAATGCTTTGTGAGATAAGGCCAGAATGCTCAGAAATAGTATAGCCAATATTTATTTTAAAGCACAGATTTACACAATAAAACTTTCTGCAATCATATATACAACTGTATATCAGTCATATTAGCTGGAACATACTGTACTGTATCCAAGTATTTCAGTTGAGATATACAACAGATATTTTAAATAATATTTCTTTGTGTTTACCACATGACATTCCTTCCAAAAGCTACTTTATAGTTGGCTTACAGCCCAAGAAATGCTCTAGTGGAATACAACAAAGCTGTTACAAATAAATACTGCATGACACTTAGGAACTTGCTAAAGGCTCCTTATTATATTCTCGCTCAATTAATGTCAGAATATTTTATCTTTTTATTCCATCTCACAATGTTAATCAAATGACATTGATGAACCGATTTTCAGGTTGGTTTTAAAAGACAGGATTAGTCTAGATTGAGGGGATAGAACAGTGCTGAAATGTAGTGAACCCAACAAAACTGGTTTAAAATGGTAGCACATAATTGCCTAACCCAGCAGCTCTATTTATAATAAAGTAAGATACCACATCCAAATTAAGATTATCCAAGACAAAACTGTTTGTTCAAATAACATAAATTTGGAGTTTCAGTTAAAGAAATGCACAATAGGAAGGATAAAATTGCGAAAAGCACATATTAACAGCTTAATTTTTGAAAACATTTGTTCATGTGAATGCAGCCAAAATTTGCATAGATATACAATAGAATTTTTCAGGTTTTAGCTTCTAGGGAACTGAGGAATTCCAGTAATCCTAGAAACTGGGTTGTATGTAGATAGTTTTTTTAAGGTCAAATATATAAAGAGATGCAGATGATTCTTTCCAGTAGTATGAATTTTTGATTACATATAGCACTAGGAATCAAAATTGTCATGAAAATACAAAGAAAAAGGTACCAAACTTGAACAATTGTTTGACAAATGAGCAAACAAATAATTATGAAATAATAAAATTTTAAGTCTGTGGAAAGACCAATGTTAGGAAAGAAATCCATATAGTATGCTTGGTAAATATCAGAAATCATTACGTTTTGGCTGGTTTCACTTATTTTTCTAATCAATGGCTCACCAAAGAACGCAGGATTCTTATTTGAAGAGGAAAGGAAAGGAAAGGAAAGGAAAGGAAAGGAAAGGAAAGGAAAGGAAAGGAAAGGAAAAAGAGGATTTTACTTTGCTAGTCATAATCGATTATAGAAGTGGTACTCGTTGAGCAGCGCTGTCTGAAGAAGTTTCAAGGGCCATTTGAGCCAGTGCTGTCCAAAGATGTTTCCTTGGTCATATGGCCAGCATGACATTATGGAGTGGTGTTTCCTCCCACTGAAGCAGTACCTATTTATCTACTCACATTTGAATGCTTTCAAACTGCTAGATGGGCAAGAACTAGGCAAAGATGAAAGCTCACCCTGTCATGCGACACTAAGCTATTATATCTCCCTGAGAGGGCACAAATGACCAGGTCAAATTATCCTACTTCAGACATATCACTTGAAAAGTCTAAGGTGCTAGAAAGATGAAAGGAAAGAATATGGGTAACAGCAAAGTGGATGAACTTACCGGTAGTTGCAGTGATTTGGGTGTGCCATTGGAAGATCTGGAATATCATGTTATAGACAGATTGTAATGGAGAAAATCAGTCTATGTGTTCGTTAAGAGTCAACAGTGGCTTGTTGAAGAAATCATCAATCAGTATATAGCTCTTAACAGTCAATTGAGATTGACAGTTTGGCCCAGTGTGAAAGCCAGTTGGATGACTTTGGGCAGTCACACTCTCTCAGGCCAATTCATTTCACAAGGTTGTTGCTGCAGGGAAAATACAACGAGGAAGCTATATTTGCTACCCTGAGTTTTTATAAATAAATACAAAGTTTTATAAATAAAAATTATATCTTCTAATAAAGGTAGAATTTCAAAAAATAAAATTCAAGTTGAATTATATTTATATTATATTAGGCCAATTAATTATATTAGGCCAATTAATTATCTTACTTGAGCTCTTCTACTTGCATCATTGAAAGCAAAGTATTTCAGAAAAAAGTATACTCTAATCCTATGAAGCTGTGAGCTAAATAACTCTAAATTAACATGTTTTATTTGATGTTGGTTGAGCATCTTGTGTAAACCTAATTTTTATGTCCTGAGCCTGTGCAAGCAGGCTCGGGGCATTGCAAACGGTCCCGGGCAGGTGCAAGTTGCCCGGGACCAGACAGGCTGTCGCCAGTACTTGTGCGCATGCGCAAGTGCTGGCGCGCCAAAAGTTGCAGATTGACCCGGGGGTGGCCTATATAAGAGGCCAGGAGTTTGGGCGTTGTCGGCGTCTTCTAACTGTAAGCTGAACTAAAGAATAAAGAAGTTTCCTGAGAACTACAACTGCTTCTCGTGTCTTGCCATTTCGCGAAGGACGCAACACTGGCGACGAAGGTGGGATTGCCTTACATCAACAAAAAGGTGTAAGCTTACCCGAGGAGTCCTGAGCGGCAGGAACGGCGTTGACTTGGCAGCTACCCGCCAATCCAGCGTGCATTCGGGGGTAGGCTGGCTGATAGACTCTTCCTTCTACAAAAATGGCAAAAATTGGAAGGCTTTCGGAATTCGACGTCTCACATCCAGAGAGGTGGGAGTCTTACGTAGCCAGGGTGGAAAACTACCTCAAGGTGAACCAAGTGAGGGAAGATAGTTTGAAGGCTGCCATCCTGCTGTGCGTTTGCGGTCAAGACGCATTCGAAATCGCCGAGAACCTTGCAGCACCTGTTCCTTTAGATTCTGTCAGCTACGCAGATCTAAAAAAGCTACTGAAGGAGCACTTCCAGCCTAAGATGTCCGTCATCGTGTGGCGCCACACCTTCGAGCAGAGGGATCAACGACCCGGAGAATCGGCCAAGGAGTACATCGCCGCATTAAGGAAAGCTGCCAAATATTGCGAGTTCAAGGACCTCGAAGAACGACTGAGGGACAGATTCGTATGCGGGCTAAGGCATGGAGAGTTACAACAGAGACTTTTTGCTAAGGAGGACTTGTCTTTCCAAGATGCCTTGAGAGAGGTCACCGCAGAAGAAGCAGCGGGCGGCGCCATCAAGAACATGCGGCCGATCAGGAACAGTCCAGATGCTGCATTCGTGCACCAGGAAGAAGTCCAAAGAAACTCTGAGGAGGATCCGGACGAGGAAGTCGACCGTCTCCACCCCACAAAGGAAGGGAAACAAAAAGGAAGCTCTTCAGCTCTCCCCAAGTGCATCGGCTGTGGAGGTCGCCACAAGAGAACCGACTGCAAGTTCCGCTCCGCTGTCTGCAGGGCGTGCGGAAAACAAGGACACATTGCAGCTGTGTGCCTGGGCCGTCAGAAGGTACAATCTCAGGAAGAATTGCGCCTGAAAGGTACCAGGGGTCCCAGCCAGAGTAGGGTGGGGTTTTGTGCTTCGCGAAGAAGCATCTATAGGACAGGCACACAAAAGCCCATTAAGAAAAAGCTATCACTTAAGGTAAAGCTACAAGGGGTTCCATTAACTATGGAACTGGACACGGGGTCTGCACTTTCAATCATTTCTATGCATACATTTAGGAAGATTTGTTCCGGCAGCGGAATCCAGGCCAAGTTGAGGCCTTCTGAAATTGTGCTAACAGACTTTCAAAACTCCAGAGTGTGTGTTAAGGGGGAGGCCACCCTTAACGTGCAATATAAGGATTTTGAGGGTCCACTAGACCTATTAGTAGTAGGAGGTGAACGAACGAGTCTCATAGGACTCGAGTGGTTTGAGGCCTTGGGGATACACGTCACAGGGCTCAACAGTCTACAAACACTCGACCTACAGGAAGTCTGCAAAGAATTTGCAGATATTTTCAGCCCCCAGCTGGGCACATTCAAAGGACCCCCTGTGTCACTAAAGCTAGACCCCACTGTCACTCCCATTAGAACAGTGGTTCTCAACCTTTTTAATGCCGCGACCCCCAACCGGTCGTAAGTCGAGGACTACTCAACTGGTCGTAAGTCTACTCAACTGGTGCAGCACCGTTTGCAGACTGGGACTTTTGGCGGGCTCAGCAGGGCAGAGACAGCCTGGACAATTCCTATTGGTTTTTGAAAGCCAATAGAATTAGACTCTATTCAAGAGAGTCTATTCTATTGGCTTTCAAAAGCCAATAGAATAAAAGGGAGTAGCACAGCTAAGAAAAAGGGGGAAAAAAGTGGCGGATTGCGTTGTTTGGAGACCCCCATGAAATGGTCGTTCGACCCCAAATGGGGTCCCGACCCACAGGTTGAGAACCACTGCATTAGAATTAAAGCAAGAAGGGTCCCTTTTGCTTTAAAGAGTAAAATTGACACTGAGCTGGATAAACTGATCCAACAAGGGATTCTAGAACCTGTTGACTCCAGTCCCTGGGAGACCCCCATTGTCACGCCTCTCAAGGCAAATGGGGACATTCGCATCTGTGCTGATTACAAATGCACTCTGAATAAGGCATTGCAGCAACATGCCTACCCTGTTCCTGTGGTCAGCCATATTCTGGCCTCCCTCAAGGGGGGGCGTGTTTTTGCAAAGCTTGACCTAGCTCAAGCATATCAACAGCTGCCTGTTGATGATGCTGCTGCTATAGCTCAGACCATTGTGACCCACAGAGGAGCCTTCAAGGTAAAGAGGCTACAATTTGGAGTAAATGTCGTTCCTGGGATTTTCCAAAGCGTAATGGAAAACACACTATGGGGTATACCAGGGGTTTGCCCCTACTTTGATGATGTCTTAATTGCAGGAGACTCCACACACAGTTTAGCTGAAAGGCTGAGGGCTGTCCTGTCAAGGTTCAGGAAAACAGGCCTCAAACTTAAAAAGGACAAATGCAAAATTGGGGTGCCTTCTACTGATTTCCTGGGGTTCAAAATTGATGCTGCTGGGATTCACCCTGCTAAATCCAAACTAAAAGCTATAATGCATGCCCCTAGGCAAAGTCTAAGGCCGAACTACAGGCCTTTCTGGGCCTTCTGAATTTCTACAATTCTTTTCTTCCACATAAGGCTAGTGTAGCTGAGCCTTTTCACAGGCTATTAGATAAACAGGCAGTGTGGCAGTGGTCACAAACACATGAGGCAAGTTTCAATGAGGTCAAGGCCTTACTCACTTCTAACAGTGTACTTGCACATTTCAATGAATCCCTTCCTGTGTGCATCGCTTGTGATGCTTCCCCTTATGGGGTAGGAGCTGTACTGAGCCACCTCAGGTCTGATGGAACTCAGGTTCCTGTTGCATATTACTCCAGAACATTATCTTCTGCTGAGCGTAATTATGCTCAAATAGACAGGGAGGCCTTAGCTGTTATTGCTGGGATTAAAAAATTCCATGATTTTTTATATGGTAGGCATTTCGCGGTCTTCACTGACTATAAGCCTTTGCTGGGACTGTTTACCACACGTAAGCAAACCCCCCAAATAATCTCCCCCAGGATGCTCAGGTGGTCTATCTTTTTGTCTGCATATGATTTTTCCCTACTTCACAAGCCTGGGAAGGAAATGGGCCATGATGATGGCCTCAGTAGATTACCCCTGCCGGTAATAGAAGCTGACCCCGCGCCAGCTATCAATCTTCTTTCTATCCAAGCCTTGCCTGAGTCCCCTCTGAATGCCAGGGATGTAGCTGCTGAATCGGGCACAGATCACACACTCTCACGTGTCCTTTCTTGGGTTTTGTCTGGATGGCCTGAGCACTATCCTAGTCCTGAGTTTCAGAGTTTCTGGTCTAAAAGGAACGAGTTGTCCACCTCTCAGGGTTGTCTGCTTTGGGGAAGCAGAGTTGTCATTCTCACCTCAATGAGGACTAGGGTCTTAGGTTCCCTCCACGAGGGTCATCCTGGCATTGTACGAATGAAGGCTCTTGCGCGCATCCACTTGTGGTGGCCTGGCCTAGACAAAGACATTGAAGCTAAGGTGCATGCATGCCACCTTTGTCAACGCTCGCGCCCTGAAATGCCCGAAGCTCCTGTGCATAGATAGGAGGAAACACAGTCTCCATGGTCTAGGGTGCACATTGTCTACGTTGGGCCCTTTCAGGGTCAATTCTTCTTGGTCCTCATTGACAGCCATTCAAAATGGCTTGAGGTTGTACCTGTCTCATCCAACACCACTGCAAAGACTATTCAGGTACTGAGGGGGATTTTTGCTGCACATGGGCTCCCAGACGTCATTGTGTCTGACAACGGCCCTCAATTCACTTCCTCCGAATTCCAAGCTTTCTTGCAGGCTAACATGATTCGTCATGCCACCTCTGCACCATTCCACCCGTCCACCAACGGTATGGCTGAACGCATGGTTCGCATCACCAAGGACGCCTTGAAGAAACTCACCTACGGAGACTGGCATCACAGGTTGGCTGACTTCCTCCTTTCTTATCGCACTACACCGTCCACTTCTACAGGGAGAAGCCCAGCTGAACTTCGTTGGGGGTGCAAACTGACTACCAAGCTTGACCAGTTGCATCCGGACAGACTGCCTCCTTCTGTCTCTCACCCCAGGGCACCTAGGCAACTACTTGTGGGTGCCCCGGTTTGGACTTGTAATTACGGGCCTGGTCATACATGGGTCCCCGCTTCTATATCCAGGGTCACAGGTCCTCTGTCTTACGAGGTGTCCCTGGACAACGGTCGTGTCCTGCAGTGGCACATTGACCAACTTCGCCCTCGTCGGGACCTTCCCGCTGAGACTCCTGGGTCTTTTCCAGGGGGGAGGGGGAGCCCTTTGGGCAAAGGGAGGGGCATGGAATGATGCCCATTATCAATAGGGAAGCTACAAACAGCCCATCTCAAGATTCCGTGAGTGCTCCAAACAGGAATTCAAGGAGCCCAACTAGATACCAGGCTTCAACGCCTACTCCAGCCAGGGAGTCACCCCAGGGGCATAATCACTACTCACCCGCATCACACAGTACTCCAGTCAGAGAGGATACCCGGGAGCATCCCAATAAACCATTCCCCGCAAGAGACCTGGCACACACTCCTTCTAGTCGGCCCAACACTACCCCTGTCCCCAGAAGGGGGCAAACACACAGGGAGGTGGTCGAGGAACCAAATCCCGACTACAACACCTCTGACTATACTCAGGGGACAGCTGAGTTTTGGAACAGTACTGAAACCCACACAAGCCCGGACACAGAACGGGATTCAGGGGACAGACAGCCTCCTGACAGGTCTTGGACGGACCTAGGAGGTTCTACAGAAACGCCCAACAATGACAGTCACTTAAAAGGGCCAGAGAGCCTACAGCTAGGCGGGACAACCAGGTCACACAGAGAAAAGAGTCCTGGCCTGACGAGCCCGGTGGGCAAGCAAGCAGGCCAGGCAGTGGAGCACAGCCCTTGGGAACCCCCAAGGCAAAATAGGGGGGACAGGCACGCATAACCCCTCAGTCAAAGGGTACTTGGCAAGCACCCAGAGCTTAGGAGGTCACAGAGAGCAAGGAAATCTCCCAAGTATTTGGAGGATTTTGTAACCCTCTTGGCAAAACAGAGCTAGTAGAAAAGTAAAGCACTGAGGCTGATGGAAACGGGGAAATACCTGGTAGTGGGGAGCATGGCACTGCACTAAAGAGATGAGTTATGTGGTATTATGGTATGAGGAATAGTTTTAGCCTGGGGGAAGGGGTGTTATGTCCTGAGCCTGTGCAAGCAGGCTCGGGGCATTGCAAACGGTCCCGGGCAGGTGCAAGTTGCCCGGGACCAGACAGGCTGTCGCCAGTACTTGTGCGCATGCGCAAGTGCTGGTGTGCCAAAAGTTGCAGATTGACCCGGGGATGGCCTATATAAGAGGCCTGGAGTTTGGGCGTTGTCGGCGTCTTCTAACTGTAAGCTGAACTAAAGAATAAAGAAGTTTCCTGAGAACTACAACTGCTTCTCGTGTCTTGCCATTTCGCGAAGGACGCAACACTAATAACTAAATGTTGTTTGTCAGTGTTGTTGCCCTTAGTCTAAATAGGGGCACATAATGTAATCTCTGTCCCTGATACCACACTATACCTCATCTTTTACAAATAACATTTAAGGAATAATAAAAGAAAGCACTAGCCTTTAATCAGGCTCAAGGAATATGTCTGTAACCTACATAAAAATCTTTAGATTTATTTGAAGAATTGTATTTAGCTGTGTGGTAAAAGAAGAAGATAAATGGAAGCTGGGAACATCCTAGGAAGGAAGCAGGATGGTGATAAGTAATCTCACTAATTTATCTGTTGGTGAATATTTTGTGATTTGTTTCATGCACAATGGCAGCCTTTTTTGTGAATGTGCAAGCTGCCATAGCAGCCATCTTGTATCATGTTACAAATATGCATACTGTAATAGTCCTGATCTAACTTCTCCCTCTCATGCAGTTAGTAGAATGGACACACATAAATTAGTACTGGGAATACTGTTAAGACTCAGCCATACCAATTAAATGTTATATCTTTCTTAGCAAGGGACATGAAAACATAGGCAACCACAACTGTAAAAAATAGTATTTTATTATAGTTTTAAGGGTAGCTTATAATCAAGAACAAAAGTTACTTTGGAATTTTTCAATTTCAGTTTAATCAGAGATATTTTGATCATAGACTGAGATAAAATTTAAATGCTTTAACACAGTACAATTTGATTAATATCATGTTTGGATTAAAACAGGAATTGGTTTTCAATTTTCAGGGCCGAGATACTCTAAAACATTAATATAAAATATTGTCTCTGTAAATTTGTTTGTCTGTCTGTCTGCCCCCCCCCTCTCTCTCTCTCTCTCTCTCACACACACACACACATACACACACACACAGACACACACACACATCAAACATGTATGAATACACTCAAGATGTTTATTAAGGCTAAGATTGGAAAATAAATATATCATGTTTTTAAATAACTACATCTTAACTATCTATATGAAATAAAACAATTTGTCAACTTCATAAAATTAAATGTTTCCTTTATCGGTTAAATGTTTCCATTGGAAATCAAACGATCACAATTAAAATCATAGTTTTTAGTGAGAGGATGAGTTGTGTTGTTATGCATAAATATAAATCTGAGCTTTTACATTTGACATTGCAATTCCTTCTCATTCCACCTTCATTTTTAATCGGTATATCTTCCTTAGAGAAGTCAACTACAAAAAAAGTAACTTTTTTCTTAGTCTCTCCAGGAAAAAGTATGAGTGGCTTCCAGCAGCACTTCTATCTTTGTGTCCCCTGCCCAAAGCACACGATTAATTATGTGCAATCAATCCCTCTCAAATTAGTTTGTGAATTTGGGATAAGATCTCCTAGATTTAAAAAAACAGCTAAATTTTATAAATCAATAATCAACTTAATTGATTATTCTCAAAAAAATATAAAATCTTTAATTTGCTTAAAGGAGTTTCTAATGAATGTTACATTTTAATATTGTATTCAAATTCAAAATCCTAATCAAAATAAAATAAAAAAAATCACAATTTCATTATGCAATGTATAAATTTTTAAACACTTGTTGATAATTATTATCAGTTCATAACAATGTAAAGTCACAGTTTTTAGCTGGTATTGGCCTTTTTGCTCACCAAGTTCTTCCCAAGCATCTAGGATGTAGTAATGTATTGGCATAGATAGTATATGTGCAGATACAAGCACTGCAGCCTTTTGCAATTGACACATGAAAATTTTGTAAATGTGCAGATTTTGAAGTACTGTTCAAAACTTTTGGTGTGGCACCCAGTATATCATATTGTTGTTATTATTTATTAGTCACATAATCACCCAGATGTTTAGGCTGCACCTGGTATTTTTATCCACATATCACTATGACTGATCGCAGTCAGCCAGATGTTTAGACTGGATCACTATGTGGATTATGATGACTTTTATTATGAAAAAGTGAACATGGTACTAGCTGAAAGATTTAGGGTGATTTTTCGGGCTCAGTGGCAGTTATCACACATGTAAAAGCTGTAAACTGTCCCTACAGCTACATTCACTTTCTTTAACGGGTTCTGGCATCGAATTGCACCTGCATTTTGTAGTCAGGGCAGATTATAAGAGAGCGTGGAGAAGAAGCTTAAACAAACAGCCAAGAGAGGTGAGAGCATCTTTTGATTGGCTTAAAATAAAATAATTTCCCCCTCTATTAAGTCTCTGATTCGTCAGCATACGCTGTCCGTAAATTAGCGCCAAGCAATCACCGCCCGCGCTCCTTGCTTCAGCGGAGGCAGGGCTGAATAAGAGGATCCAGCCTTCTGGTAGTGCGTGCTCTGCTATTGCCGTGTCGGTGCGCTGTAGCGCAGCAGGAAAGAGGCGGGGACGCCGATACCGGAACCGCTCCTGCCGCTGGAAGAGTGAGTGGAGCCTGCTAGGCGGAGCACACGCGGGAGCGGTAGTGGCAGCATTGTCGCGGCGGGCGGTTCCCTTCGCTGCTGCAGCAGAGGGCGGCGCTGGTGCTGCTAGTCGGATGCGCCTGGGAGCCGGCCCCGGTCTGAGCCCTAGCTGTCGCAGCCAGACCTCGACTAGGAGGTTTGCTGTGGGAAGTTCAGGATGGGGCTGAGCACGGCAACCATCGTAATGGTGTTGCCTTCAACTAGCCTCACTTTCTCCGAAGAGACAGGGCTCCCTCGGGGCTGAGACGGCCTCTTTCCCCTTGCCTGTTTCGCCCTCGAGTGCGTCTTTCCGGCGTTCCTTTTCAGTTCTCTTCTCCCGACTCGGGCCGGACACGTTCCTGGCCCGCCGCCGCAGAAAAGAGGCGACTTCGCCACCGCTGGAAGATGGCGTGGGTGCTGAAGATGGACGAAGTAATCGAGTCCGGTCTGGCTCACGACTTCGATGCCAGCCTCTCCGGCATTGGACAAGAGCTGGGCGCCGGCGCCTACAGCATGAGGTGGGTGTCCCGGCGGAAGGGACCGGGAAGCACCTTTTGCCCGGTTTCTTCGCTCTATTGACAGGGAAGAAGAGCTCGCCGGCAGTGCTTCCCTCTCGGCGGAAAGGGCCTCCTGGTTATAGTTTAGCTCTTCTGTTATGCCGAGGTAGTTGCTTAATTGTTTTGCTCACCGCGGGGGGAAACCGGCGTGTCGCCTGCGGGAAGGAGCTGCTGGCTTGGCAGGCTCCTTTACTCAACCTCGGGAGCTCCTCCCTGTTGTGATTGGCTGTCCTGCTTTCGGGAACCGGTAGCCAAATCGCGCTCCTTTCGTCCACGAAATCAGTGATCGATAGTGGTTAAGAGGGTAACTTTTAAAGCAAGGCACTTACCGGCCTTAATCTTCGAAGCCATATTGGTCCTTTTGGTGGAGGAGCCTGAGCCCAGATAATTCCAGAAGCAGGGCTCCTAGTTGGAATCCTTTACCATTTCTGTCAGATAATTCTTTTATGGTATTTTAAACACATACTATTGCCTTTTTTTTCTTTTTGCACCTTCTCTTTCATTATCTTTTGTTATTGTCATTTTTTTTTTACTTAACGTAAAAATTTGTGTACAAAAATATTTTAGAAATGTGGTATATTCTGATTTGTTTTGACCAAATGAGGTGAGCCTGAAATATATGTTTACAAACTTTTTCTGGGAATTTTCTGGGTATAAGAAATGCAGGTAGTTTGAGCTTAAAACCATTAACAATGATTCAAAGTTACTATGGCCTCAAAAAAAAAAACAACCTTCTGACCTATACTTAGACTTATGACAGTTACCTCCAAAGTTGTGTTATTGCAGTTTAGGCACTTGGCAACTGGTTTCAGGTGTTGCAGAAACCTGTGGTTACGTGTTCACAACTTGTGATTTTTTTTGCCCCATTCATTGGAGAAGTTGGATTTGCTTATCCCATGTGATCCGCTTAATAACCATAATAAAATTGTGTATAGTCACATTCATTTTACGATGAAAATTCTGGTCCAATTACGGTCATAAGTTAAGGACTATTGTAGATAATTGCAGAGTTGTGATATATGTAAATTAAGAAATGACATATGAAACAAATATCAACTATTTATGGTTTGGTACCTAGATACTTGCAGAATTATTTTATCCAACTAGAAAGTCATGATAGTTCCCCATTTTCATGAAGTGACAAAGGTTGAAATTAAGACATCTAAATCGGGTGTCAAACTCACAACGTGATGTGTTGCGATGTATCATGGCTTTTTTCCCATTGCCGGCAATGGGATGGGCATGGTTTTGGCATGACGCATCTGGCCCGTGGACTGGCAGTTTGACACCTCTGATCTAAATCCACCAACTCCTTGCAGCTTCTGCCCCTAAAGATTATATTACATGAAGTATTCATGAGCTTTTGTTGCTCTTTATGTATACAGTATTAATGGTACATGAAAGTAACTGGAACTAACTGGAATCTAGTTCATTTTCTTTCTTTGGCAAGTAAGACATTTTATATAAATGCCTGTCCTTCTGAAATTCTTTAGTAGCAGAAAAATCCAAAATGAAATTTTTCCATTAAAAAAAATGGAATGCTTATGCTGGAATTCACTGAATGGAATGAGTTTTGAACTAGTACAGGTGGTCTTCAACTTACAACCATTATTTTAATGGTTACAGTGAGACAGAAAAAAGGATTTACGACTGCTTTTCATATTTACAGCCATTGCAGCATCCCATGGTCATGTGATCAAAATGTGAACTCAAAAGACTTTCTGTAGCCCATAAATGCCAAATTCCTACCACTAGCTTCCCTACGTTTAGGCTTAAGGAGTTTTCAGTCAGAAGATAATAAAAATAAAACAACTGTAGAAGAATAGCTACAGAACAACAAGAGTTCGATTTAGAATCATCTAAAGGTAGTTCTAGACTTGTGACCAGAAGTGAGCCCAAAATCAGATAATTGGCAACTGTAGCAATGTCCTTGGGTCATGTGATCACTTTTTATGACCTTACAAGCAAAGTCAATAGGGAAGCCAGATTCACTTTACAACCATGTTACTAACTTAAAAACTGCAGTGATTCACTTAGCAATTGTGGCAAGAAAGGTTGTAAAATAGTGCAAAACTCACTTTAACAACTTTCTCGTTATCTACATTCTGAGGCCTGCTATCTTTACTGGATGAATATTCAAGACTGTTGTTTGGAAATGTTGTTAGCCTTGATTATAAAATGTATAATTCATATTCTCAAGTAAAATGGCATAAATTGCATATCATGCTAATTCAATATTTGGTTTTACTTTTTAGTTTTTCTTACCAGTTGTTACAAGCTCAGTGACTGTCATTGAGAACCATGACTTAGTATAGTTTTAAGATATAGTATTAAGATAGCTTATGGTTTATTCAATAAATCACATTTAAATAAGCCATGATTTATTATCTATAAATTGGATTGGTCATTCAATCTTATATGTCAAATTATGTACTGTAAATAATAAATCTTATATTGTGCAACCAGTAGTATAAGTTTAGGTATGATCAGAAAATTACTATTGCATATTTTATTTCTAATATATATACCAGATTTTCCAAAATATTTATATTTTATAAAGGGAGGGAGTAATCTGGATTATATGTCTTTTTTCCCATTCTAGTGATGTTCTGGCACTTCCCATTTTCAAGCAAGAAGACTCTAGCCTTCCACCTGATAACGACACAAAACATCCACCATTTCAATATGTTATGTCTGCTGCAACTTCCCCAGCAATCAAACTGCATGATGAAACACTTACTTATTTAAATCAAGGTAAGCATTTATCTTTTGTGTGAAGGGGAAGGGGATACATAACAGACTCACATACACACATTGTATATTACAATATATATGCAGGTAGTCCTTTAGTTATGACCATAACGGAGCCCATTCGTTACAGTTGTAATTTGTGATGGTCATAATAGGGCCAATTTTGCCAAAAACCAGAAGTAAACATCAGGTTTCAGCAAAACCATTATAAATGGGGATACTGAACTGACTCTAAATGTGGTTCAGTTCCTAAGTGTATGAATTCTCAAACTGAAAAACACAGAATACTGCAATAAGATTAGCAGACTTAATTCAAATTTTTCTCTTTAGATTGATTTAAAAAGAAATATATATTTTAAAAAATGCTTATGTATGTCACTATAATATGTAATGAATAACAACTATTAGAAAATGTAGTTTTCCTGATTTGTTCAAAATTGCTTTATTTGCTTGAATAGCTATTACTAAATTAATAAAATTCTATGCATATATATATATAGATTGTTTCATTGAGGTTCACCTTAATATATTTTAATTCATATTTTCTATCTAAAACTATTGCTAATTTTGTATTTTGTGACATAAATATATCATATGTAATCCATTGCGTTTTATAAAAAACATGGGAACAGTAGATTGAAGCCAGATTCAATAATACTTGGAAAGACATTGGTGACAATTAACTTAATATTGCTATTTACACTAATGATGACCAAGTGTAAATCTAATAATAAGAAACCAATTTAGAAGTGCATTCTGGTGACTGCTGATGATGACCACAGAACTTTGTTTTCTTGCAGTTCCTCTGTTTATTTCAATCTTCCATATTTAGAAACAAATGGCTGTTTATAGTTTGCAAAATTATAATTGTATTGACAATCTTTTTTCCATTTTATTTGCATGTAGAAGAGGTTTTTGTTGATCCTTCTGTGACAGTCAAAGTTGTATAATTTCTATATTTCAGAATATGTTGTGTGAATCTCAAATATAGCATTTATTTAGGTTGCACTTAGCAAATATAAAGTGGCTATTTATGCTCATACATAGAGATAGAACTGGAAACAATTTCTGAAGTGAATGACTAAGCCTTGCAAAAGTTGTAACTTTTTTAAAATATTGCATTATATACATCTCTTTCTATGTTTATTTAATCAGAACTAGCATTTATTTGGTGGATCTCTTATTGTCAATTACTAACCTATCATTTCAGTCTCTCTTCTTTCTTTCCACTTGAAAAAAAGATTTTGAGAATTTTAGAAGAGGAACCAGAACTAGTTTTTACACAATGTATTTTTTATTCCTGTTCTGCTTTGCTCTAAACAAAAAAGCAAATAGTATATCATGTTTTTGTTATTAACAGATGTGAATCATTTTTAAAGAGAAACAAATATAAAAGTTTGTATATAAATATTAAATATACTTGCACACATATCTTTCTCTTTTTCTGTTTGGAAGGTCAGTCCTATGAAATTCGGTTGTTAGATAATCGAAAAATGGGAGATATGCCTGAAATCAATGGGAAACTCATAAAGGTATGTTGGTAGCTCAACCTTGACTCTTGTTTCTTAGAAATTCTTTCTTATTTTCTCTCCAGTAACATTTTGTTGCTCTGGATGTTAAAATGCCGCTATGGGAGTATGGAGGAAGATTCTGATATATTCTGATCTGCAGGGACAGGTTTGGGAAGAGAATGTTCTTCTTCCAATATTTCTTCCTGATAACTTTATCAGGAGGAGAAAATAACGTTGAAAACAGCTGCAGAAATATGATTACATAGCTCTTTTTGTTAATACTTGGAAGAATTTCTTAGTGAAAATAATGTTCAAAGCTTATTTTAAGCTTTTTGAGATATAAGTGATAAATGGAATGATAATTTTAAAAAAACTAGGAACTTTTGTAAATGTCTATACAATGGTTTAGTGTGAAAGATGATACTAAGTCTTGAGTCTAGTAATGTTTTCCAGTTTGTATCTGTTCATAAAATTGGATTTTTTAAATATAACTTTCATTGAAGATATTTATATTAATAAAAGATAAACACAAGAACATGTAACAGTTAGAAAAAGATAAAAAGTGTAAAACAGAACAAATAAAGAAGAAAAGATAAAGAAGCAGTTGAATATTCTTTATAAATAAAAAGTGTAAGAAACAGAACAAATAAAGAAAAAGATAAAGAAGCAGTTGAATATTCTTTATAGCAATTATAAAACAGCTTATTATCCTTTCTTCTTCTCTCAGATTACATCAGATAATTCCCTCTATCTCATATTCATAATCTTTCTGTCCCTTTTTAATAACAGATTCAGAAATAATTTCACTTTTTCCATTTTCAGCATAAAGTCTATAAAAAATTTCTAGTTTTTTGCAAACACTCTTTATAAAAGTTCTATTTCTGATCAAACAGGTCAATTTTGCCATTTGTGCACATTCTGCCATCTTTACACTCCCATTTCTCAATTGTGGGTATTTCAGTATTTCTCAAACATTATGCATAAAATAAATTTGCTTTTACTATATACAAAATGAATATTTTTTTTATTGAAAATTTTTAAGTTTTACAAAACAATTCCCTTCCCCAAACCCTCCCAACCCTCCCATACCCTCCCCCAACCTTCCCAGAGCTGAATACAGGCTTAGTTAAAATTTAAAAAAAAAATCTTAAAACAGATATAAACCATAAGCAAATCTGAATACATTAATTAAACAAATTATAACTTTGGAAATTTTGCTGATTAAAATTCGAGAATCACAGCAAATTAAAGGAATAGAAGTTAATAAAAAAGAATATAAATTAAGGGCTTTTGCAGATGACTTGGTGGTTACTTTATCTCAACCTATTTATTCTGTAGTAGAGTTATTACAATTGATATGTCAGTATGGACAGGTTTCGGATTTTAAAATTAATAACAATAAGACTAAAATATTGCCCAGAAACATGACTAATTTGGATAAGGAGACCTTGGTTAAGTTGACAGATTTTGAGGTTGTCAATAAGGTAAAATATTTGGGGATTATTTTATCTGTTTCTAATGCAAAATTGTATAAAAATAATTATGAAAGGCTGTGGGTCAAAATACAAAGAGATTTGGAAAATTGGGAGAAGCTGCAATTATCTCTTTTGGGAAGAATTGCGGTGATTAAAATGAATGTTCTGCCAAAGTTTCTTTTTTTATTTCAAATGATATCCATTTTAAAGAATGAGGTTAATTTAAATGAATGGCAGAAAGATATCAATAAATTTATCTGGGCAGGGAAAAAACCAAGAGTAAAACTTAAAATTATACAAGATATTCGTGAGAGAGGTGGACTCAAGGTACCAAATTTGAAATTGTATTATGATGCTGTGGTTTTAACATTAATTAGTGATTGGGTTAACTTAACAAATGTAGAAATACTCCTCTTGGAGGGTTGGGATGGATGGCATGCCTATTTAATTTTTAATAAAAAGGTTGATAGGGTTTTTAAATCTCATATTATAAGGATTTCTTTACTTCGGGTTTGGAAGAAATATTATAGAAGTGATTTTAAAATTCCACTATGGGCTATACCTTGGCATGCGATAGAAGGGATAAGGAGAGGAGTCAAGATGGATAGCGTTTCTTATGCACAATTACTTAGATGGGATGGTAAAAACTGGCAATTAAAATCTTTGGAAGATTTAATACAAGAAAATATTATTTATTCATGGTTTCATTATAGACAAATAGTGGAGAGGTGGAAGATAGATAGTAACGTGGGTTTGCTTAGAGAAGATGAGAATTTATTAAAACAAATAAAAGATCAAAGACGAACTCATATTAAGAGAATTTATGGGGTGTTAGTAGAACTGGATTCAGAAGCGGAATTAGTTAAAGAATGTATGGTTAAATGGGCACAAAATTTTGATGAATCGGTTCCATTAGATACCTGGGAAATTATCTGGGTGAGGAATGTTAAATTTACACAAGCCCAAAATTTAAGGGAAAATTTTTATACAATGTTTTATAGATGGCACCTTGATCCACAAAAATTGTCTCGTATGTATCTTGACTTGCAGCCTAAATGTTGGAGAAGTGGATGTTTGGATGCTACTTATTATCATATCTGGTGGTCATGTAAAAATATAAAAGCTTTTTGGATTAAGATATGGTGGAATATCCAAAGAATTTTTAGAAGAAGGGTAAAATTTACCTCACAATTGTTTTTGTTAGGTATTGTTTCTGATTGTGATAGTAAAGAGACTATATTGATGTTAAATTTAATTACAGCGGCCAGGTTGTTAGTAGGGCAATGTTGGAAGAAGGAATCTTTGCCTACTTTGCAAGAGTGGTTTCTTAAAGTTTCTTATTTGGCGGAAATGGCAAAGATTTCGGCTTTCTTGAAAGATCAACCGCAAGAGAAGTATTTCCTGGTATGGAAAAAATGGATAGATTTTATACAATATAAGTTGGATATAAAAATATTATTTAGTTTTTGAATAACTTATATTTAAAATTTAAGATATTTTATAGACTTTTTTTTAATTTTTTCTTATTTCTTTTTATATTTTTTTTATTTGATTTTTTCTTTTTCTGTTTCTTTTTTCCTTCCTTCTTGTATTTTCTTTTTATATATTGTTGTTAACAAAATGAATAATTTATGAGTCTTTTCTAACCGACTATCTATAAATCCCAATAGAAAAATATTTTTATTTGTTTAAAACCTTTATTTAGTTGTCCATTTTTACTTAAACTTCCAAATTCTGGTTGGAAAATTGGAGTTTTTTCTTGAAGTACAAGTTTTGTTTTATTCTTTGTTTTCTGAATTATCTGATACAAATGTGTTCATTACACAGTAACCAAGTAATATTCAGTGTGTGGTCAGCTATAATCTTGCCTGATATGTTGATGTCCAGATGGGTTGTGACTACACTTCCAAGAATTCCAGCTGACTCAAAGTAGCCCAGTGTATATTAAGGGCACCAGGTCAGGGAAAAGAAAGTAACATTGATTCATAGATTAAATTATGAATGCCTGAGCATTTAAATCTGGTCATTGCAGCTGTAAATATTCATTGCTTTATTGTATAAAAAACAGTTCCTTTGCCTCCTGGCAAATTGAGAAGGTGATTTCTAACTATTATAACGTAACTGAAACCTGTAAATTAGGATTAGATTGTAGTAAATAATTTAATGTATGTCTTGGAGCCTATGAATTTATTTTAGTTGAGCTATAAGATAATGTTTTCATTCTGGTCCGCATATAAATCGATGTTCTCTGGATTATTTTTCTCTGATGGAAAAGATTCTATATTGTAATTATCATAGTCTGTTGTTGTGGAAGCCATATGAAAGAAGTTTGTACCTTTATATAAATTTATATCTTCAGGTAAAAAGAGATGGTCTTATTTTATTGACTCACCCAATTTTTAAAAAATTGAGTGATGAAGAATTGGCAACCTTGACTACATTATTATAGCTAAATTATCATTTGTATTCTATTTTTATTATTAAGTTGATATTTTGTCTTTTATATTAGAGTATCATAAGAGTAGTATTCCATGACAGAAGATTACAATACACTGAGCATCAGCAGCTAGAAGGCTGGAAGTGGAATCGCCCTGGAGACCGATTACTTGATTTAGGTAAAATCATGAATTAAGTTAATCTCTTCATAAAAATAAACTGAGAACTTCATTACTATGAAATAGTAAAATTTAAACACCTGGTTTAAATACTATATGGTACACTGAATTCTGTAAATTAAAGTTCCATTTTGGAAATTCCTATTTAAAATCCATTATAAAATTTAATAGACTTACTGGAAAACCTAAGAATAAAACTGAAAAAAGAAAGGATTTATGTATTTAAATAACATTTCTATTTTTATTGTTTTAAAACATTAATTTAATTGTTTGATTTTTTTTATATTTTTTCTTTATTTTATAGATATTCCTATGTCTGTTGGAGTAATTGATGTAAAAACAAATCCAAGCCAACTCAATGCAGTTGAGTTTTTGTGGGATCCTGGAAAACGCACATCTGCCTTTATTCAGGTTTGAAATTATTATTTGAAATAGGTTCTCAGAAGGGTAACTTTTTTAAAGTAGTAGGTAACATTTTTTCTATTGAGATTTGGATCACTCTTTTTTCTTTTCTTTTTTATTTCTGAGGGCCATAGTAGATATGAATAATAATACAATATTATAAGTTTCATTAGAGCCAAAATATTTGGCCTGATTTTTTTTGGAATGGGGGTGTTGATTTGAAGCGACATGTGTCAGCAGGCATGCACTTAACATCCTCCACACATATCGATAGTAAAAAAAATCTGCCTTTATTACGAGGGGCTTTTTTACCCTTTTATACCTATCTTGTACTTCCCACTTGTCCTACATGCTAATTTTTCCTTACCCTAGTAGTATTCTAGGGCAGGGGTCCCCAACCTCTGTTCCTTGGACCGGCACCGGTCCATGGCATTGGTCCATTAGTGGGTGGAAGTGGCAAGAAGGTGACAAGCAACAGGGAGAAAGCAGAACTATTTAACTCATTTTTTGCATCTGTCTTTACACAAAGGGAAAAAACAGACCAACCTATCAAAAATAGTGCCATAAAAAACAAAACAGAAACACAAGTTAAGATAGGCAAGAAAATGGTTAGGGAGCACTTGTCCAGCCTAGATGAGTTCAAATCGCCAGGACCAGATGGATTACAACCCAGAGTTCTCAAGGAACTGGCAGATGTGATATCGGAGCCACTGAACTATATTTTTCAAAGATCCTGGAACACAGGGGAACTACCAGAGGACTGGAAAAGAGCTGATGTAGTTCCCATCCTCAAAAAAGGGAAAAAAATGGATCCAGGAAATTACAGACCTATCAGCCTGACTCAATACCTGGGAAGATCCTGGAAAAGATAATCAAACAACGAATCAACGAACACCTAGAGGCAAACAAAGTCCTTACTAAAAGCCAACATGGGTTTGTCAAAAATAGATCATGCCAGACAAATCTTATTGCATTCTTTGACCAAGTGACAAAATTAGTGGATCAGAGGAATGCTGTGGACATTATTTACTTGGACTTCAGTAAGGCATTTGATAAAGTAGATCACAACCTACTACTTGACAAGATAGAAAAATGTGGGGTAGACAGAACCACCACCAGATGGATCCGTAGCTGGCTGACCGGCCGTACTCAGCGAGGGGTCCTCAATGGAACTGCATCTATATGGAGGGAAGTGTGTAGTGGGGTGCCCCAGGGCTCTGTGCTGGGCCCAGTACTCTTCAACATCTTCATCAACGATTTGGATGAAGGGATAGATGGGGAACTCATCAAATTTGCAGACGACACCAAGCTGGCAGGAATAGCCAACACTCCAGAAGACAGGCTTAAGATACAGAAGGATCTGGACAGACTTGAACACTGGGCACTAACTAACAAAATGAAATTCAATGGTGAAAAAAGCAAGGTTCTACATTTAGGCAAGAAAAACAAATGCACAAGTACAGCATAGGTGGCACCATGCTCAATAGTAGTAACTGTGAGAGGGACCTCGGAGTCCTAGTAGACAATCACTTAAATATGAGCCAGCAGTGTGCTGCAGCTGCCAAAAAGGCCAACACAGTGCTAGGCTGCAGTAACAGAGGGATAGAATCAAGATCACGTGAAGTATTAATACCAATCTTCAATGCCTTGGTAAGGCCACACTTGGAATACTGCATCCAGTTTTGGTCACCACGATGTAAAAAAGATGTTGAGACTCTAGAAAGAGTACAGAGAAGAGCAACAAAGATGATTAGGGGACTGGAGGTTAAAACATATAAGGAACGGTTGCTAGAATTGGGTATGTCTAGTTTAACGAAGAGAAGGACAAGGGGGGACATGATAGCAGTATTCCAATATCTCAGGGGATGCCATAAAGAAGAGGGAATTAAGCTATTTTTGAAAGCACCTGAAGGCAGGACAAGAAGCAACGGGTGGAAACTAATCAAGGAGAGAAGCAACCTAGAACTAAGGAGAAACTTCCTGACAGTGAGAACAATTAATCAGTGGAACAGCTTGCCTCCAGAAGCAGTAAATGCTCCAACACTGGAAGTTTTTAAGAAGAGACTGGACAGCCATTTGTCCAAATGGTGTAGGGTTTCCTGCCCGAGCAGGGGGTTGGACTAGATGACCTCCAAGGTCCCTTCCAACTTTACTATTATTATTATTATTAATGAACCCCATCCACTGGCTGCAGGCAGCACATGAAACCACGCCCTCTCTGGTCCGTGGAAAAATCTTTCTCCACAGAACTGGTCCCTGGTGCTCAAAAGGTTGGGGGCCTCTGCTCTAGGGAATCTTAAATCCAGCTAGAGAAAGCATTCAAGCAATACATTATGGTAAAAATATGTTTTCCTCTTGCTTGTCCTTGTCATTTGGCATTCAGAAGTTTAATGCTTCTAAATCTTGAGTTCCATTTTTTAGTCTGGGTAATCTGCAGTGGCTTTATTTTATATATATATATATACTAATTGCTTGGGATAGATGATAACAGTGATTTATCTTTCTGAGGCAACAGTTTCTATTTTAATACAAAAATGTTCTGTATAAATCTAAAATGTCTGTTAAAGCCAGAAAAACAGAATGTATCTTTGCATGTTACTTTGGTTTGCTTTTATTTTTTCCCCCAGGTACATTGTATCAGCACAGAATTTACACCTCGTAAACATGGAGGTGAAAAAGGAGTTCCATTTAGAATACAGGTTGACACTTTTAAACAAGCAGAAAATGGAGAGTACACTGATCATCTGCATTCAGCCAGCTGTCAAATCAAAGTGTTTAAAGTAAGAAAGTTAAATACATTTTTGGGAGTGGCATTAAAAAATGGCAATAAAAAATGGAATTTATTTTTTTACTAATTAATTTCCTTCCTTCCTTCCTTCCTTCCTTCCTTCCATCCACCATCCATCCATCCATCCTTCATAATTTTATTTTTAGCCAAAAGGGGCAGACAGAAAACAAAAAACAGATAGAGAAAAGATGGAGAAGCGAACTGCCCGTGAAAAGGAAAAATATCAGTCTTCATACGATACTACAATTCTCTCTGAGGTAAGAATAATGAAATGTTTTATTTGTTAAGATAAATAATACAGAGTACACCTGGCCTGCTTTAAGCAGTAAGTTAGGTTTCAAAGGGTGGGGGTTAAGCAGAATATATGTAAAGGCAAAATTTATTTGGCAGTTGTAGATCACAATGAAATAGAAGACCTATAAGATTTAGGATCAAGAAAATAGGTACTCTGTTAAAGCATTTAGGTTACTCATGGCTATCTCATATACATATCTGAAAACCCAGTGTTAAAAATATTGTATTAGGATTTGTTTTTTCCTTGTCAGTTTGGACCTACAATTGTATTTAAAAAGTTAATGGATTCATGGGCAGAGCCTCACTGGCCTTTTGTATTTCTTTTTATTTAAACACCAGTGAGTTTTCTATAGCTTTCTAAAGATTGCAGATGTTTTTAAAAGGCTTTAAAAATTTTCCTCACTGTATAATGAAAAGAAATTGATCCACATCTTTGGTGTTTGTCCAGATGAGGCTTGAGCCTATAATTGAAGATGCAGTTGAACATGAGCAGAAAAAGTCCAGCAAGCGGACTTTGCCAGCAGACTACGGTGATTCTCTGGCAAAGCGAGGCAGTGTAAGGGACTTCTGCTTACTTTTCATTGTGCAAGTTATCTTGTGCAGTGTTAGATATAGGACCAATTTCTATCATCCATGATCGAAAACAAAGATTTTTCCTGGGCTGGCTTAATTTTATTCACTTTTGCTTACTGCAAATTATTTCATACTTATTTCCTAGAGAGAAATGCTTCCTAAATCTAACACCTAAGTAAAATGTTAGGCCTGTAACACTTATAAAAATCAAGAGCTGTAGTTTACACATGAAATGGCTATGTTGAATAATAAATTGTGTTCTTGAAAGCCAATTTCTCATATGTAATTAATGAAATCAGATATAGCAGTAATTAATTAGTTGAGATGTATATTTCCTTATTTTGGCTTGCATGTTTTAGCAAACTGTTTCATCAAAATGGTTGCAGTAAAGATCCTCTTGCCTTTTTGATTATACGTTTTCCATTTCTTGGGGTTTTTTTAATGTAAGAACTATAAAAAATTCTTATACTTTGTATGTATGCTTAATGTGCAAATATGTACATTTTTTCACATGTACTGAATGGTACTAGTATAGTCCTCTTCTACTTATAATAAAGGGGATTGTCTAAGAGAGTTAGAATGGAGGCTGCTACCTTTTAAGAATCAGTCTGCCTGAATAACTGGTCTTTTTATTGTGCTTGCAGTCTTTAGTAAGACTAGTACTAAGTATAGGTTCCCAAATCCTCTCTACTGGGCCCATATACATATTCCTGTAGCATGCCAATCCTGTTCATCCTTAAAGAGACTAATGCTAGAGTGCTGCTGTTGTTTTGTATGATACCAGCTGCAGTTCCTCATCAATATTATCTTATAATAAAAACAATTTCACAATCTTATCTTTTAAAAACATATATTTTTTTAATTCCACTATTCCTTGAAGGAGATCAAGATGACTATTTTCACTCACTGAATCTTGATAATAGTTCTGTTACATAGCTTGAATTGAAATTTGATGAGTAAGATTTTTCACTGACCTTAATGTTTGTTAAATTGAATCCTGAGTTCAACACATAATACTTTTGTTCGACAAGAGTTCTGCCAAAGTATTCTCTCCCTAGATTATGATATGTTTTGTGATCAATGGCAATTCTCTGAATTGGATACAGCCAAGAATTCCGAGCTATTATTTATGAGGAAATCAGCAAATTCCCTCCCATACACTCCAAAGAACAGTCAGGTTTTTACAAAGGGCACATGATTTCAGTTTAGCTGCTTTGCTCATTTGATATAAAGCAATTTGATGAGTTTAATAGAAAGATGTGGCCAGGGATTAGTGTATCTTTGTGATGGTTTTTATTGATTCTGCCTTATTAATATGCCAACTAGAGCAAGCTACTAAAAGCTACTATCCTAGCTTTTAGGATAGTAAAATCAAATCCACCTACATAGACAACAGAATTAAAAATAAAAGAGAAGCTCTTTTTCATAGGTCTGCTTTTGAATCCCGCGGGCTTTGTATTTATAAAGAGGTTAAAATTTCCCATGTTCTTAACATATTCCTTCTTTTCCTATAGCTTTAGCATGGATGCTTTCTGAGATGAGGATTGTTGTAGTCAGATAATTATAGACTGCTTCATTAAGTACAAGGAATTGCAAATCTGCCTTGCCTAAGATAGCCAACAATAAAAGCCCACCGGGGAAGTAATGAGCAATTTGCAAAGCTTTGCCTAGTCAAATGTGTTCTCCCAAGTGTAACTTTTCAACAAGGTAGGGAAAGCGTGCAGAGCATGGCTTCTGGAATTCTTTCCAATCCCTTAACAATAGCAACACTGTGGGTCATGTGACCAGGGGAGGAAGAGGGAGGAGGTTTAGAATCAAGGAGTTGGCAATATTCTAAACCACACCATCTGCCTCTTCCACAGGGATATATGGGAGATTTTTTCCAGGATTTCTTTTCCTGCAAATTCTCATGAAGTCCAACCAGTTTTTGAATTAATTTTTATTTTGCCAGCTTTTGTCTCCACACTGGATTTGACTTTTTCTGTTCTGTTCTGTTCAGCATTTGGAGAGTTGTTTTCTTATGAACAATTGAATCCCCATTCACCTTATTTCTTTCCAATACTCTGTTGAATTGGAAAGAATAAAAGTCTTAAATGCTATTAATGGATTTAAATATTTTTATTAACTTCAATTTTTAAATGAATAGTGTTAAAGTTATTATATTTTATCATTTATAATAATAAATGATAAATTGGCATGGAAAGGAAAAACTTTAATCATGAGAAAAATAAGTATTAACTAAAAATTAATGTTTTTTTCCCTCCAATGCATAGAATTGAGCAGTTTATTTTAATGGGAGCCCTATTGTATGTACCTGCCATAATCTACATAGTATATATTATAAATTAAAATGCTATTGTCCTTTAACAGTATAATAAATATAAAATATAAGCTCTATTTTTCAAAGTGGATTTAATGATATTTTTTCATAACTCTCAGTTTTAATTTTATATTAAATCAATGAAACTTTAAGAAGCATAGCAAAAAATGAACAAGCAGAGCCTTTGTAAGAAGTAATATAAATGCTTACAATAAGTTGTAGATAACTGAAACATATATTTACACTGTCTGAAATACATAACTTATTCTTGCTCATCAGAAATGAACAAAGAGCTGTCAATACTATAAATCTCTGCTATCAGTAATGTATTTATGTTTTATTTTGTCACCATTTTTCATTGCTGAGGAGCAAGTAGATTTTATATATAGAGAGATGACAAGATAGCTAGAGAGTGTATTATTTATTCAGTAGTCATAGCAGTATGATACGCTCCACTGGTCTTTCAAAATTTTCTGCTGAAAATGATGTTGCTGTTTCTTTAATTCAGCAAAAGGAAACCAGTACAGATATAAATTCCAATTCCCTTTGTTAGTGGTTTATGAGATTTGGAATCCAAAAAAGAGAAAATATGTGAGAAGAAGAGTAATAATAACTTTCAGGAGTTGCAATATCTGTTCCTGATATAACACTGTACTGATATTGCAAGATTAGTTACATGTTTTGCATGGTTCACTATACACCTACATCACATCCATCACTAACTGTAATCCATCAATTCACTTTGTAAAGTGGTGCGTAATCTCCATTTTTGCCATCTCAGGCAAACTGTTTATCATCAAGTCATAGTTTGCAGCAAATTGCTCTGAGGTGCACACATAGCATTTGCTAGCAACTCCTTAAACATGTGGCTTTTCCCAAAATTCCACTGGAGCTGTGAACGGCAGCTTCAGGATCCTGGAGAGGCAGCTGCTTTAAGGAGTTACAGACAGGTAGTACCAATTAATCTGAAGCTTTGTGTGGTTTAGATGAATTTCAAAGATTCACAGTGTTGCAGTCTCATTGTATAATATATTTTTGCCTTCTCATTGAAGATTATAAGAATTTTTATAATAACTAGTGCACATATACTTAGTTTCTTGGTACTTTTCCACAGAGTCCACTTGCATTTAAAATAATCAGTAATTTACTCTAAACAAAGTTTCCAATTACATTTTAATCATATAGGGCTAAAAGAAGAGACGACATCTGAAATTTTTTTTTAGTTCATATAGTGAGTTGATATCAGAATGCTTAAGATTATTTGCTGTAAAGCGACAATTGTGCTTTCTCATTATTACTTTTTCCACAGATGCTATCACTAATTCATAGTACTTTGTACAGAATTTAAATATAGAGCTTTGATTATTTTTTTGCCAAATGGAATTCCTTTGATAGCTAAATATGAGAGAAACAAGTCTATGTATGAGAATAAAGGCATTACTAACCAAAGAGCCTATAAATGCATGCACAGAAAATAAAGGATGAATATTATTTAATAACATGAGGACTGAAACTTATAAAAGTTAATACCAGAGCTAAATTCTTATAATGTAATCCTAGTGGTAATGATTAAACTGCTGTTTAATATTTTTCTTTATTCTAGTGTTCACCATGGCCTGATACGCCTGCATTTGTGAATAGTAGCCCTACTCCAACGCCAGCTTTTACTTCTTCTCCACATACTACTTACAGTGTCCCAGACAGGTATATTTGACTTCTAAGCTGATATGACATATTAAATCAAGATTGAAGTTCAGGATAATATTAAATGTTGTGACAAAAATAAAATTGCCAATCAGAAATTTCTGTATAATTAACATGAAAGCATTTTTTGATTTAAATGTACTCCTTTACTTCATTATATGATACCTTGCATCACTGAAATAAAGAGGAAATAAGATGGGGAGTTCCTGGCTAATTAAACTTTTAAGAATATCAAAACTTGCAAGATTTCTTGCTACATTATGAAAATGAAGATTAAAAGACTTATTAATAACCTGTATTAGGACTTGGAGGCAAATAGTATGCCCTGTCTGATCCTGCTAGATCTTTTACTAGCATTCTTTAAAAGATCATGGCATTGTTATGGGCTTTCTGCAGGGTTTGGAGATTTGAGACAGTGCTTTACAGTTGTTCCTGTCATTTCTTAAGTGGGCAATTCCAGTCAATATTGTTTAGAAAAAATAGATCAAGCCTTAGGCGCTTTAGTATGGTGTGCCTTAGGCATATTTGTTTAGCATCCATATGGCACTTCTTCATGAATTTTGGTTTAGACATCATTATGCTGATACTGCTCATTTTATCTGCTAGGCTCAGATGGATGTGTGTGTGTGTGTATGAGAGAGAGAGAGCGGGGGGAGGAGGAGAGAGAGAAAGATCTCAAACTGGAATCTGAACACTCTGAGAGACTGGACAGGCTTAAGCAGACTGTTGAATCCTAGCACCAGTTATTGCTGATACAATGGATATTCCCTATATAGCTCTTGACAGGTAAGGGATGATGCATAATCTCAGTTTTTTTCCTGACTCACAGCTCCTCTTAAAGAAATCGTGGGAAGCCATGGTCAGAGAATCTTTAAATAAAGCAATTTCCATGGTCAGAGAGTCATTAAATAAAGCAATTTCCCCCATTCTTGGACAAGGAAGCAATGACTTACACACTTGTCAATTTAGCTAGATTATTACAACTCATTGTGCCCTTGAAGTGAATTCAGAATTTGCAACAGGTAAGGAATTAACAGGCCACTTACTGACTAATTTATCAGGATTTCCCTAATATTGCAGAGGTTGCACTGCTAACTAGTTGCTTCAAGATCCTGTTAAAGGTATCTAAAGCCTATTACAGTTTGCACCCTTATTTTTGAGAACATATTCTGGTAGAATCTGCCCACCTTATCCAGATACTTTTTTTTAAAATGGTGATGGCATTCCAATAAGAAAATCAGCCTATTAGTAACTAGATGTTACAGATAGTCCTTGACTTTTTTATTATTATTAAAGTTTTTGTTTTTTTTCCAAAGTTAAACTATAAACTCAAAAAAGGGGAACAAGACAAAAAAATGTGCATATAAACAAAAGAACAAGCATATACAATGATTGAGCAGTCTGGTGGCCTAGTGGTGGAGTTCTTGTTTCACAAATCAGGAGGCTGTTAAATTGGAATCAGGTAGCGACAAGCACAAAGAAACTATCTGCTGTAAGCTGTAGGCATCAATAAGGGCATCCAACCAGTAAACAGTCAGCTACATTCAGTCACCCCAATTCCACCTCAATGCAAGGGATTGCAGAGTTGTTAAAAGAAAAACAGATAGATTGTCCTCCCAGTTGAATACCGATAAGTATATTTCAACAATAGTAGTTTTCCCCTACTTCTACAATTTATGAACTTCTACAGTTCTATTTATTCAGCCAATTTGACCTACCATCTATCTATTGTAAAAAAGAAGAGTTAACAGAACCCAGAAATTTGCTGAACAGAAGTTTAGCAAAGCTAAACTTCAAAGCCCTCTGTAAACAAATCTATTATTATATTTAACTTGCAGAAAGTCAATAGCAACTTTTAATCTATCTTAAGCCCATTGAAGTCATTATTTCTGATCCATTCAAGATCAAATATCCTGATTTTTAATAATAAAACTTTTCTTTAAAATTGTAGCTGGGTTCTTTCCAAACAATTACATCTCAATCCCCAGAGTCATAAATCTCTGTTGTAAATATCTCTGCAGCACTTGTTCAGCAGGTTTTCCTGTGAATTGAAACACAGCATCTCTTGACAATTGACTTCTAATTTCATAAAATAGGACTGTTTCACAATCTCCATCATTTTCTTAAGAAGGACCAGATCATTACTCATTCTGTCATCTTTAAGTTTTTTTAATTCATGCCTCTTTCAGCCTCCAACGAACCTCCTATTCTCAAACAAAACTCCTTCTCCTTCACATCTGTCAACAAGTTCCAATCCACCCAACTGCAAATCTGATTTAGCTGCTGTTACCTGCATCTGGATGTCATCCTTGGGTTGATTTAAAACTAGTTTAATTCATTAAATTTTTTATTTAAATTTTCATTTATGTTTGTAAATTGGAAAACATTTCTTTTTCAACTTATAACCTCAACTTATTACCATAATTGGGATCAGAATTTCTGTTGCTGAGTGATGTTATTGTTAAGTCATCACATGATAAGTCCAACTTTATGACCTTTTTACTGTGGTTTTAAAGTGAATCACATGATCATTAAGTGAATCTAGCTTTCCCAATTGACTTTGCTTGTCAGAAGCTGGCTGAGAAGGTAACATCATGATCATATGATCCAAAAGGCTGCAACCATTGTGAATGAGTGAACTGCCAAACATCCAAATTTGCAGTTATGTGATCCTGGAAGTAGCATGATGGTTTTAACTTTAAAACTTTAAGTCATTTTTTCAGCGTCTATCATAACTTTGATCCTTTGTTAAATGAATGGCCATAAATCAAGAATTATCTATATTGTATTTTTATTAAATAGTGTTTAATGCTTTTCCCATTTTTATTTATACAAATTTTTGGATTCTTCTATTACATTTATTTGCGCCTATCTCGCTGTGGGGCTACTCTAGGCGGCTTAAAATAAAGAGAAAGAAATGAAAAGAGTATAAACCAAACGGAAGTAAAATAATAGAACAATAAAATGAACAATAAAAAAAGATAATACTTCAGATCAGAGCAAGGGGGAGAGGTGGAAATTGCCATCAGTCCAGCAGCCATCACCCCCATTTGGCTCCCAGGTCAACCAGCAGAGCCAGATCTTCAGGCTCTTGCAGAAGGATAGGGTGGGGAGCAAATCTTACCCTAGAGCAGTGGTTCTCAACCTGTGGGTCGGGACCCCATTTGGGGTCGAACGACCATTTCACGGGGGTCGCCAAACAAGGCTGTCCGCCATTTTTTTCCCCTTTGGCCACGCCCCTGGCAACCAGTGATGTATAAGTGGTTGGGGGTCACCACAACATGGGGAACTATATTATGGGGTCGTGGCATTAGAAAGGTTGAGAACCACTGCCCTAGAGCAACATGTCATGTGACATGTTGCGATGTATCACGACTTTTTTCCCATTGCTGGAGTGGGACCAGTTTCAGCATGATGCATCTGGCCTGCGTGCCGGTAGTTTGACAGAGGATTGGATGTTCCAAAGGATAGCTGCTGCAGCAGAGAAGGCTCTTCTTCTGGATGCTGATAGTTGGCACTTTTTGACTAACAGGATACATAGTAGGCCCTCTCTGCCGGCACAAATAGGATGAGCTTGTCGTAGTGGGACTGAATAGTTCTTCAGGTAGTCTGGACGTCTCCCATTAAGAGCTTAAAGTTGTAATGCACCCCTTGAACTGCGTTAGGAGCAGACTGATAGCTAGTGAAATTTGTAGAGTAGAAGTGTAATATGGGCCATCCTAGGAGTTCCAAAGACTGCTCTTACTGCCACACTTTACACCAGCGCTTTGAAGTCGATTTCAAAGGTAGTTCAGATGAGAGATGACTTGGGTTCAGATGAGAGATAACTTGGATTTGGCAACTGAGCACAGGAAGTCATTTGCAGTAGGTGCGTAAGAAAGTTTGCAGTAGATGCACAAATTGGAACTGTATAAAAGCTCTCCTAGTCACCCCACCAACTACTCTTTGAGCAAGAGAGATGAGTCCAGGAGAACCCCTAAGTTACAAACTGGATATAAACAGGGTAGTGCAATCCCATCCAAAACTAATGATGTCAAAAATCAAGTCTTGAGGCTCCATGCATCCATAGCAGTCTTGCCAGAGTTCAAGTGAAATCTGTTGTCCCCCATCCAGATCCCTGCAAGCATCATGCGAGAGCAGAGACAGCATTACTCTGGTCCCTAGATATAGGGATGTATTGCTGAATATCATCAACGTATTGATGATATGTCAATACATGGTGATGAATGATCTCACCCAACGGCTTCATAGAGATGTTAAGTAGGAGAGGATAGAATACTGAGCAGACTGGGGCTAGATCTCACTCCTTATCAACACAGATTGGAATGACCTTGGAGAAAGGAGCTGAACCATGCAAAACTTTGCTACCCAGCCCCAACTCATGTAGCCAGCCTAAAAGCATACCAAGCTTGATGGGTATTAAAGGCTTCTAAGAGGTCAAGTAGGATGAGAATTGTTGCACTATCCCTTTCCCGCCAGAGATTATCCATGAGTGTGACTAAGACTGTCTCTGTTCCATGGCCCAGCTGAATTCTGACTGAATTCTGACTGACTGGTCCAAGATATCCATTTTTTTCAGGACCCCCTAGAGCTACCGAACAACTACCTTTTCTACCATCTTTTCCCAAATAGGGAAGAGGGAAGACTGGACGAAAGTTGTCAGGTGGGTTCAAGAGATGTTTTTTTAAGGATAGGACAAATCAAGGCATCCTCAGGAATGTCCCCTCTTGCAATGAGGAGTTTATCACTGAACCCACTTAATGGTGACCTTTTCTGAAGGCTTTTACAGCTAAGAGGGACAGGTCTAATTGATAGATGATTGAATTGTCTATTTCTTTAGGTCGAACAGAGTCAAACTGTTTTTGGATGTTTTTTTTTAATTGAAAATTTTTATTTTTTAACATATAAACATTATAAAAATACAATAAAATTTTAAAATAAAATAAATTCATAAGCAACCATTGTCTATACTACCTTTACCCCCCCCCCCTTACCCTCCCACCCCCAACCCCCCTCCCTTCACTTCCCAGAGCAGAATACAGGGTTAATAATAACAAAATTTATAATAATAAAAAAAGAAAAGAAAAGAAGAAAAGAAAAAAATGTCATAATTAACCTTTAACTCCATAACCTATAAAACAATTCTCTATAATATTTAATATTCATTCATAAAATAAATGAAACTTTTTAATTCCATACTTTTTCTGAATATAATCTATCCACCTTCTCCATACAATAATATATCTTTCTTGTGTATGATCCTTTAAATAAGCAGAAATTTTTGCCATTTCTGCAAAACTAGATACTTTAAATATCCATTCTTCTAAAGTAGGCAAAGAATCTTTCTTCCAGTATAAACCTACTAATAACCTTGCTGCAGTTAATAAATTCAACATCAAAATAGTTTCTTTTTCATTTAAGTCAACAAAAATACCAAGTAAAAATAGTTGAGGAGTAAACTTTATCTTTCTTCTAAAAATCTTTTGAATGTTCCACCAAATCATAATCCAAAAAGCCTTTACTTTTTTACAATTCCACCAAATATGAAAGTATGTCGCATCATTATTGCCACATTTCCAACATTTGGGCTGTATATTGGAGTACATACAAGATAATTTTTTAGGATCTAAATGCCATCTATAAAACATTTTATAGAAATTTTCTCTCAAATTTTGAGCTTGTGTAAATTTAACATTTCTTGTCCAAATTGTCTCCCATAAATAAACTGTTTTTGGATGTTAATTGTAAGCAAGAGTCACCAAAAAGTGGCATACAGATAAGTGGAAATAAATAGATTTGCCTAACTAATCAAATGCTGTCTAATACCAATATTTTTATATTTCCAGCATGCCAAATGAAATTACCTTGAAAAATATCTTAAATTGTTATAACTACTGTTTATGACAACCCAAATGCCACACTCTGATAAAAAGCTTCCAAAGAGATGATTATTTTTGTGTTGTTACTTTTAAGTAAGAAACTGTTTGCTATAGGAAAGTAGTTCAGATAAACCCTGCTGAATCAGACCCCTGATTCCATAGAACTTTTTTAACTTTGTAATTTTCCTTTGTCAAATTTCTGCTTATTTAGTAATTCATCATCTCCAAATCATCAAGGAGAAGGAATTTCCCTAGCAGGTGGTGAGGTAAATGCCAATTTCTCATCTATCAAGAAACTTGTCATATTATTTTCAGACTCACTATCTTGAAAAAATCATAACATTGTACACTGCCTTTTCTCCTTTCTTCCAGCAACTTCATCCATCAGCCACAATCCAGGAAACCCAGCAGTGGTTGCTTAAACATAGATTTTCCACTTACACAAGGGTGTTTTCTAATTTCTCAGGTAGCTCAATATTTTACAAAGTTTGTTTTGTATTTTAAAGGTAATAATATGTTTCAGTTCAATTTATTTGTATGATTATAGATTACATATATCCAAGGTACTTTACTATATCTCTGCTTTAATTGGTATTTTTATAGCAAACTATAAGTATGACTTTACCACATCTAAAAGGGAGAATTTTTCATGTATCTGCAGAGTTGACTATGATCCAAAGACTTTTGCTAAGTACTTACTACCTGATATATACTTCATCAGTTCAGTGGAGGTTAAAATTATTTTGGTTCTAAAGTATATCAATCTGTTATTCCATATTTCTTTGCTATTTTATTGCCAACCCATTTTGGATATAACCTCTGCTTGGATTTTCATCCTAAGGCTGAACAATCTTCAGCCTTCACTATGTCAGTCTACATCTGGTGAAGTGTCCTTTCTGTAAATAAGTAAATGGAAACAACCTCTTTTCAGTACTATCAATTTACTCGTAAAATTAGAGCTTAGGATTTGGTTATAAAAGTTAAGAGTTGAGTCATCACAAAGCATAAATTTTGCATTACTCTGATCCCACACCATACCATATGCATTGTACCTTCAAGCAAATTGGTTGATAATATAGCCTTGTCTTTAAAATTCTTGTACTAAACTGATCATTATTCTGTAGACAGCATCAGAAACCAAGAACAATGTCCTTTAATTTTACACAAGAAGATAAAAATAGTTGATATCCCAAAATAAAGAACTAAAAAATAAGCAGCACAGAATATAACTGGAGAACTCATACTTTGAAAGTTGAATAGAACTATTTATGAACTAAATAGAAACACTGGATAACAGTCCCAACTTTTTAAAGTAGCACTTGAAAGTTATTTTTCATAGAGCACATGTTGGTGAATGACCTCTCCCAATAGTCTCATAATTGAGGAGAAGACCCTAACCCTAACCCTTGCAGCACCCAATAATGAAATGATATTTAACCTGTCCCCAATCGGTATCATCAGCTGTAACCAGCTGCTCAGGAATAGTGCCTCCCACTTCCAATCCTTGTAATCAGTTCAGATAAATACCATAGTTTGTGCTGAAGGCTGCCTAGAAGTCCAGCAGAACCAGGATAGCTGCATTGCTCTACACTGCTCCTGCCAATGGTCCTCAGTGAGAGTGATCAAAAAGTGTTCATTGCAATACCATAGCTGAATCTTGATTGAAAAGAATTCAGCTAATCTGTTTCATGCAAAGGAAAGTTGGAGACCTGTTAATTGTCTAAAATAAGCCAGATCAGGTAAACAAGTAATCCAAATCTGTAAACAAGATTCCATAGGAAGACTAGGACTATAGTCTATTGATAAAGGTTATAATAACAGACCATTGCAAGTCTGATTCCTTCCCCCAATCAATAAGGACAAGTCAGCCTAGGTGTTTTTATATTATCTCCCTTCCCAGGATTTATGGAATGCTACTGTCCTGTTTGTTAATATATGAGGATCTGAATATTTGCTTCAGGGCTGTCCTTCTGTGTCTCTGCATTGGTAGAATGATGATTTCTTGAAGAGTGACTCTAGTACAATCTGTTTCATAGTGGGAGGTGGAGTCAATGCATTTATCAATGTGACCTTTCAGGCTACCAACCAGGTAGGGTAGAAATATAGTCCACCAATGCTGGAGCTAATAGAATAGAGTACTGTTCTATTAGCTTAGCATTAACAAGTTCAAACCAATATTAGATAAGACCTACAAGACCTCAGCTGGGTTTGTTTATCTAGCATCTAACTCTGAGCAAAATTATTTATCTTCCAAATATTTAGTTTACCCCTAGTATACAGTCTTCCAATTGTTTTACACGTTAGGCACCTAGACAGATAACCTTTATTATTATTTTTTTACTGTGGGCACAATGGCACACATTAAAAATGAAATTTAGTTACTTGCTCTCAAAGTGTACACATATATAACACACATTTAAACATACTATATACAACATATGTATAGAACTACGCCCTTACATATAAGTAACATATAAATATTAATCACTGTCCATCTTGAATATGTAACAGAAGGAGGAAGCTTTAGAGTTCACAAGCTTAATACTGTATACAACTTATGTATAGAACTACACCCTTACATATAAGTAACATATAAATATTAATCACTGTCTATCTTGAATACATAAGGGAAGGAGGAAGCTTTAGAGTTCACAAGCTTAATACTGTATGGAACAAAACTGACTAAATCTGGATGTTCTGCTTCGGATACCACGGAGCCTCCTCTCAGAAGGTAACAAGGAAAACAGGTTGTGAAGAGGATGTGTAGTGTCCCAGACCATCTTGCAGACCCTGCTCAAGTGGACCCTGCTTGAGTATGGCTGTGCCTACCTTTTCTGAAATCGACAATGATCTCTTTGGTTTTTCCAGTGTTTAACACTAGGCTGTTTTCCTTACACCATTTCACCAAACCCTCAACCTTCTTGTGTTAAGCACCTAGTCACTGTAATACTGTCAAGTGGCTAACCACAGGTGCAGAGTAGAGGTTACAGCTTTCTTTTCCATTTATATTGTCACAAAGTGAATTTCAATTACATTGACCACGAGGAGATACCTCATTAATAGTTCCATGCTCGTTGGAAATCATCAGTGGGTAATCAGTTGTTACTTTGTAGTGCTCCCAATGAACATTGCAAATGAAAATACAGTTGCAAAATACACACAGAATATACACAAATACAGAATATTCCTCATATGTGTATATGTAAGTCATGCAAAATATGACAGCATAACATAACATCTGTATTTCTGCTCTGAAAGATTAAGGAAAGATAAGCAGTGTATATGATTGTGATCCAGAGGTTAGTTTGGAATTACCTCCTTGGTCAAATCTGTTTTTCTTCTTATGTCAGCATTGCTCTAGGGCATCTTTTCTGTTACTTCATCTTCTGGAACTCCTTGGTAAGACAAAAGGTCCCATGGATCAGTGACTAGAGAAGATTACTCTTAAACAATCTTGGCAAATGCTCCTAACAATATTTTATTTCCAGCATCAGGAGTTCAAGAATTAGAAAGAAACAGGATCCATTAAACATCTGAGGCAAAGCAATTGGATAGTTTCTTTTTCCCTGTGGGAGGTTCATGGCATCAATTAAATCCATGCAAACATAGAGAATGATTTGGCTATGAGAAGGGACTTTTTTCACATAGGTATTGTTTGGCATACAGCAAAAAATAATAATATTCAGCTGTCTCTCTGGAGTCAGCCGAGTTTATCCATACAAAAGTAGGCAATTGTACATGGGTTTTATTTCAGCTAGGTGTTTTTGACACAAGGGTACTGAAACATCCACTGCTATGCAGTCTAAGCAAAACTAGTGTTAGCAGCTGTTACAGTTTTAAAAAATAACAATAAAAGAACTTAATATTACCTTTATTATGCCATTAATATAATCTTTATCATGTAATAATCATGTTTCTTATGTTTTCATTTTTTCTGTGCTTTTCTGAAGTGTTTTAAGACATCTTGTAAGTGTGCTCTGAATTACCCTAAAGAATGCAGACTGATTGTTAATTATTGATTTTAAATGAGTAGAGAGATTAAGTTTACATTAAATTAAGTTTGCTTAGAATTCCTTAAAGCCAAATGTTTATATCCTCAAAAATTACTAGTAACTTATTCAGAAATTTTGTTATTTATCTTTGAAAGACAGTTTTATTTTGTAAACTGATTTGTAGCCTTCTAGTGTATATACATTCTGAATGTTTTTGTAGGTGCTGATTTATTGAAGCTGACAAGAGAAGATCTGGTACAAATCTGTGGTCCTGCTGATGGAATTCGGCTTTACAATGCACTTAAATCAAGGTAAATAGTTCATTGGTGTCAACTCTACCTATGTCAATTGTATAAAACAGTCTGTCTTAGACTAGAGGGTTTGGGAGATGCTAATTTAGTTTTTCGATTGGCATATGCCTGTGTGAGCTCATGCAAGAGTTGGAAGTACTGTGCTCAAAAGAAGAATGTTTTGTTGTACACCTTCAGGGCAGGCCACAGATTTGATGCAGGCACTGATGAGCTCAAAGGTAGACTGTAAGACTGATAGCAATGCAGTTGGGCAGTTCTGATTTCTTGAAGACGGATGGGTTTGTTGCCAAGAGACAAATCTTCTCATTTAGGTGAGCTATAACCAAACTAAAGTTCTTGAGGTCATGGCTACTAAATATTAACAATTGCAGATTTTCTAATTGTGAATTAAACTGGCATACTAGATTTTGTTAACTTGCTGTTACTTCTACTATGATAGTTGTTTTACAAAAAATTACACCAAACATCAATGTCTTCTTTAATTTAAATGTAAAACTTTATTTACCAATATTGGGATAACTTCAGTGGTTCTGAAATTAGTTACTTGACTAAACAATATCTGATAAAACTTTAAGTAGTTCACAAAGAATAACAGTAAAGTAATATAATAAAATGAGCATATGTTCATGGTATTCTTTAAAAAGAATATTTATTTCTTTGCATTCTAGGTCTGTTAGGCCACGTTTAACAATCTATGTATGCCAAGAGCAGTCAAGAATTATACGACTGGAAAGGCAACAAGACTCAGGCAATGGAGAAAAGAATGGTGCAATATTTGGTATGTAATTTCTCTTGATATCAAATATACTGTTCCTGTACCTTGAAATATTCTTTATGTGTCAATTACAGATCTCCTTGAGGCATCAAAACCAGCCTTTTTAAAGAATTAAAAATCTTTTAATTTTTTTTTAGTGGAACAAATTATTTTGAATTATATACCATGTTGTTATAAATTGTTTGCAACAAAACTTGCATTTAAAAAAATACACAGAAGTGAGTTTGTAGCTGGAGATTGTTCATATTGAAATGCATAAATAGCTTTCAGTTTTCTAAAATACAATTCAAGTTTGATGCCCTGAAAACAAATCATGCCAAATGTTACTGATTTATAAATTTATTAATGAGATTTAGATGAGACTAGCTTCCAATCCATATAACCATCTAATGAAAAATCTGAAAACACAGTCCCCTCAGACTTGATTGACAAATAGCATTTATTAAAAAAAGTGTGTTGATATTTCTAGAATTTCCTAATCTGATTATATTTTGCATCTTAATTTATCTTAGGTGAAAACTTTCCAGATTTATGAATAATAGAAATTGAGGGAAATTATGGGTAACCCAGGGGAAAATATATGAACATGAGGCATTGGAAATACAGTTAGGGGAAGTAAATTAAATTTAGCAGAGAGAAATATAAAGTATAATGAAGAGATTGAAAGGAGATGTATATGCTACAAGGCACAGTTAAGTATAGTGGTACCTAAAAGTTTGCGAACCCTCTTGAATTTTCAATATTTCTGCATAAACATACCGTATATGCCGGCGTATAAGGCGACTTCTACAAGCGCTAAAATCGGCGCCAAAGACAGGGGCCGTCTTATACGCCGAGTCGTCTTATACGCTGGAAATACTGGTAGTTTCCAGCGTATAAAACGACGTTCTAGGAATGTGGCTCGGCGACAAAGACGGGGGTCGTCTTATACGCCGGGTCGCCTTGTACGCCGGCATATACGGTAACCTAAAATGTGATCTAACCTCTACACAAGCCTTATAACCAGATTTTAAAAATCCAGTGAAACAAATGAGTCAAAAACATCTCTTGTTCATTTCTTTGTTGAGGAAAATGATCCAAAGCGATATATTTTTATGTGACAAAAATAGGTGAACTTTTGCATTCAGTAATTGATGTGCCCTCATAGGCAGCAATAACTAACTAAATGTTGATCAAACATTTTAATCAGAGGTGAACCTCCTTGTACAAATTGGTTCTTCAGGTCTTTCCACAACATTTCTAAAGGGTACTACTTTGAGTCTGGCTATTCCAAAACATAAACTTTATTCTCCTTTAATTATTTTTGGTTATAAAATCTGTGTGTGCATAAGCCACTTTCTCTTGAACTTCAATTCATAGGCAGATAACTTGACATTTCCCTGAATAATTTGATGGTGCAATTCAGAATTCATCAATGATGCCAACTTACCCTGGTTCAACAGCAGCAAAGCAGGCTGAAATTATAATATTGTGACTATTTTTTACACATCGGATAAGGTTCTTATCTGGATTGAAGTGTTTACCTTTTTGCAAAACAACACTTTTCATTCAGTCCAAAAAGTTTTTTTTTTTAATCTCATCTGACCACAAAATATTCTTCTGATAGCCTTATCCACGTGGCCTTTTATAAACTATAGGCAGGCATCAGTGTTCTGTTTGGAGAATATTGGCTTTATTTCTTGCAACCCTTCCATGCACGTATGGTTATTCAGTGTTTCCCTGATCGTGGTTTCATAAACACTGGTGTTTCTCAATGCAAGAAACCCTTCCATAGACACCAATGCAAGAGAGGCTTTTGGTTCCGTAAGCATTACTTGGGTCTTTGAGACCTACTGGAGTAATTCATGCCTTATTCTTGATGTGATCTTGGTTGATTGTCCACTCTGGGGAGGGTAACAATAGTATTGCATTGCCTCCATTTATACACAATCTGCCTTTCAGTAGACTGGTAGAATTCAAATTCTTTAGAAAGAGTTTTGTAATAGCATGAACAACTGTTTTCCAGAGTTTGTCAGAAATCTTTGTTTGAGCTGTGACACACTTCCATCTATGTTGTAAAGATGAAATTTTGATAGTGAATCCCCAGAATTCTATTATTTAAATAAGGCAGGACTTTTCACCACCAAACCTGATTATCATCATCCTAGAGTTTAACATACTTTTGCCATACATAGATATGGTATCATTTTTCTCAATAAATCAATGAACAAGTATAATATTTTTAACTCAGTTGTTTAGTTGGGTTCTCTTTATTTAGTTTTGGGAGTTGTACGGAGAACAGAACACACTTGAGGTCATAGTTACAAAGAAAAATTAAAATTTCAGAAAGATTCACAAACTTACTGCATCACATATTTATTTGTATAAATAAACATTTCAATACAATGTTTCAATGACAAAAGGAGCATACCTTTTGGTTGCATTAATAAGTGCACTGCATTCAAATTTTGGGGAAAACATTTGGTCTAAAAACCTATAAAACCATATTCTGAGTGCTGTGGTAAGTTTTTCCATAATAATTAAAGACATAAAGGGTGAGAAAGGTACACTTGTAATAATAGAAATGTTCTGGGAATAAAAATATTCTTCTGCATATTCTGTTGTTTCTTCCAGCTATATTAATCTAACTACCCGTGAATGTGGAACATCACAAACTACTCCTTAGCCATCGGAATAACTTCAAAAAAATTCTCCAATCCATTTCCAGGCCAACAGGAACAGTATAGCCTGAGAAAGAGGAGGAATGTTAGATTTTAGATACACTTATTAAAGAAGCACATTATCAGAGATTCACAAATTTACTTCCAGATATAAGGATATGCAGCAATATATCTCCTTTCCTGAAGTACAGGATTGTTTTCTGTTTTAAAAACTCAATTTACAAGAAAGATTCTGCTGTCTGAAGATGTGGCATTTGAAGTCAGGATTGATTACATTTACATAGTTTGTACATATTTATGGAACAAGGGGATGCTTCCACTTAGAAAAGTACAGATTTTTTTTTTTTTTTTTACAAAAAGGCAAAGACTAATGCCAGTCCATTTTCTACATTCAATATATAAGATGGCTTAACTATATTTTTTTGGCTATTATATTATTTTAGACTTTACTCTGTATTTTGAAATTTATTTGGAAAGAATATTTTGTTCCTTGGCTTAGTTCTGTTTCAAGGATATTATGAAAGATAGTAGAAATCTTCATTAATGTTTGGGCCATCTTTCAGGTAGCTGGCATTCAGGCTTAAGGCTGTGCACAACTTAATTCAAAGAATCAGACTTCTACTTTAATTGAAGAGAAAGGAATATATGAAGTGGGTCGCCAGGCTGCATATATATAAAAAAGGTTTTTAATGATCCATATATTAGTAACATGCTTCATAATACTGCAATCTTATAGAATAGAATACTAATAATAACAGAAAGAAATCAAGAGGTATTTGTTTTTGAAGAGCAGTATTAGGAGGTCTTTTAGAAGACCTTTTCTTAAGATATGTTTTATTTTAGTTTACCATGCAATCTACTTGGAAGAAATGGCTGCCTCGGAAGTCACTCGCAAGCTTGCTTTGGTGTTCAATATTCCTTTGCATCAAATTAATCAGGTTTACAGACAAGGCCCTACTGGTATCCATATTCTTGTCAGCGATCAGGTAAATTCTATTTTTCCTCCACCAACATACATTTTACATTTCAAAAATTCCAAAACAACAATCAGTTTGTGTTTTTTTTCCTGGTATAGTTGCCACTGCTGTAGACTTAAGAAAGATATTTGAATTAACAAATACAAATTCTAAATGAATGAGAAGACAATCAGCAAACAAGCATACTAACCTCGTTTTATATATGAAATTTATTTTTCATATAATCTTACTTAATGAATATCTTGCTTTCCTTGAAATTCGAATGAGTTGGTCAAATTTTACAATACAAACAGTTCCTATTAGATTCATTTTCATTCTATCAATCAGGTAACAAGAATAAAGCAAAAATCTTTGGAAAATCTACTTCTTAAAATGGTCAGAACAAAGGGATGAATAGTAACTCATTCTTTGAGTTAAAATTCTCAAACTATCACTTGCCTCATGAACATTCTTCTCTTTGTGAACATCAGTGTCCCACTTTTGATGCCATATTTCTGAACATTCCAGATACATAGTATGTAATATCCATATAATAACTATAATATTGCCACATGTTGAAAAATATAATAAAATATTAAAACTATGCATTATTAGAGATCACTGCACTTTTGACTAAATCAGAAAATAATGTTAGTTCAAATGAGAGAAGAGTATTAGAGAAGAGCATTAGAGAACAGAAGTTGTTTGTGGGACTATTTGTTAACTTTTTCTGTAATGTATTAAACTGATCTGACTTGTTAACAAGGAATAGTATTTATAATCTTCCTCCCTAGATGGTCCAAAACTTTGAAGATGAGACCTGCTTCCTCGTTACCACAATAAAAGGTATGATGGTAATCATGAAAACAGAGTAAATCAAATATTATTATCTAGGTCAGGGGTAGGCAACCCAAAACACTCAAAGAGCCACTTGGACCCGTTTCCCACCAAAAACAAAACACTGGGAGCGCAAAACCCTTTTGATATCTAAAATGAAGATAACACTACATATATCCTTTTTTTACTTTTATAAAGGGTAAAAAAGGTCTCTCTCTCTGTGTCTCTCTCTTTCTGCCCTTGGTCTGCCAGTCCCCTTCACCAACTCTCTTTCTCTCTCCCTCCCTCTCTCTCTCTCTCTCTCTCTCCTCCCTTTCCCTCTCTCCAATCTTCTGCTCACCTGGCAAGCTGGCTTCAAGCTGTTCTCCAACAAGCTCAGGGGTAGGCAACCTCGGCTCTTTTATGACTCATGGACTTCAGCTCCCAGAATTCCTGAGTCAGCATAGCTGGGCTAGCTAGCTCTCTCCTGCCCTTCCTGTTTCCTGCAGAGACGCAGTAAAGGGAGGAGCCCTGCCCAAAAAGCTTTTCAGCTTGTCGGAGAACACCATGAGTCCACTCTCTTTTACACACACATACACACACAGAGAGAGAGAGAGAGAGAGAAACACAAACACAGAGAGGGACAGAGAGAGAAGCAGGGAAGCGCAAGTGGCTCTCTGTGTCTCTGTCTCTCTCTGCAAATGTCAGAGGAGGCTGGGAGCCACATGGGAAGGCTCAAAGAGCTGCATGTGGCTTCAGAGCCACAGGTTGCCAACCTGTGATCTAGGTTATGTCTAGTAATAGATTTTGCATTTATGAGATTTTTAACTATACTACATTAATCGAGCTTTCTATAATTTATTTTTAAGCCTCTAGTTTTACATATAATGTTATATCAGTTTAGCGTAGCAATGAGTCTAGATGAGCCCTAAACACAAGTGCAGCCACAGAAAGTTTGCGTTATTGTATCATTCAAGCATGTCAAGGTCTTATTAATCTTATGTACACTTGTTAAACCTGTGAACTGTTTTATGATAACTTGTTTGCCTTGGCACTTCTAAAAATTAACAAGTTGGGGTTAGGAAAATAAATTAATTTTTGACCCATCTAAAATCAAAACAAAAGCTTCACCCTACACACATAAGCCATAGCATTTACCAAGATTTCTCCTGGTATTTCCACATCCTATTAGTCTGAAATGCAAATCTTCTGAAATGGTTTACACGGAAACACATTTCTTAACTGAGTTTTTCCCAAGAATTGCTGAAAAGAGGAACACTTTAGAAGATATTTTTCATTTGATAACATTTATATATAACATTTGTTATAGCCAAAATATATAACCAAAATTAAATTATAGTCCATTCAGATAAATAGTTCTTCACACAGAAAAATGTACAGTGATTGTTTAAAAATTATTGGAATATCAATATTAGTCTCAGGTTACATTCATGACAGATACTGAAAGGAGGGAAAACATAGAGGGAACCAGAGTGTCATCCTGAATTCCTAGTTATTATTTTTTAAATAAATTTACAAGTTTATATAAGTTCAATAAATGTAAAAGTTTATAATTTGTTTCTATAAAATGAAATGATAATTATTCATTCATGAAACCATATAGTAGCTTCAGAATTTTATGAGTCCATAGACTTGGAGAATAATTTTATGGAACCAAAAATTGTTTTAAAGTATGATTTCTTTCTTTTCATAGATATAGAATGTAAACATAATCTTTTAATTAAGACAATGCATTAATACTATGAATGTCATTTTGTTATTGCTCATTAATATTCTTTGCAGCTGAAAATGGTGAAGGTTTCCACATAATTTTGAAGTGAAGTTGCCATATGTACGTCGGACTGATATTCGAATTGAAAAATGGAGTCATCAAGAATGGCAAATAACACCAAATCTCTTCAGGGATCTGACTTCACCATATAGAATGTTTCATATTGAAAACACAAGTTGATCTTCTAATGAACTGTTTAGTAAATGAACTTATCACTGCCATAGCCAATTGTCCTCATTAGAGGCTTGAAATGACAGGCATGGAAAAAGCAAAGTACATAAAAGTGTTTGCCCTTTCTTGACAAAAATAAAATAAAATAGGCACGCTATGGCCAGTAGATGCAGTATCTTGAAGCATTACTGTTTCCTCTTACACTGTATCCAGTTGAATGTAAACTAATACTGGGCATTTATCTTCCTATGCCAGTTTGTCTATTACTTGCTTGTGCTTTTATGCTGCTTTTATTTTTTGATGTTAGCAGAGCACATAGTAATTTGTGTGGAGATAAGTAGTATGATAATAGCAATCAGGTTTGGGATCTTGAGCATAAAGCTATCAAAACAACATTCTCTGTATAGATTGTGTATAAAGTGTGAATGTAAGAAGTGCAAATGTCGGGGCTTCTTGTTAAAGTCCTAACTACATGAAAATTAAGCATGCATCAAAATATATTATCATTAGTACCTGAGCAATTTGTAAAATACGACCTCTGTGGTACAGCATTTTGCTTTTCAACAAATTCCTTGAGAAAATTTGTTTATGCATCATGTTTTTAGTTTCTTGAATGATACACTCTGCAGTTACCTTTTTTTTTTAAACCACTCTGTAAAAATAATAGTGAGTTGACCTTTAACAAAATATAGGTGCACTCCTGCATTTTTCCATGTTCACTCCCAGGTCACAATTGCCCCCCCCCTCTCTGGCTGCACTGGAAAGACCAGTCTTAGTGCCTATTCCATACAACCAAATACTTGACTAGCAGTTGCACATCTTAATGAACTGTACAAATGCTTTCAAATGTTACTGAAGATCATAGCATTCTAGAAAAATATTTGACTCTTGGATTGTGTATTAATATATGTACTTGTTGGAAATTAAGACACAGAAGGTAGATTACTTCATGACTTGCTTTTTTAATCAACTTTAATCTTGAATGCTGTAGTGAAAGGGTGAAAAGTGCACGTCAAGTAAAGTTTTTGATTTCAATTCCATTTTTAATTATGCCTAAGTGAAGTGCTTGAACTATATAATTCTAAGAAAGTCAGTTAATTACTTGTATTTGGATGAATATTCGTTCCCTTATTTCTCCATGACCTATACTATTCTGCACTGATAGAGGGAGCATAGTTTGTGAGCATAAACTGTTTTTGAGTTGTTCTTGACTATAAATTATTTTTGATTGTACTTGAGTGTCTTCAGTTCACTTGATGTGTCATGTCGACACTTTTTCAAATTTGTGGAGAATCTTCAAAAAATTTAAAAGCTGTACAATAGTTTTGTTCATTTGGATTTAATTAATGGCACCAGCAAATTGCTTTTTGTTTTTGGATATGATATATACATTTCAATTTCAGTAAAAACATTTTCCAATAATGTTGTAAACATTTTACCTTCATTTTTTGCAATGTGTACTGAAAACATAAGTGCTGCTGAGATATATAATTTGGAGAAGTATGTCATCTCTTTCAGCTGGAACTAGAATGAGCACTGGCTTAAAAAAGAACTGTGCTTATACTCTGCTCAATTGAACTGGATGTGCTGATGATTTTTTTTTTAAAAAAAATACTGTTTATATTGATTTACCACAATAAGTTTTAAAATGATTGAAGTTAAATCTAAATTTGATTGCCTTTATTCACTAGTAACCAGTACCAAGTTATTTAAATTAAATACCTGTTTAATAATTTCAGTTTCATGAACTCCCTTTACATAGAATCAAACACATCCAAACAAGTTTGTTTGATAATGTAATATTTATTTCATAGCTTAATTACTATATACAAATCGCAAATAATACAGATAACTACTGTAAGATATTCTTCTATACAAATTACAAAAACTGTGTTCAATCATATTTTATTTGTATTTAAATCATACAGATACTGATTAGAATGCATTGCAAATCTGTTTTATCTTTTAACTGAATATTTGAAGAATGCTTTTTTCAAATTCAGTGTTGAAGAACTTTGAGATGGTGTATTCCATAACTTTCATTTGTCTATCATGCCATTTTCTTTATTTAAAAAAAAGTTGCTTAAAATGATTTAAAATCTAAGGGATTGGTTTGGACAAAACTTAGCAGCAATTTTTCGTGCAGCTGCTGATAAAAACAGGATCGCCAACATGATCGCCAACGTACGATATCAGATATGGCACAAGAAGAAGAAGAAGAATGTGTAATCTACAGGTTCATACAGATTCTCTCCATATTTTTTCTATGTGGTGTGCAGCAGGAAATAGAAAAAAAAGACTCACCAGCTTGCCAATTTTCTAAAAAAAAAAACAAATGTATTCACACCTTAACTCAGACATGTCAAACACAAGGCCCGGGGGCCGGATGCGGTCCGCAAAGTGGTTTCATGTGGCCCGCGAAGCCATCCTGGAAATTGAGGGAATGGCCCCCTCTGCCTTGGGCCTGGCCCAGGCCGGCCAGGAGCCAATGTACAATTTTGTGGTGGCCATCTATGCTGAAACACATTCAGTTTTAGCTCCACAAGGCTGTCTGGAAACAGCGAGGAACCAGTAGAACCTTGAGCAGCAGCCTTGAGGAAGTGGGGCTGGGCTTGGTGCCATGAGTGCTCAATGGCCAGGCTGGGCATTTGATCTCTGCTGTCCAGGTCTCTGGGCAGCCTGTACCACCATCCAGCCCCCCCCCCCGCGTGGCCTGAGAGGAACAGTGAGGCTCCTCCAGTGGACCATGTCTTGGCACTTGCCCCGGTCCCACCCCATTCTGCCAGAGACCCTGTTGTCCCACTCCTGCCCAGGCCCCATAGGCCCCTTGACACGAACGATGTAGAGCTGGCCACATCCACCCAGTAGGCCACACTCACCCAGCCCCCCTGAGGCAACTGCAATGCTGATGCGGCCCTCAATGAAATTGAGTTTGACACCCCTGCCTTAACTCCTTTAGGGGTTAATAGAGGTCTATAAGGGGGGAGGTGGGATGGTTTCATAGTCAGGCATGGCCTTGCATTTTGGCTTGCATACTTTCAGATATTTGTAAGTAATCGCCATAATGTATTTGTACAGCATTCAAACCAATGGTACTAGTATGAAGGTGAAAAGACCATTCTCCAAATTATAGTCCAATGGAAGAGTCTTCACTTTGACAGCAATAAGTTTTATTAATTTTATGGTAACTCTCTGGATAAGTAGCAATATAAGATAAGACTAACCTAAGATTCTGGGGAAAAAAAGATTCGAGTCGATGACAACAACCACATTAGTGAGCAGGGCATTAGAATGATATATGAAAGAGGATTTGCCCACTGAACCCATAACTGTAGTTACACAAAAACATGGATTCTAATGCAAATGACTCCTGGCTTGTTGATCACCCTGTTAAAAACAGTTGAAGGGCAGGAAGGTAGAGTAGATAAAATTGATGAATTTGTAGGGATATAAAATTATGTCAGTACTAATTACCAAATTTTATAAGTTTGGAAAAGGATATTATGCAGACTGGAACAGTTCAATCAAGGACACATGATAAACTTAAAAAAAAAAAAAACAGTAATGCCCTTGGTCTAGAGCAGTGATTGGCAACCTTAAACACTCAAAGAGCCACTTGGACCCCTTTTTCCCAGAGAAAAGAAAACACTGGGAGCCACAAAACCCTTTTGACATCTAAAATGAAGATAACACTGCATATATCCTTTTTTACCTTTATGCTATGTATAAAAAAACTATAGTGTGTTGCATTTATGAAATCAGTGAACTGCTACAAAGAAAATTTTTTATGCCGGAGAAAGAGGGGAGAAAAAAACCCTTTCTCCTTCATCCCAACAGGTGAAAACATTTTTAGTAGCTTATCTACCATCTTTAAATACAGCATAATTATCCCCATACCTCATCTCTTAATTTAAAAAAAATCTAAATATTTCATTAAATGTTCTTTACTAAAAGTCCAGTAAGGACACCATATATATTCATATTCTCTCTCTCTTTCCTCTTTCTCTCTTTCCTCTCCCTCTCTCTTTCTCTCTCTTCCTCTCTCTGGTCTTCTGCTCACCTGGCCTCACGCTGTTCTCCGACAAGGTGACACACATTCTTATTGGGCTGGCTCTCTCCTGCCCTCAGTCTGCCAGTCTTCTTCCCCCACTAAGTAAGTAAAAGTGTGAGTTTGTGTGTGTGTGTATGTGAGTGAGAGAGAGCTGCTGCTTTCTGTGGCTTCCTGCTTCCTGCAGAGCAATAAGCTTGTCAACTTGTCGGAGAACAGCATGAGGCCAGCTGGCCAGGTGAGCAGAAGATTGGGAGAGAGAGAGAGAGAGCCTCTCTCTGTCTCTATCTCTCTGCAAATGGCGGAGGAGGACTAGGAGCCGCAATAGAAGGCTGAGCCATGTATGGCTCCAGAACCGTGGGTTGCCGACCCATGGTCTAGAGAATCTGAACATAAGCAAAGATTCTGATGATGTCTCCAATTGTGGCCTAACAAAACCAATGGAACTGGCATCTGTAATAACAGTTGCTACCTTGAATTTGGCCAGCTGGGAAACTTCTACAATGTTTCAGCTTGTTGATCACATTTTATTGCCAAAGGAAGAAGAAATTATGATTTCCTTAATGTAAACTATTACTAGTGCAGCTTCTCAAAATGCCTCTACTGCTACAATAATAGATGTTCAGGCAAAAAAATGTGACCTGTAAAGTACACAGAAAGCATACAACCACATTTGAGCTATGTACAGGCTTAGATTGGTCCAGCTGAGATACATATCTTGTGATAGCTACTGTCTGCTTGATTTTACTCGTTTTACTTTTGGAAGGTTGGTGCTTCAAGGAAACAGTCATAGATCTCTGCATATAAACTAAATGGAAAAAAGTTACTAGGTACCTGTTGTGACATATTGAAATGCAGAAGATCTAGCTAGTAGTCTATCCTATTTGGAGAAAGAGGAATAGTACTGTGGGAAGTCAGCCCCCCTCCCCAGAGAAGGAAAGATTAAAAGGGCAGAATATTATATTTCCTCAAAGGATCTTAAAAAGGTAGAAAAGCATGCCCAGTTTTTCTTAATAGCCCAAAGTCTCCCTCCCTATGCAGAAACCAACTCTGTAGAAATGCAGATATCATAATCCTTTCAGAAAGATTGGCACCTGGAAGCTTAGAGCTGATCATATTAGAAAGACAAAGATACCTAGAATCAACAATCCTTCACACCAAAAAATCCAACACAGGACATAATCATCAGCCACACCGCCAAGGAAGCAGGATATGACCTTTGGGACATAATAGGATCAACCCACCACATCAGAATACCAGAAGGGCACACTCAGACTCAGGTCAAAGTTCATGCCACAGGAACAACTCCAAACAAAAGCTCAAGAAGGTATAAAAACCCACCACTTCCTACTACATGTGGTCAGCTTTCCCAGAGCCACACTTCCATCTGGCTTTGCTCTTCAATAAACTACAACCTTCTTTCTAAAGCAGTCTTCATTTTGCTTATTCCTAGCTTGGACTGGACCCTGATGAAGATTTTTTTTTCCACAATACAAAAGAAAAAAAACTTTATAAGGATTTTAATGTTGACTTGTTCAGAAAATAATATAAAAGAAACTGTGCACTTCAGCAGGACCTGAAGTTATCCCATATTCATTTAGATATATGTTTTAAATTGTTTTTTTGATGTTTGTGATATGCAAGTTCCTGAACAGCTATCTTGACAAACTGCCATCTTTTGCTATTGCGTGCATCGGATTTCTGTAAACAGTGGTTCTCAACCTTTCTAATGCTGCGACCCCATAATACAGTTGCCCATGTTGTGGTGACCCCCAACCACTTATACATCACCGGGTGCCAGGGGCGTGGCCAAAGAAAAGGGGGAAAAATGGCGGACAGCCTTGTTTGACGACCCCCATGAAATGGTCGTTTGACCCCAAATGGGGTCCCGACCCATAGGTTGAGAACCACTGCTGTAGAACAAATGAACTTGCAACAAAGACTAAACAGTACATGGTTTTACTTCTACCGTTTTCACTTCTGCAGGTTAAAAACTACAGTACTACACTTGATCTTAGCCAAAAGGCTGAGAAGCGATAACTACAGTAATGATATGTTTCAAAAGCAGTAAAGCAGGAAAAAAAACCTTTGTGTCAGGAAGACATAATTTATTTGAAAATTTACATTTTTTCCCAAAGTGAGCATAAAATAACATGGGTAGTAATTACATGAGTGTTTCACTAAGTATTAACCATCAAGAATTGTTTCCATATTGCTCTTCTTCTTTTTAGTTGATTTGTCTGGAACAATTCTACCCTTCTACTGATAATTTCAGGATGGGAGAGAATCATCCCAGATTAATCACCATTTATTAGTTAGAAAATGCATTTTACTTGTTGTTAGAAAACACATTTTTCTTGTTGTTTGCTACCTAGAAATATATCTTTTTATACTGTGAAAGTGGGATTTTATTGGAACGAGTTGAATTATTGAGATAGAACTACTTAATTTTTAGTAATACACTAATATTTTCATTTGAAATATATTTAAAAAAATGAAAATCATGCTCAGAACTTTGCTTGGAATAATAAAAATATGTTTTCATTTCAATCTAAATCTGAAATTTGTGGATTTTAAATTAATTATTAGAACTCTATGCAATGATTCAAAAATTGCCTTGGATCTCATTCAACCAAGCATTTCTCTGATATTCATAAAAGCCCTCTGCCTTATTCAGCTTCTATGCAAGCCTGAAAAATATGACCTTGCTTTCAGAAAACCACTTATTAAAGTTAATACAAGTCTTAAATCAGCTACAACTCTTCCATTCTCATGCAGAATGCCTGAAAAATGTTATAAAATTTAGCTCAGAAGTACACAAAAACGTGTTTGCTCAAGTTTTGAATCACTTATTAACTTACTACTTAAATAGTATTAGTATTAGCATGAATAGTTAATACTATCTAGTATTTAGTGACTAAATTTGTATAAAGAATTCATTGGTGCTAATTTTATTATGTTGGCAATAATTCAGACTTTCTTTGGGTGCATTTGACTTTGGCTGAATGAAGTGAAAACTTTCATTTCAGGTTAAGTCAGGGTTGATTTAGATTAGAAACTGGTGTAGATGTTGAAAATTTCACACCAAAGCAGCTTCTAGATAGTTTTGGAAATAATTTATAATTTATAAATTATAATAGTAATGTTCCTATAAAATAGGCAAAAGAAAACTGATGAGGTCATCTTATGGATGTCATCAATTATACATATATGGCATTACATATATTGTATATGAATGCACATAAAGGACAACTCTGTTGTAAGAGTGATAGTCAAATCTGCACCTAGATCATGGAAAAGATCTTTTCTTAAGTATTTATTCTTACTATTAGAAAAGGAGCTGTATGTATATAATCAAATAAAGACTATAACCTGGAATAAATCAAACTGTCCATGAAAATTATTCTGCAGTAGAATTGCAAAGTCATTGTGTATGGAAATTATTTTAAAATGTGCATTTATAGGGAACTCTACATACTATATTATGAAGTCCATACACTGAGTTTGTATACTCTTTAAATATCTGCATGCATCGATAAAGCATGCCTGAAGTCTAAGCAAGCTATACTTGAATATTAAATATTTAGATTCACTAAAATCACAAGCTGCACTCTCATTATAGCCAATTTAGAGTGCCATCCTATGGATCTCTACTTGGAAAAAGGCTCCAAGTTCAAGGGATTGACTTCCAAAATAGACATAGCCCTCAATTTACGACCACAGTTGAGTCTGGCAATTATGGTCATCAGACTTGATGGTCATAAAGCAGATCTTCACATGATCTTTTTTGCAATGGTTGTTAAGCACAGGCTGTGATCATAAATGAATGCAGCAGTCATTAAGCAAACCTATTGTTTTGCTATGGGGCAGAATTTTTTGAAACCTGAAAGTTTTGGGGAAAAAATGACTTAGATTGAAATCTAATGTCCACAGAGCCCTACAAATAGCAGTAAATGTGGTCTGGTTGCTGAGTATCCAAAATGTGGTCATGTGACTGCAGGAAGAGGATGGCCCCCCCATAGCTTTGATATCGGATCATAAGATGGGGACTACATGTAAGTTTGAACATCTAAGCTTACAAGTATACGACTGCAGTTTCAGCTATTTCAAAGTATGTGCTTGTGGCTTAAGACTCAGACTTTATTTAAATGCACTGTGCAGTATAATATATAAAGCATCCTTTAAAATTATAGAGTTGTGCCTTTACTTATTTGAAGGATTCATATTCTATTCCTCATTTGAAAACTCTTTTCATACAGAACAAATCACAAAGATCCATATCTCCCATCTGTCAAAATCCCACCTAAATCATGATGCCTTTGCTTAGCAAAATGACTAGAAAAAATTGCTCAACATTTTCCACATTGTTCTATTTTACTTTTACTTTTGTTTAAACTTCCTTTTTATTTCTTTATTTTTCATGATTGGGAGTCGCCTAAAGTAGCCTCAGAGTGAGATAGGTGGCAAAGAAATTTAATAATAATAGTTTTTAAAAAGGAAATAAAGAAAAACAAGGTTCAGCTGAATGGCAAGGTAGAAAATTCACAGGATAAGTCGGGCATCTTATGAAGCTTGATAAAGACCTGAGGTATTTCTAAACCTGAGCTAAAGATGATGCATGGAAATACTTAGGAGCAATGGTGAATATTCGCTTCTTAACCTTCTTTACTTGTTAAAAATCACTGTGTTCCATCTTCTACTTCCAGGAGTTCATCAAGGTATTCTACTACTTCACCCTAGGATATGTTATCACAGAGAACAGGTTAATATTTTAAAAAATTAGTTTTTGAGACAAATTGCTATTTTTTAAATAAAATAAAATATAGAATTGATATTAATGCTGAAATAACCAGTTTGGTCTAATGATGGATCTTCTGGCCAGAAACCAGGAAACTGAGGTTACTTGTTCCACCTTAGGCACAAAAGCTGGTGGATGTCCTTGGCCTATCACTTTCTCCCAATTTAATTTATTTAAAACTTTCAAATATAAACTCTCTGAAAAGTTAGGCATACGACTTGACAGCAAGAACCCATAAATGAAATAGGGATTAGGAAAAGCAAAATGGCAAGGAAAAATGGCAATTGTCATGGCAAAAAAGCTACTTTTCCTTATATCTCTTTGATCTATCAAGGGATAATTGGAAATCATGCATAATTAGTTGCATGGCATTATATTTTCATGGTCCATTTCTCTGCCATCAAAGAGAGCTTGATATGTCCCAATACCGGTAGTCCTCAACTTACAACTATTCACTTAGTGACCATTTGAAGTTGCAATGGGCTGAAAAAAGTGACTTATGACTGTTTATCACACTTGCAACCATTGCAGCATCCCCGTGGTTACGTTAATTTTAGATGCTTGGCAACTGGCATGTACTTATGATGGTTGCTGCTTCCAGAATCATGTAATAAACTTTTTGTGACCTTCTGACAAGCAAAGTCAATGGGAAAGGCAGATTCACTTAATAACCATGTTACTAATTTAACAACTGCAGTGATTCACTTAACAGTTGTGGCAAAAGGACATCAAATGGGGCAAAGTTCATTTAATAATTGTCTTGCTTAACAACAGAAATTTTGCACTTAATTGTGGATTGAGTTGAGGACTACCTATAGGCATGTAAAAACATTGTGTCTTCATTTCAACATGCCAACTCTTTAAAACAAAACCAGAACCAGAACAAGCAAGGGGGGGGGTCATCATGAAACCTGATCCTTAATTTCTTTTCAAAATACTAATTTTGCTTTAGTCTGCTTTACTTACTTCATCATCATCCATTACGTACTCCTTAGCAAATTCATACATTTCTTTCTGAAGCGTTGTTATGTTGTAATATCGAATGGCTTCCTAGAAGATGAGCAGCAAAATTATGTATCATATTAAAATCAAAACACTGAAATATCAAGGTCAACACAGCAAGCCTGGAAAAAATAAGCCTATTCTCATACTGTATGTTAAGTGTTTCTAATCATGCTACTCCAAAAGTCTGGAATTTTTGATATACTGGTTAGCCAACCAAACAGAATGGGCTACTTTTCTTTTTAGACTGTAATAGGCCAACATTTACTTACGGCTCTAGGCTGGAAATCTTCATTTGTGAGTCCCCATTTATCTTTATGATATTGGTAATAGATAAGATTCTGTTTCATCACTTCATCTTTCTGGTCAAAAAGCATGTAACTAGCAACACATGGAGCTGCATTCTTCAAATCATTCACTGAATCAAATATGCAATAAATCAAGTCAACTTGTCAGAAAGATACTATTATAACAACACACATTGTACAAATATAATATTTTATCAGCACTTTTGAGTTGAAATCAGACCTCAGGGCTGAATTCTGATTCATGGTAGAAGTGCATATTCCCAACTAAAAATAAATAAATTTATAAGTATTAAAAACAAGTATCCCATCTTAGCCTTAACACCAGAATTATAAGATATGTATTCTTTCTTCTTCTGCCTTTTTAATTTCATTTTGATAATGGCAATATATAACAGTTCTTCTGTATGTAGATCAGTGGTTCTCAACCTGTGGGTTGGGACCCCATTTGGGGTCGAACGACCATTTCACGGGGGTCGCCAAATGCAGTCCACCATTTTTCCCCCCTTTTCCTTAGCTGTGCTACCCCCTTTTATTCTATTGGCTTTTGAAAGCCAATAGAATAGACTCTCTTGAATAGAGTCTAATTCTATTGGCTTTCAAAAGCAAATAGGAATTGTCCAGGCTGTCTCTGCCCTGCTGAGTCCACCAAAAGTCCCATTCTGCAAACGGTGCTGCACCAGTTGAGTAGTCCTCGACTTACGACCGGTTGAGTAGTCTTCGACTTACGACCGGTTGGGGGTTGCGGCATTAAAAAGGTTGAGAACCACTGATGTAGATAAAGCCAGTCGCTTTGTACTTAAGAAATATTGATATCACTTAAATCATCTCCATGTAAAAAATGCAAAGCAAAGTGAGCATTCTTTTCTTAATGATCCAATTAGTGCTTTTAGGGAAATCAAAGGGATTATCTACTATAGTATATCATCCTGGGCAGAAGATATAACTCAATTGCTGAGCTAAGCTATTTTTTTCACAGCCATTATCTGTTGGGTAATGTTGGGCTTCAAGTTTTAGTGACCATGGTCTAGACAATAGTTCAGAATGAGGCACAAAGAACAAATTACACAAACTTGCACAAGTTGGAAACCAGCTTGGTTAAAGACCAATTGGAAGTCAGGACACTTGGCAATAATGATAGGTTCCTGCTCAGTTGTCTGTGGTAGTCACTAAACACTGATGCCCCAAACTGCCTATAACATGTAAAATGGCTATATGTACTAATAGTAGATGAATTACACATAGTAATAAACAGCACAATTTTACATTAATTGTAACAAATAACCTAACAGAAACTAATCCAGCATTCATGACATCAATATCTAGCTTAGATTTCTGAAATAATCAGGCCTTAACAAACTTTTGGAAAGCCATGAATATTGGGGAGGGGTCATCTCCACAGGAAAATTATTCTATAAGAATGGGAACCCCTGTAGAAAGTAACCACATTTGTACTGCTTTCCATCAGAAGCAGCCAAAATTGGGGATATGATTGCAGAATTGAAGCCCTGTCACTCTGAATAAACATTTATGCAAAAACAAGAACCAAGAGGCTTCAACTGCATCTTGGCTTTTTAGTTCTCATCCAGACATCTTTGTTAGGATCAGTTTCAACTAAGAACAAAACTCTTAACTTACATTTATAATAGGCAAACTGCAAGTAGTGATACATAGTTGCCACAAATTTTTCCACAACATAGCCCCCTATGACAGGTGTCAGATCAATTTCACATCTCAGTTTGCACTTAAGAACTTCAATATAGTGATCTAAAAAATAAAATCTGAACATTAGTTTACTAATTCACCTTGAAGATGACAGGATGATTATAAAAAAAACAATACTATGAATTTAAAAAATGTACAACATTTGAGGCATGAAAGTCAGTAGGATATGTCAGTGTTTAATTTCTGGGATACAAAAAAATTCATTATACAGAATACCTAATAAGCAAATGCAGCATATATTCTCAAAATCATGACATTGGCATGACAAATTCCTAGAATAAGTTTAATTATTACAAATAATTCTGAATGTGTTAGAACTGTGTAGGATTTCAAATAACTATTCTGATTCATTTTCTTCTGATTCAGATACTAACACTGCCTCCGCACAGAGGTCTCCTTCCACTTCTTTTCCAATTGAATTAATTTGGCCTATTTCAGTATTTCAATTTGAGGCAGAGAGTTCGGCTTTGCACAGGTCAGAAAGATACACACAAAAATTGATTTGTTGGCATTTCATGGCAATTCAAGTAAGCAGGAAAACGTTCAACACTGTATTTGGACACAATTCCAGAGATCTGGAAAATACAGTTTTGAGAAAAAAGGAAACCATATTCAGATAAAATAATATTATTGAATTTCCCCCCCTCAGATTGTGTTTCACTCCCTCCAAATTATCCCTCACAAAACTTTCCCACAAATTTCAATATGGGAATCTAAAAGAGAGAAATAGCAACATGCAGGGCTAAGCCTACTGTACCTTCCTCAATCAATGCCTCCTACCCCACAACTTCTTTGCTTTATAAAGCTTTTCTGATTTATTTTCTTGAATGAACCATGTTGTTAACTTGTAGTAAGAGTTGTTAACTTGTACTATCTGCTTTTTCACTAATATAGCTATATTTCCAATAATTAAATAGGTAATTAAACATTACATTGTCTGGGCGCTCCATCACTGGAGGTTTTTAAGAAGAGACTAGACTAGTCCAGAGGGCTGGACTAGAAGACCTCCAAAGTCCCTTCCATCTCTGTTCTGTTCTGTTCTGTTCTGCTCTGCCTTGCCATGCTCTGCCCTACTCTAATTAATATAGTTTTGATGTCAATTTCAGTCAAAACTGTTCAGATTGATGTCTTGACTAATTTTTTGTCTCCAATCCAGATTATATCTATTTATCTGCCTATTTTAGGCTTTGTGAGTAATGTGTCATAATATTGTAGGACTAATACATATAATGTATATACTAAATAGGTAGGATAAAGCAAGAGAGAGAAAGAACAATTTTGTGCAGAAGCAAAATGTCTCTTATATAATGTAACAAGTGATTATAAATATTATATTTAGGCTTCTTTTATGTCAGAAAGGAATAGAAGAAAGTTCCTGTTTTCTATTTGCAGCCAAAACTTGATATTATCTCCTAATTTAAATAGAAAATACATACTGTACATATATGTCTAATTAATGCTTTGAACAAATTTCTTCATCTCCATAATCACCTGAATAACCATATTTATGTCAAATATGAATCACTTCATTTTTAATTCTTATTCTCACACTCCTTTCTCCTCACTGGCTGAAAACTGATTATTATAAGGCATATAGTGGGTGTAAAATTTAGAAAATAAGGATTATTTCAAGAAACCCTTTCACCTGCGATAGACAGATAAAACTCCTTAAAATCTGTGATCTCCCGGGAACCTTCACAGGCAGCTGTACAATCATCATAGGCTTTGTAGAAATCAGGAAGTGCCAGTTCCATGTCTGAAATTGAGGTCTTCCAGTTTTCTCCATTGTAGGCCCTTACTGCCCTGACAAAGAGAGTCTGAGAGGCAAGAACAAAAATTGAAGGAATGTGGCAAAAATTGTATTTGAATGACCTAATTTCATTCCATATCACTATATGCTCAAGAAACTGAAGTTTTGCTTTGCTTTATTTTCTGTTTTCTTTGCACAGCAGATCCAAACAGGTCATTTTTCCTATATCTACCTTATTAATTACACATTTTTCCCCATGAAACTTAACACTGTCTTAAGATTCGTGGGGTCTTCTAATAAAATCCTGTATTAAAAAATTCACTTTCTACCAATATTTTGAAATTAGTTAATTAAATGTAATGGATTGTCAAGGGACCAAAATTTGGCATTTTTAGCAATAAAGCCATTATTATTATTTACAGATGAAAATAAGAAATTATAGGAAGCTAAAAAATTATTTATATATATTTTTACAGAATATTATAAGACATGTTAAGAAACAAGGGTAGAAACTATACCTCATACGATCTGATTTCTAAATCTTTAACATAATCTTCAGCATCAGGCATGCTTTTGTAATACGCCATATTCCTTTTCATCATTTCATCCTCCGGATGTTTCAGAAGAAATGTATGTGCGGCTGCAACAGCTTTTGGAAAATTGTTTGCCTAGCGAAAAAGAATTTGATATATATATATATTGTCCTTAATGTCATGTCATATATATATATATATAAAACAAAATCAATTATAAAATACAAAAAGTTTTATATTTCCATTTCACAACTTATATATGAAATATATTTTGTTCAAATATTGTAAAATGTATTTATTTTCATCTTAAACAATTTCTAATAAGTGCCATAAGGAGTATTCTGAGATGGGAAAGGGATTAAGGAAGGCAATGAGATAAATAGGAAAAAAATCAAGATATCAAAACTGGGTAACAATAAAGGTATTTGGAGGGGGAAAATGTATCACAGGGGCAATGAAAAATTTAGCTGCTCAGTTTAAGTTATTTCAGTTAAGAAAACTAAAAACAGCATGCAATGTTACTAAAAAAAAAAATCACAATGATGAGCAGGTCATGGAAATGTGGAATAAGCAGCACACAATGGTTATCAGGGATGAGGTTTATGAAAGAAAGTGCATTACATATGTCAGCCTTTTCCAACCAGCAGCATTTTTAGGATCTCTTATTAATACACATTTTAATGGGTTTTTTTATTTTTTACATCAAAATGCTCAGGAAAACACTGTGGTGAAAGGGTAATCAATCATAGCAAAACAAGTCATATATGTATAGCTAAAATTAATACCTTAAAAAATTTCCCTCTCATAATGTAACAAATTTAGTTTAATCTATTTCTTCTTAAAATTTAATCAATCCACAAAATCATCCCTATTACATCTATATAAATCACTCCTGCTTTTAAGCTCCACTAATTAATTAACATATTCCAATTAATCTTAAACAAACATATTAATAAGACTTTGGGTATCCCTTCTACAACACATAATATTCCGAGAATAATATTCTAATATTTTCATATATATTTCATCTCTTAATTTAATACATCATTAATTAATACCCTTTCTTCTCTTATCATAGATCTCTCTATTACAAAATAGTTTTCTATATAAACAAAATAAAAACAAAATAAAAATAAACAAACAAAAAAAACATTTCAACCTGTTAAGTAAAATTTAAATCTCAACAAAATTATCTATCGTATCTAAAACAAACCTATTATTACACCAGTTATTATCTTACTACTTTCATTTACTCAATTAAATTGTCAAATCAATCCAAATTTCTAAAGCCTTTTTGACCCAATAATTAAGCTTTTAAATCACATTTTTAAATCTGACTCTAGCTTTTTTTCTATACCAAGCTGGTTTCCATAATGTCGCATTTACGTCATCAAATCTCAGTATTTGAGTATTAATGTTCATCAATAAATCGATCTGATCAAAATCCTCTTCCCCTTTTTCCAGTATCATGTAAGCAATATAGTCCATTTTGTTCCATATTATAATTTCAGCTTGATTATCCAAGTTGTCATAACTTTCAATCAATCGCGTCTGGCTGTCAATTCCTGTTAATTTTAGCAATGAGAGTACTTCACTTAAAGTCATTTTTGGATCTTCAAAGTTCTTCACCATTTGTGCATAAATTTGTGAAATATCCTCCTCTGTAGTAGTTAGTTGGTTTGTAGAGTAATCATTTAAAGTCTCAATCTGGAATTTTGGGTCCAAAATTTTTCTAAAGGTTCAATTGATCAGTGAGTTCCTCCATCTCAAATTGTGTAGACTGTTGCATATAAGTTTGTCCTTAACCTATAGATTGGTCTTTTAGAGTTTGAAGCCCAGCTTGTGGTTCTACAAGATAATCTTTAGTTTTTCTCCATGACTTCATCTCCTCTTTCATTTCCAATATTTTTTCCAATATCAGCTCATAATCCAGTCCAGAATTCAATTGATCAGTAAATTCTTCCTCCATCTCAGATTCTGTACACTGTTGTATATAGGTTTCTTCTTGGCCTATAGATTGATCTTTTAGAGTTTGAGGTTGAGATTCTACAAAATAATCTTTAGTTTTTCTCCATAACTTCATCTCCTCTGACATTTCCAGTATTTTTTCCAATATCAGCTCATAGTCAAGCTGTGGGTAAAGGTCTGCTATTTCTATCGTAAAAGAGTCTTTTAATCTTTTTTGGGAAACTATATTTATTCCACCTCCATTTTTAAATCACAAACACAATCCATAGCTGTTTGCATTTTTAGGATCTCTTGTTGCCTTTCTTCAGACTTCAGGCTCAAAGAAATGTGCTGCAACCCCAGCCACTTTCAGGCGTGCTTATGACATTGTAATGCTTACACAAAAGGGGTAGGGCTTGCACTGTGACATTGCTTTTGTCAGTCTGATTCTCCCCTTTCTAGTTGTTGCTGCCTCCAGCCTTATGTTTTTATTAGATTTATATGCTCCATTGCAACCAGGAGTTCAAGGCAGCAGGCACAGTTTAGTGTGGATAGATTGATAAATAGACAGAAAGACAGTAAGAACAAAATGGGATAAGATGCTGACTGGTTTAAAGTCACCCAGTGAATTTTCTTGACTAAGGGAGAACTAGAATATTTCTACTAATACGATGGGCTACAACTTCCAGAATTCACATAGCCAGGAGCTAACACTTAAATGTGTAGTCCAACACATCTGGAAGGCTGCAGTTGAAAAGCCTGGCATATATAATTCTTATTTAATTTTATGTTTATAGCACTAGAAAAACAGAAAACTAACAATTGGCTGAAGGACTAAGGAAAAGGAATTGATGGGCCTAAGAAACTACAAAGATTACTAAATTCCATGTTTGACAAAGCAGTTGTATGACATGCAAGAAAAATAAATCTGCATGCAGGTGTGCACTGTTTCTTGACCTTAGCAGCTTTAAAATACATGGACTTCAATTTCCAGAATTCCCTAGCCAGCACTCAAATTCCGGCAGACAAATTCACAAAACTTTAACTAGCTGATTGACAAATATTAATCTATCACTCAATAGAACAGTGGTTCTCAACCTGTGGGTCGGGACCCCATTTGGGGTCAAACGACCATTTCACAGGGGTTGCCAAACAACGCAGTCCGCCATTTTTTCCCCTTTTCCTTAGCTGTGCTACTCCCCTTTATTCTATTAGCTTTTGAAAGCCAATAGAATAGACTCTCTTGAATAGAGTCTAATTCTATTGGCTTTCAAAAGCCAATAGGAATTGTCCAGGCTGTCTCTGCCCTTCTGAGTCCACCAAAAGTCCCATTCTGAAAACGGTGCTGCACCAGTTGAGTAGTCTTCGACTTACGACCGGTTGAGTAGTTCTTGACTTACGACCGGTTGGGCTCGCGGCATTAAAAAGATTGAGAACCACTGCAATAGAAAGTTCTAAAGTTTTTCAATTAAAAAGTAAAACATAAGTCTGAAATTCAGAATGGATGATAGATGAATATTGAATGTATGTGAAAGATGCATTTGATTTTAAGATAACCCTTCCTTTGTAATGATATGGAAGGGGTTGTCACAAGTCTTCCTTTCAGATAAATTGATAAATGATTTAGCATGAACCGTGGGCTACCATTGTCACCTGCTTGTATATCCCAATCTCTAAATGCAGGGCAATGAAAAATAATTAAACTTTTCCAATCCAAAGATGATGTTAGGGGAAATTTCACCTGTTGGACTTCTGCCTTCCTGTTTAAAAAGCCTCAATTTAACACATGGAGGAAAACTAAGAGCGCAGAATGCTCAAAAAGATCCGGACTTCATGAAAACTTTGGAAAGGAGGAGGCGCAGAAGCGGGACGCAAACGTGGCAACGGGCTGAGCCAGGGGAAAGGTGGCTCGAGCGAGGGGCTACCTTGAAGTAGGCGAACTGCAAGAACTTGTAGGGATCGCGGCGCTGGAATTCTTCCAGCATTTCCCGGCTGGGCTGAGACTGGCGGAAGGCCGGCAGCCCTTGCTTGCAGCGTTTCAGGCACTGTGCTCTGCGTAGCATGTCCCCGAAATAGCGCAGCTCCGGGAAACCATCGAAACGGTCGGCCTCTTTCTCTTCCTCCATGCGGACGGAGCTACAGTTGAGGTGACAGAAGGCCTCGCTGTCCCGCAGAAGGCGATAGAGGCGCAGGCTCATCTCCAGGTAGCTCACACTCTCCGGCCAGTTCTCGCTGCTGTACTGGTCCAGGCCGTAGCGGTAGGCAGATTCCAAGGGCATTAGCTCGTCGCGCGGGAAACTCCTGAAACTGTAGCGCTCGTACTGAGCCCGAGCCCCGGCCCAGAGGAGGCAGAGGGTGGCCACGAGTAACCGGCGCCTCCACATCTTTCCCAGCTTAGAGAATAACCGGACACCACGTAGCAAGAGGAAGGGAATAAAAAAGTTTAGCCTTCCCGCCCCACTCCGAGAACCAGGCGGGGATCCTGAAGGACTGACGTGCAGTTGGACCCCTCCTCCTGACCCGCGCTGGAAACGTCGCACTTTTTGGGGAGAAACGGGTGGGGGAAACTAGGTCAGCAGTTGAACAGAGGGGTCCAACTTGCCTTCGTTGGAGGGATCTCGCTTAGGAGGATCGGCACAATCGGATACTTTAGGAAGCAAGCTAACGTGCAAGAAAACTGACCTTGTCCTAAACTTTTACATCTCAAGGATGGATCTTTCTCGCCTTCCGCTTTTCCTCAAAGAACAGAGATGTTCATTTCAAAGGGCGTGCTTCAAAAGAAAAAAAGAAAAGAAAAAGAAATGAGCATAAACAAGTTGCTCTTTTTGTATTTATTTTCTGTTTATGTATATCCATTCACTTAAAACAGTGCTTCTCAACATCCGCAACTTTAAACTGCGTGGATTTCAACTCTTAAGTTTGAAATACACTGACAAATTAATAGATCAAATTATAGCAGACTTAGACAGATGGAAAAGTTCTCCTTTATGGGGAAAATAGCGACAATCAAGATGAATATACTTCCCAAATTACTCTTTTTATTTCAATATGTACCAATTAAATTAGGCAAGGATTTTTTTGAAAATTTAAACAGAATTACATCCAAATTTATCTGGCAAGGTAGAAAACCGAGAATTAAATTAAAATTATTACAGGATGCAAAGGAAAGAGGAGGGCTCGGTCTCTCGAATTGGGAAAAATATTATCAAGCAACAATATCAATATGGATAAAGGATTGGATACACTTAAGGAACAGAAAACTACTGGCATTAGAAGGCCATGACATGCAAATAGGGCGGCATGCTATAATGTGGGACGGGAAATATAAGGCTCATCAGTACTTTCAGAATCACCATATTAGACGGGCACTATTAGATGTATGGATAAAAATTAAAAAAAATAATTATATAAAAATTCCCAATTGGCTATCCATATTAGAGATATTCATGCACCCCAAATTCATAAATTTAGGAAGAGTAATTACATATAAAGATATTTTAGACAACAATGGGGACCTGAAAACAAGGAAAAAATTATCAGAAGATGGTATAGAGTTGGAATGGTAGGCATACTTACAAAACAGTTGTGATACAGAAAAGACAAAAAAGAACCAGGGATAAAATTAGAACATACACAATTAGATAAAATCCTTCTAGGAATAGAAGATCAAATGATAAAAAAGATATATCAATATTTATTAGAACAAGATTTGTTAGAAGAACAGGTAAAAGAAACAATGTTAATCTGGAGTAAAAATTTTGGTTATAGTATTGACCTAGATAATTGGCAATCATTATGGAACAGAAACAGGAGGTTAACACTAGTCACCTCCTACAAAGAAAATTTATACAAGATGTTTTATAGATGGCACCTTCCCCCTACAAGGCTAGCAAAAATAGATTAAAAAAAACCTCACCAACATGCTGGAAATGTAGAAGGCTTCCAGGGACTTACTATCACATGTGGTGGGAATGTTCATAGATGCAAAATTTTGGGAATCAGATAAAAAATTGGCTGGAACAAATACTATTACAAAAAATTGATTTAAAACCAGAAATCTTCTTATTAGGGATTATTAATGATAAACTCAGCAAAGCATCTTTTTACTTACTATTGCATAGTTTAACCACAGCAAGATTGGCAATGGAAAAGAAGGGAAACCCCCACTTAGGAAGAAATAATAAATAAAATTTTATCCTGCACCGAAATGGACAGGTTAACTCTAGAGATTAAAAATAAAACTGAAACAGAGTATTATGAAATTTGGAAAAATTTGTACGATTGGTTAGAGATAAGGAGGATCGCTGAGATGATTATCGATTGACTAGTTGATATTATAAGGACTTCTTATTAGTACCTATATTAGGACACAACTGAAAGATATGTAAATACAACGTTGACTATTGAAAGATGGTTTATCAAAAAAAATTACAGATGTTATACGCACAGTTTGTTATACTCTGTCCTGTTACAGAATGTATTTTAAGTTTCTGTTTTTCTTTCTATAACATAAGGTAATACTAATAGCACTGTTGAAGCCAGGGAAGTTGAATCGTGTCCATTTTTGTTTTTAAAATGTACATTTAATAAAATTTGAAAAAAAAAAGCTTCTTCAGTTCTAACTAACTGGTGGGGAATGGAAGGTGTGTGTGATTCAGCTGAAAGGAGAATCAGCAGTCCCAAGAAAGTTCCACACCCATTTGCATTCTGATTCAGTTGACTCTTGAGGATATGACTCTCAGAAAGCTAATGACTGACCTCAGAGTGCTAATGACCAGATGATTGCAAAGACTATATAAATCCTTCCATTCAGTCAGAACTCAAGAAGTTAAAAAAAAATTAAGGAAAAAATCCAAGAAAGTCCAGTTACCTTTGGGAAAAGCAGCCTTGGGACAACCATGACATGGATGACTGAAAATCTCCATAGACTTCTGCTTCTATTATCCTGGTTTTCTTAAGAAAGTAGAAATAACCTTATATGTACAAAGCAATTCCTGATAATAACTAATGCACTGCAGAAATTTTGGGCTCTATTGCGATCATAAGTTGAGAATTACCTGTATTAGCTAATGTGATGACTCCCCAGACACTTCCCCAGATACCTCTCCAGATGTTAGTTCAGAGGAAGATAAACCAGTTCCAGGCACGTCAAGAGGGGAATTGGTCAATGGCTTCAAGAAGTCATCTGAGAGTGATTTGTCTGAAGCACAGCTGCAGCAGGACAGCCCAGAGGCTTCAGGTGGGTAAAGCATGCACTACAGCCAGTCAATTATGAGGAGCTACCTTCTGCACCTGATCCGAGAACACGCAGGGCAGGGAAAATGCAGGAGCAGTGATGGTCAGCCTGATTACTTGTGAGGAGGCGGCCTCCTCACTCTTGATGGGCTGCACCGGAAGCTGGCTATTTAGCACAGCAGCCAGAGATGATGCTGTGAGCAATATGTTTGTTTTCTTGCTGTATGTTTGTGCCTTGAACTTTGGATTGTGTCTCTTCAACTGTTTTCCTTGCCTTGTTTTTGCCTGTGAACTGGCCTTTGTTTTGGAATTTGCCTTTGCCTTGAGGAATAGTGTTGGTTTCATTTGTGTAGCCTGTGGAACTCATTGGGGTTGAATTGATACCAGCACAGGGAATTGCTGGAGAATAACAGTTCAGGCTTGGAAACCTTAATAAATACTCCTTATACATGTGGTGTGTGTGTGAGTCAGTGCGACAGCACAGCTATCTGGTTAAACAATGTGAAAATACTTTGAATAATTATTCAACAGTGTTTTATCGTTATATTACAATGTTGATCACAAATATTTGATTCTTTTGTTAAAATATATTCAATTTTTATGCTAAAATAATAAATTACCAGTATAATCAAAATAAAACCAAAAATAAATTTAAATTAGATAAAAGTTCATAAAAAGTGGTATAGAGGATGCCCAAAGTTAATAAAAATAGTCTTAACGCTTATAGCAATGGCTTATAGCAATAATTCAGAAGGAGCATGTGTACCGTCCCTGGCTTGAGTTTCAAATTTTGCTTCCTTTAAATCCCTTCCAGAAATGCAGAGAGTACATACTGCATTAAGAATACAGAACACCCTATAAAGGTAATACAAACTGGGATATTTTATAGCAAGCTCTTTAAAAAGAGAGAGAGAGAGAGAGCTTCATTAATGGAGTTAACACAGGTGGTATAGAAAAAATTCGAAGCAGAGATCAGCAAAAAAAGCAGTATGTTGAAAAATTTTTTCCTTAAGATTGGTAATGATGAACTATATTCATTCCTTCAGTTTCAAATAAGATAAAGCGAGAGAAACAGTAACTGCGCTGATGCTTTGAGCATAAATTATGACCGTCTCTTTTCGAAAGCTTAAACAGGGTGAGAAATTGGATGAACTTCTCTTTGGAATACCGAGTACTATAAGTTTCTTGTTTTACTTCGTGGGTTCCCTCTATTATCACTCGAATCTTCTTTTTATTCCCCTCTGCGCTGTGGCACGAGCCGAGCAACTGTGAAGAGCTAAGAGGAACCGTTTTGGAAACCAGAACCAACTTCCTCCTTCTCCCCTCGGACCGCCGCCTTCGCCTCCTTTGGCTCTATCAGATGTCAATTCAGGGAAATTCATAGTCTGCCCAATTTAAGCGTAGAACTGTAGGAAGAACATAAGCAGCAGGAACAGAATCGCGAAACCCCATATTCTGAACGGCAGAGTTGAGAACAGCTGAAGATGGCTGGCAACAGAAGAATGATGATTATTCACACCACTCCTCTCAATGAAATGGGTTTCCTTGCATTTTAGAGCTGCAAACAGACACGCGCGTCAGCTTGAGGCGAAAGTGATCAGCTGACTGGAGTCATGCGGTCGGTGGGCCTGGCTGCGTCTGCTGCCGGAGTATTGTCTTCTCTTTCTTTGACTTGCTGTTTTAACATGCTTGTTCTGGTTTTGCTTCACTTCCTAGCCGCAGGATTTGGATCCCCGGTAAGCACAGTCCTTTCTCGTAATCTCTCACAGGAAGGGGACTGGCACGAGGGAAGACTTTTATTCTGCTCCCTCCCGGAGCAGAAGGGAGCACTGCGTTGATGGAGTATTTTTCGAACCTGGCAACTTTAAGATGAGTTGATTTCTATTCCCAGAATTCAAGTCACCCATATTAAAGTTTCAGAATTGGGAATCACTGCCATAGACACTGGGGAGCTCAGTTGGCTTCTCGTAGTGCCACTATACTCTTACAAATATTCAAATATGATCAGGAAGAAGTCTGAGCTGCTCACCATTAATCTAGGCAGTGTTTCTCAGCCTAGATAACCTTAATATGTGTGGATTTTTGGCTGGGAAATTCTAGGAGTTGAAGCCCACATGTCTTATATTTGCCAAGTTTGAAAAATGCTGATGGAACTGAATGTAATGCCCAGTCTTTGCAAAGAGGCCTAGCATCTAGGAAATGTGGGAAACTAGGGTTAATTAGCAAACCTATTGTTGTACTCTTAAGTCCTGAAGAAACTTTGAAGCATTGCTTTGAGTAAAATTAGCATTAACTGAGCTTGGCCAACATAGGCCTGATTGATAGGAGACTAACCAGGAGACCCAAGGACTTAAGTCTAAATGAGGAAGTGAAAATATGTCCAGATGAAGCAGCTTTCCTGACATTGTTTATTGCTGCAACTCTGTAGTCACTAGATGGAATATCTACCTTACCTAGAAAAGCATCCAAACTGCAGAAGCAGATGCTTTTCTCTGCATTTCAAAATGCCTACTCTTTGGTTAACAGGTTGAAAACACATGGGACAAAGCCATGCGCGGTTAATGGCTTGTATGACATTTGGTACTACTGAAACAAATTTATCAAAACTCTCATTGTCTTTGTCTGTATCTTCAAGTACATTATACTGTAACAGTTTTTAAAATCTTTAATCAAGGTGCTAAAATTCACTGACTTGAAGAATATATATATATAAAACCCTATACCCATTATTCCTCTGGAGTTGAAATTTGCATAATGTTCAGACCAGTTTTAATTGCAAAATTATTGCCATTTATTTGCCAAAGTTGTCCCTGCAGTTATGTGGTCATGATTTCAGACAGTTCTACCAGCATCCCTCAACAAAGACGATGGGGAAGCTGGCAGAAAGTGGTTCCTACTCCCACCGTTTTTTCCCCTACGTATACAATTGCAATATCTTCATGAAAATTTAATGCATTACCTGCTGCTGGAACTATCTTTTTCTTCACGATAGTATCACGAACGTATCTGACTGAAAATATTGAGGTGACAAGATTGAGATGGCTGCTGAAGTTGCAGATGGGATTCTTTCTTAACATCTTAATGGTCATAGGATCCCAGCTTTTAGTGAAAGTTGTTCACTCAATCCATTCAGCTTTATTATTATCAATCCCAATGATTAAACGTAATGAATGTCAGAAGATATAATTCACTTTAGCTTCTTGTTTGTTTCAGCATTAAACCACTTATTGGGAAATATTGCTTTTCCCAGAAGTAGGATCCTTTAGTCAATTTCTTAAATATTTCAAAAGAGTATTATGTGGCTAGTTTTCTTCTGTTTACTTGAATAAAAAAATAACTTCATGTTAAAGCAAATACGACTAAAGTAAAATCTGAATAATCCCAATAAATTCAGTGGATCTTACTATTGAGTAAATCTGCAGACTATCATACCTTTATTAAATAATTTAGTATCCACTAAAAAATTGCTTGAGGTAAATTTAATTATAATTAACATTTTAAACCACCTAGTTCCTTTCCATTAATGATAAAATAAGTAGAGAGAATACACTTTATTTGCATTTATAATTAATAATACAAAATTGTATGTTGTGGTTGAAAATTAAGGATAAAACCTCGTGGCAATAATCATGTGGCTGTTAGATAAAATTTTGGGGATGAATACAAAAATGCTTATACATGTTGATCTGTTCAAATACTGCTTCACATTCAGTACATTAAGTTTATCTAACATACTGATGCTCTAAATATGTGAAGAGTAAGAAAAATCTGTCATAGGATTAAGAACAGTCAAGTCGTGAAATCATCTACAGCAGAGGTCCCAACCTTTTGGTCAATAGGGACTGGTTATGTGGAGAGAGATTTTTCCGTGGACCGGAGGGGCCATGGTTTTGTGTGCTGTCTGCATCCTGTTGATGGGGCTTTCTTTGTTTGTGCAGACTGGTTGCTGGCATGCCGCGGCCGAATATTGGTCCATGGACCTGGGGTTGGGGACCCCTGATCTATAGTATTCAATTTCCAAGGAGTGAGATATTTTAAGAATGTTACCACTTTCCCAGCATCCTTTTCCTTGACAGTATTTCTATGATACAAAGTATATGTGCAGATACACGCAGGGGTCTGCAACCTTGACAAGCATAGCTGGCTGAGGAATTCTGGGAGCTGAAGTCCACAAGTCTTAAAAAGTTGTCAAGGCTGCAGACTCCTGCACTAGAGACATAATAAGTTGAGGGTTTTTTACTGTTTCATGTTGCTCATCGTATTTCTAGAGATTGTCCACTGCCTTAAAATCCATTAAATGAAATGGTGGGATTCAGTTGGTTCACACCACTTCGGCAGCTAATTTTTTGTTGCCCAGGCCCAGAATGGACTTCTGGAAGCAGCATCTACAGAGAAAACTGGTTGTTCACATATTTTAATCCCAATGAGGTAGATGGAAAATTGCCATTAAGAGAAATAATAAAGTACTTTTGAATTATATTTTAATTAACAGAGGTGATGTTTTGAAAGCATTAACTAATACTATAAACTGGCTGAGTGTGATGACCTTTGTGCAATTCTATCAAGAAACATTTTTACAAGAAGTGCCAACCGAAAGTCACAAATGGTGTAAGATATTACACGTGTAGGGGAGTGTGGTTCTCTGCACATTGTATAAATTTCCCTTTTTCCTATGCATGTGATCTCAAGATATGAACTTCTCTCTTTTAGTGTGTTAAAGGTAGATAAGAAGTCATCCATTAGGTTAAGCGTGGGTGGCAAGCTGTATAAAAATGACACCCTGGGAGTAACTCAGGGTTCAGCATCTGTCAAGCTAATGCTCTGAACCATTGTGCACAAATAAAGCCTGTTTTCTCCAATCCTTCGTGGTCTTGTCTTCTGATGTAAGTATTGTGGTTTTTCCATAACACCACCACTGATTAAATGTACATATTATAACCATTCTTCCTCTGTGACATTTGGAGGTTGGAAGGAATGAAGCATTTCCATCCACCCACAATTACCCAGCTGTTTTTGAAACAAAATTACATCTGTCAACAAGCTTCACAGGAATTGCCATTTTGACTTTCAACAAGTATCAAAAATAAGGTTTCCTATATATTTAATTTGACCAACCTCCTGAATCTAAAACTATGTTAATTCAAGTCATGAAAATTACAGATCCACATCTTAGCATTTGTTTATCTCGGTTTGTCTTCTGTCTCATGTTCAACAGAGCTCCAGCATTAAAACCACCACTAATTTATTACATCTGCTGTAAAATTTCCCCAGAGATCAGAATGCTTATTAAATGATTAAGCATCACCAAATCTCAAGGGAACTACCATATTTTGTGAGATTGAATTATACCTGTTGGATTATAGCAGTGTATATTAGTATATGACTGAAGACACTTATATCATTGATGATATTATAATACAACAGTTCTTTCTGCAGTTCCAATTGAATTTTTTGCCAAGAGGGCTATAAGGACATATTCCATTTCACAGGTTTTTATGAGAATATTGCACTGAGTGGGGAGGAGGAAGGACAATAATATACAGAATTTTTGGCTTCTCTTGAAAAGGAATATTAGAATATTAGAGTTATTATTACTACTAACATATTTTTCTATATTTTATAAATACATGCAATCAAATAATGTTGTACAATAAAAGAGGATAACATTGAATTTATTTAAATAATTTATTATTGCCTTTTTGCTCCTATGAAACATTTGTAAGATTTTCTTTTTTTAAAAAAAGTAGATGCTGTTTATAATTATTGCATTTTAAAATGCTTATTTTATTGTTTTAATACAGAGAAGGGAAAATATAAATGACAAAGTACACACAAAGTACACAGACATACATAAACATCCCCAAAAACTTTTTTTCCACAAATGCCGGAATGATTTCAGCATCTCTGAATAATTTGAAATTTGATTTGAGGGCAAAGGACATGCCCTCAGTTCTTCAGAAGCTAAATATCATGAATTAATCCAATATGTTTGCTGCGCTGTAGCATGACACAGAAAAGAATAGGGCGTCCTGAGCCTGAGAGTTGCATATACCTCATTCTTTTTGGTGACCTTCAAACTCAATAAATTTGGCTGTTTTGCTGTGTTTTGGAAAAATTTAAACTATATAAATACATAACCTTCCTTTAAGCTTAGTTTAAAATCCCACTTTCGAAAACAAGTGTCTTTACCTTAAAAATCCCACTTCTTCCTAATCTCATGATTTCCTAGCATTATCACTTTCCCTTTCCCCCTGCAGTCCTCAGCCTTGCATCTTGTGATGTACAGTGTTGTTTGTTGAGAAATTGAATTGATTAGATCAGTGTTTCTCAACCTTGACAATTTTAAGGCATGTGGACTTCAACTCCCAGAATTCCACAGCCAGCATTGCTGGCTGTGGAATTCTGGGAGTTGAAGTCCACATGCCTTAAAATTGTCAAAGTTGAGAAACACTGGATTAGATGCTACTGACTTACTGCTTCTGACATTTTCAACCAACATAATGAAGAGTGATGGATGCTTGGGAATCAAGTTTAACAACATTTAAAATTTTACAGTCTTCTGTCCCTCACTGTAATATATACTGGCCAGTAATTACAGATTGAAAATTAGAGGCAGTACATTTTAGAGATAAAGCTGAACTCATTCTAAGTGTTATTAAATAGGGTATAAAAGAGAATTACTGCATGAACTTGTGTTCATCTCTTGAAATGTTATAAAAAAGAAAAGGAGATCACCTAGCAAGAAAAAATGATAGGTAAACTATACATTGCAATTTGCTGAATTAGGATTACAAGGGAGAAGGAGAATGTGTATATGTCTCCACAGTTAGTGTAGCAAAGTTAAACATACATAATAATCTAAACAGCTCTCCATTTTACTGATTAGATTATTATGTATGTTTAATTTGTGAATAAGATGTTGGGAAAAGTAATCAGACATATGCACAACTCTAATGTTCATTAAATTCTTCTGCTAGGGAGGTCTTCTGCTACATTCAACATGTAAAGTTTAAACCATGTAAAGTTTAAAAATTGCATTATTGCCTAGGTCTTTGTAAATTACAATCTATTTCATCCATCATTCAGATGTATAATGTTTTTATATCATGCATCTGAAATTATTATGGCACAGTTCTAAGTTTTTGAGATACCATAAGAATCTCTGATATGTATTCCAAAAGTTGTGATCAAAAGTTCCACTGTTTGTGGAGGAAAATGGAAAGCATTAGTTAAGCCCATTCATCACAGTAAGTGGCCGTGTATACCTTGGGGGCACCGTTTTTGGGCTGGAGGAAGGTAGGAATCAATATGTAAATGTTTGGAAAATGTTTGTTTTCCAAACTATGTTTGGAAAAAGGACCAACAATTTTTCAGGCAGCAATCATACTTTATGATTTTGTTGTATATCACAGGTACCAAAACCAACATTTTTACAAAAGAAAATTATATTTTCTTGTAAATCAGTTTTAAATATAAAATATTCTACCAGTGGCTTATTAATAATTTTACTTGCATTTATTGTTGGATCTGCTTTTAAACATAGTATTAATTGATGATTGATAAAGGAGACAGAGAATTTATCTTGTTTTGTTTTCTTTGGAATAATGAGAGAGGAATTCAGTTAAAATTGACTGATTTTACAGTGACACTGATTTATTTTTAGGAAACATCCCCACTTTTTTAAAAAAAATACATGTAGCCCTTAATGACTGTTCAGAAATATGGTAACACTAAACAAAATTACAAGCCATGTCCATAATTGAGGCCAATGCAGTGCTCCTGTGATTAGGAACTAAAAATTTGAGTGTTGCAGTTGCCCTTACAACCGCTGAAGTACTGTGACTCCCGCACCTGCTTATCTCCCCCTGATCTAGGCTGCCATGGATGGGCCTAAAATAGAGCCTGGGGCCTTCAGCAGTGTGAGTATCTGCCAGTACCCCAGCCCCTACCACTGCCACTACTACTCAGAAATGCCACCTCATACTATTCTCCAAGATATGCAAGCCTTGGGGAATGGCACACTTGCCTTATCACCCAATGCTTCTGAGGATATACTGCATACTGCTTACCTTCAGGTGTTTTTCACATGCCACTGAGAGGCCTGCATGGCCTGTCTTAGGCTGCTTCCGGTTGCACCAGGCTTTGTTTCCTGGATCCTGTTTGTGTGTGACTTTTGAAGCCTCAAGAAGACCTGTACAACTTCAGAAGTCCCACATGACTTTGGAAGGCCTATGCAACTCCAGAAGTATCTGCATGCTGCACATAACCTGCAGAAGCATTGCAAGACTTTCTGCAAGATTCCAGAAGCCCAAATCCTCTGCTTTAAACCCAATGTTGGCACTGGTGCTAAATGCCGTTGTGTATAGTGGCCTAAATTAAGAAAGATAGGCATGTGTGGTGATTTGGGTGGGATTTTATTTATTTTATTTTATTTATTTATATATCCCTTCTTCCTTCTCACTCTGTGAAGTGAGCTGAGAGAGACTGACTGGGCCAAGATCACTCAGCTGGTTTTCATGGTCTCCCGTTTTCTAGTCTGGTGCCTTAACTACTAGAACAGTGGTTCTCAACCTTTTTAATGCTGCGACCCCCAACTGATCGTAAGTCGAGGACTACTCAACCGGTCGTAAGTCGAGGACTACTCAACTGGTGCAGCACCGTTTGCAGAATGGGACTTTTGGCGGGCTCAGCAGGGCAGAGACAATCTGGACAATTCCTATTGGCTGTTGAAAAATGGTGGACTGCATTGTTTGGCGACCCCCGTGAAATGGTTGTTCGACCCCAAATGGGGTCCCGACCCACAGGTTGAGAACCACTGTACTAGAACAAACTGGCATCTGTCAGTAAAGAGTAATACTACAACTAACTTTCAGTTCTAGCTCATACTGCTGAAAAGTACCAAGTCTCTTTTCAGGCCGATGGTTGGCACTGCTACCAAGTGCCACACACTGCTGGGCCGACTGTGGCTTTGCATCACCCTGCACTGCTATCCCATTTTGTGCATGATTTACATGAGGCTTTCCAGGGCTCTCCTACCTCTGGAGGCATCTGCACATTCCACTTAATAATCTATGCAATTGCTTAATGACACAACTGGGATAGTCAAGATTGTGATTGTTAAGGTAGACAGTCACATGAGCATGTTGCTCAACAAGTACCGGTATGACTGAAATTCTGACCAAGGTAATTCCACTGATTTCCATTAGTGTACTTTAAGTATATATGAAGCAACACCCTTAATTTTCATACCTTTTGCTACAAAATTAACAAATAATATATAAATTATTTATTTATTTATTTATTTATTTATTTATTTATTTATGAGACTTATATACCGCTTTAAGTGCAAGCAGTCTCTAAGCCAGTGGTTCTCAACCTGTGGGTCGGGACCCCATTTGGGGTCGAACGACCATTTCACGGGGGTCGCCAAACAAGGCTGTCCGCCATTTTTTCCCCCTTTTCTTTGGCCACGTCCCCTGGCACCCGATGATGTATAAGTGGTTGGGGGTCACCACAACATGGGGAACTGTATTATGGGGTCGCGGCATTAGAAAGGTTGAGAACCACTGCTCTAAGCGGTGTACACCAGTAAGCAATGTATATATATATATATAATATATATATATATATATATATATATATATATATATATATATATATATATATATATATACATTGCCCCCAACAATCTAGGTCCTCATTTTACCTACCCCGGAAAGATGGAAGGCTGAGTCAACCTTGAGCTGGTGAGATTTGAACCGCTGACCAGCTAAAGTGGTGCAGTACTGCACTCAAACTGCTGCGCCACCTCGGCTCAAATTAAATAAGACTTTTCAAGAATAAAAATATCTTTAAATTTAAATTGCTTGATGACATTTATATATAATATTTTGTTTTAATAAAAATGATAAAACAAATAATATAGAATATTAAAGAAGGTAATAGAAGATTTTATTATCAAATCAAACTTTTTATGGCCTTTGGGAAAGCATAACAGTAAAATACATAGACCTGTAATTATGCACTTAAAATTTAAAAATTCAATAAAATGACATACATAATTATTGTAACTGTAGTATAAATAACAGTTGCAATTACCACAACTTCAATAGTAAGTCAAACAGCTGCAACAAATGATGGTCCAAAATTGAGCAATCTGGAAAGATATATCAGGGTCCTGATACAATAGACATTGGCTCTCTAGCAAGGTGATTCTTTAAAATGGCATGAATAATTTTTTCCTTGATATAGAAGGATATAGAGATGATAAAGAGAGAGCAACAAAGGAGCTTATGGTTTAACAATTCCACATAGCCATCTCTACATGGACATAAGGTCTGCTGAAAGGGACGTTTTTATACTGCCCCACAGAATTGCAGAGCATTCTACCTGGCCAAGGTGAAAGGCTGATGAGATTTATAAGTTAGAACTTAAGAGAGAGACATATCCATCTTAGAAGAATCCAGAAACTATAGGTTGGTACTAGACATACTACAATACTATTGTTTGAAAATCAGTATCCCAGATACATAGTTTAAGATGACTCCTGACATTTTTAAGTCGTAGTGGACAGAAGCTGGTCAGAGAAAATCCTAAGGACTGGAGTTTGTTATTAGCTTTTGTTAATCAAATTGATTTAAAACAGTAGCTAAGGACTAATGGAGCCAGGCTAAGGAGGAAAAAAAAACACACTAATTTCAACCAAAACCAGACTCAAGCACCCACAAAAATTAAATATGCCCCTAATTGTAAAACAACATTCTTGATGTATCTTGGAACTACAAGTGTTGTTCCTATAAATTTGGATTGTACAGTTTTCAGGAAAGTTGAGACATGACCTTAGCAAGAAAAACCATGCAAACTACTGGAATAAAATGTTCCCACTTTGAGTAGAATTGTAAGACAGATATGAAGCTATGCTGGGCCATGCTTGCCTGATAAAGATGTGTGCACTCTCAGATAAGGAAACTTTGAGCTGCACTTCAATATATTTATAAGAACATACTTGTTTAATGGGATCCCATTAATTTGCCATTTATGTAACCTACTTTTGTATTTTAGCTTTTTGATAATTACTATAATTTGTTCTTTTAGGCAAAAGGAAACCTAAGGATCACAATCCAATTTTTTGTAGAGACTGAATTTATATTAATGATGATAGGTTACATTTCTCCAAAATTTAAATATTGTCAAAACTTGTGTCTGCTGTGGTAGAATTCATGACTACTCAATCATTCTGGGGCTGAATGGATTATATTGAACATCATTGTTAAGGATAAAATTGACACAGTTTACATATTGCCCTCCACGGTTGGCAAATTAAAGTTTTTGTCTAAATAATTTTCTTTCATAGGTTACATCCCAGAGAAGCTTTGAGATTGATTATGCTCGCAACTGTTTCCTTAAGGATGGGAAACCATTCCGCTACATCTCAGGCAGCATACATTATGCCCGGATTCCACGGTTCTACTGGAAGGACCGTCTCTTGAAGATGAAAATGGCAGGTCTTGATGCTATTCAAACGTAGGTAACACTGAAACTCTCAGACCTCTTAAAGACAGAAATTCATCTGAGGTTTATAGTCATTGAAAATCTAGCACCATGAGATGAGGTGCTAAATGTTTGCAGTTCAGATAACAATTATTCTCTTCAGTAAAGAATACTCATAGGATGTATTCTGTATTTAGGAAATAATGCATTTCTTTATTTTATTCAGGAACAAACAAACTTCCTTTTGGTAAGCCAAAATCAGTTGAATAAGATAGGTATTTCAGAAACTGAAAAAAGAGTTTCTATTGTAAGTAAGAGGGGCCAAGAATATAAGTTTCAAATATAACTATAATGTATAGTTACATTATTTGCATGAAGATCTCCTGACTAATGTGTCATTTCTGATACAGGATTTTTATAGAGGCTTACAAATAGTAGGTTATTTTACAAAAAGAGTTAGGGCTGCATAGTGCTTTAAAATAAATTGAATGCTCCTTTAAGGTAAGGTAACAGATTCTTCAATATAAGAAGTGTAAATTTAGTGTCCAACTAATAATCTGGATAGATTTTACTTCTGCCAGTAACAGCAGACATTGAAATAATTATGGAAGCTATTTGTGCTCAGTTTTTATTTTGGTACACAATTTCATGAGACATTCATTGTCTGCGATTGGTGCCTTTCCCACTATGAGAACTAAAACTTGTTTTAGGATCTCTCAAGATGCTGATTTTTATGTCTGATAGGTTTTCTTGGGAATATTGTATATTTATTTATGCAGTATTTATCTCAGCATAATAAATATTTACATGTAGCCATCTAGCACTTCATATCTAATTTATTTATTAAAGTTATATGAGAGTGGCTTTAGGTGATTTGTTTGTCTCATGCAAAAATAACTGACAGTTTATTACTGTAATGCAGCCTTTCTCACTTGGGGTTGCGCGAGAAATTGTGATTGAAAAAAAGTAAACATTTTTTAAACTATGTGTGATGCAATGTTAGCACTCATGAGAGTAGGATTTTTTACGTGTTACAATTCACTTGTTGGCCTACTGATATGCTGTTGTTGTAAATCATAGGTTGTGTACTTTAGAAATGAATTGTATAGATACAATTGTTTAGCAACTGTGTCATTTAGTGACCATTGAGTTACAGATGTGAAAAAAAGTAACTTTATGATCAATTCTTGTATTTATAACCTTCATAAGTTTATAAAGAAAAGGAAAGCTGAAGTAAGATTGTAAACACAGTAGCTACTGCTTCATTTAACGACTGAGTCACTGGTCCTAATTGTGGTTGCTAAATAAAGATTATCTATATTGAGAAGCTTTAATATTTGTTATGATTTCTCTGTGAGGGTTCTTTGAGACATGAATGTTATTTTAGATTGAAGTTCCTCCATAGATAAAGACTGCTCTAACGCAATATGCTATGCATCATATTTCTAACAGCCACTAGAGGGGGATAGATGCATACGATTTATCATTATAGTAAGAGTAAAAATTTAAGAAACAACCAGTTGCTACACTGTGTATGCAAAACAAATTTGATTCAGAAGTTCTCTTGGACTAATCTCAGGAGAGAAAATAAAAAAGTATACAAGAGCTGTGTTTGTATTACAGAACTTTTCAAGTAATTAATTAATAATACATAGATTAATTTCTAGCTTTATAAGATTTGCATGGGGTCCATAGGATCACAAATGTAAGCTTAAGTCCACAAAACGTGAAATGGAACATGTCCTGAAATGTTAGAAAATAGAAATGTTATGAATATAATTCTGTTATCTAACATTTCCTACCTATGATACCAGGTATGACTCTGCTCTTGCTAACAGGTAGACAGATGGATAGTTAAATGGTTGGGTAGAGTTCTGAATCCCTTAATATATTTTTTTCTAACATTCCATGGAGTTGGAAAGTATAAAAAAAGGTAATCTCAGTCTTTCAAAGCTGCTTATTAAATCCAATTTATTGTTAGTCAAAGCATGTTATATCATAGGCAATTCCACCAGTTTTTTTTTTTTAAAATGAATTAACACAAAGGGATGCTGGGGTTTTGTTTCCTTGGTCATCTTGCTCAGCTACAGATAAAATTTTATGGAGTCTTTCTGAATCTCCTAAACTGACTATTGTGTCAAGACATCCACCATTCCTATCTCTCTGATGTAATCTGTACAATCTGTACAAGAGTGAAACATGAGGTTTGTAGGTTCTCCATCTCTGAAGCTTTTAAAGTTAGACTGGGCAGCCACCTCTCGTGGATTGATGGTTGTCTTCTTCTTCTTCTTCTTCTTCTTCTTCTTCTTCTTCTTCTTCTTCTTCTTCTTCTTCTTCTTCTTCTTCTTCTTCTTCTTCTTCTTTTCTTCTTCTTCTTCTTCTTCTTCCTCCTCTTCTCCTCCTCCTCTCCCCCTCCCCCCTCCTATATATGGTGCCCAATTGATATTACAGAGGATTGGAACAAATGATTTTTGTAATTCCTTCCAACTTTATGATTCTATGATTCTATGAATTCTGTTTTATATTTGCCTTAACAAAATCCTCTACTAAATGTTAAGGAGTATGCTTTGTATATAATTCTTTACATAGATGATTGTTTGAATTCCTCTGAAGATAGCATGTTGAGATTTTTTTTCAGCTGACAAACAGCTTTTTGGTGGTGTGCTCCCAGATTTGAAGAGGAGCAATCAAAGAAGGTCCTCAGACAACCATGGACAATAAAAATCTTGATGGTTGCAATTTTTCATAGGTCTCCAATTGTTTATTTGTTTTAAGCAAAATAAATTTTAATTGCTCATTTTGACATTTCCTTTTTTAGTTTGATTTTTACTTTTAAATGTCAATTGATTAGTTGAATGCTGATTAATTCTAACCCCTTGCTGGATATCAAACTGATTTTTTTTGTGTTTAATTTAATGCTTTATTATGCTGCTGCAAATCAATTTCACTTTCTATAGTGAAAGTGATCTGATGTGATTTATATTTGTAATGGATTTTCACTACAGGCATTTTGTATATTATTTTTTAAAAGCTCTGGCCTTTTTTTTTCTTTGATGGAAATTTTCCTTCCCCCTCCCCTTATTTTTATTGGGGAAAGATTATTCAGTATTCTCTGAGGTTATTTTGCTATGGTGCTTCCCTGTCATTGAGAGGAACTGTTTGAGTCTGACTGTAAAAGCTCAGTTACAGAAGAGTCTTGGACAATATTGAAAATACAAAGAATGCATCTATTTAAGGATAAAGCCATTTGAGAAGCCTTTTGAAAAACTGCTTTTCAACTTTCAACTTCAAATTGAAATTTTTAAATAAAAACTTTGATAAAATATCAATGGTTTTAAATCAACCCAAAGATGATATTTTCAGATAAACTAGACTTATAATCAGATGGATTGGAATCTAATTTGTTGCTGGTAGATTTGAAAGAAAAGGAGTTTGATCTGAAAATTGAAGGTTGGTTATGGATTCTAAAGACTCAAAGTTGACAGAAGTTATGAGTAATGAATTGGATTTTTATGAGAAGATTGATGGAGATTGGGAAATATAATTATTATATCTAATTGGAAAACAAATGTTAAGAAAAGTTGCATTTCAACTTGTAGAAGGTGTTTTTTTGGGGGGGGGGACAATAAATGCTGTGGGGAGATCCAAAACACAGACTTATAGTTTTGGGGAATAGAATCCAATTGTTGAGAAAGATCCCAGTTAAAAATTTAAGGAAAAGCTTTATTATTAAGAAACAGTCAAGAATATTTGATACTGGATATGGACCAAAGAGAATGATTGTAGTGGCTTATGCTAGATTAGAAGCTGTTATGGACTTTCTGCAAGTGAAATACAACAATAGAGTATTGACAGAGAGTTTTGAAGTTTAACTCTGCTGTTGGTTGTACCTGCTAATTTTGCATATCTGGAAGATAGAGGTCAGGTCAAATGGGTGGGGTAAACAGAGTTGTAGAAGTTAATAAATTGTGCTCCTGTTTTGCTGGGTAAGGGAACTATTATTCTTGAAATATATTGATAGGTATTCAACTGAGGAGAACCATTTATATCTATGTTTTTTTCTTTTTATGCACATTTATTTTCTTTTTTGTGTTCTCTAGTTTTGCTTTATTTTTGTATTTGTTTTTCATTTCTTGGAGTTTGTATTTTAACATTCTGAATAAAAATAAATTATTTAAAAGATGATCATCTTCAGATAATTTGTAGTTAATAAGAGCAACTGTATTCAATATATGTGAAAGACAAGGTGGTGGTGGGATGGTTAAGGTATTGGACCTTGGTAGGAAGGTCTTGTTCTTGTTCTTTATTAGGCAGGGAACCACTTGTGATTTTGGGCCTGTCAGTCTCAGTGAAATTAGCATTAGTTCTGTGATAAACCAATTGAAGAACAAAACCTCTTGTGGTATCATGCATAGCTTTGCTTATGTGAACTAAGCAAGCCCAATGCAAAACATACAGGCCCTGTAGCATAGTTTTATATGTAAAGGAAGTTCACTGAAAAAGGCCTGATATATTTTTAGAATTATTGTGTAATCATTCTTTCCATGTTTGTACAAAAAAAATATAGGCAGCAATAATTTTAAATGCAGTTCTTTGCTGGTGAACTAGTGGGCTTTTTGTAAATTGCAATTAAAAAGATGATAGTAATGTATGGGGTATTTACAGGTATGTTCCGTGGAACTTTCATGAACCCGAACCAGGAGTTTACAACTTCAGAGATGACAGAGATCTGGAGTTTTTCCTAAAACTTGCTGATGAGATTGGCTTATTGGTCATATTGAGAGCTGGGCCTTACATATGTGCAGAATGGGACATGGTAAATGTTTTCTTGCTTATTCTTGTTGACTTGCCCTTACATAGTGAAGACTGAATAATAATTTCTAAATCACAAAAAATTTCTGTGGGATGTAAGAAAGTTTCAAAATCAGTGTTAGGAAAATACCCTAAATAGACTAAAACAGTGGTCACCAAATATATAGTTTTCAGTTTTGTCTGATTAAAATGTTGAATCTTAAAGATAAATTTTTACTTATGCAGTTCTCTTCTTCATGGAATCAGTCACTTTGATGTATGTATGTATGTATGTATGTATACGTATGTATGTATTTAACAAATTTATATGGCAGTCCAATTCATACACAGTAATTGTGATTATTGAGTGGCTGGATAGAGATACATATGCTTAGTCCTGCCAAAATTAAGAGAAACTTTGTTTAATAACATATTCTGCTAAACATGAGGGAGGAGTGCTTATGTGGTCTTAGAATTTTTTCCTTCTATATCTAAATATATATATCTTCTAAGCGATCAAAAAACACGTAAAACATTGCTTCCACCCGGCTCCTAGATCTCGTCACCGGTCCCAATTGGCTAAGCCGTGCTCTAGTCGTAACTTCTGTATCAGTGACAGTGCTTTTCTTGCATCTCCTGCCTACGTGTATATTGTTGTGCATTCCCCCCTCATGTGGTTCTAAGTTGGGGGAGTTTTCTCCCCCTCTTTTTTGGTTAGTCAGGAGCTCCGCATCTCTGACGCTTTACCTATAAATGAACTCTCCCAACGCTTTACCTATAAATGAACTCTCCCAACGACTAACATTGTACCCTGAAAATGTCGGCAGTGGCCGACAAAAGCTAGGTGATTTATTGTATTAAACTTCTATAGTTTTATAATATTCCTGGTGCTCACACTTAGAATATGAATATACCCAGGAATCATACTTTTATTTTTAACGTTATTATCGATCTATATATATGTGTGTGTGTGTGTGTGTGTGTGTGTGTGTGTGTGTGTATATATATATATATATTATTTTTTTTTATAGGGTGGTCTACCTGCCTGGTTATTACAAAAAAAAACAATTGTTCTTAGATCTTCTGATTCAGGTAAGAAAATAAAATGATAAAATGTATTATGGTACCTGTAATTATATGTGGCGAAAGTAAAATTAGGTACTGCATATTTGTGTTTGTGATCTCACAAATATGGGACCATTCAAATAAATATAATGCAGGTAGTCCTCAGTTTACAACTACAAATTGGGACCAGAGCTTCCATCACCAAGAAATGAGTTAAATATGTTGTGACTGATTTTACAAACTTTTTTTACCATCATTAAGCAAAGTACACAGTTGTTAAGTGAATCTAACTTTCCCCATTGTCGGGAGATGCCTGGAAAGGTCACAAATGGCAGTCATGTGAACCTGAGATCTTGCAACGGTTGTAAGTACATCTGACTGCCAGCATCTAAATTCTGATCATGTGATCACAGGGAGGTGCGATGGTTGTAAGTGTGAGGACTGGTCAAAAGTCAGTTTTTTCAGTGCTGTCTTAGTGGTGCTTCTAAGAAATATTTTGAAATATGTGGTATAGTGGCCAAGAGTATCAGACTAGGGCTGGGGGGACCCTGTTTAAAATCTCTTTTTCAACCATTGAGCTCACATCTAGATATGGCAGTAGATTGTTGTGAAGGTAAGTGTAAGAGAAATGGCAATGTGTAAATGTAAATTATTTAAGAATAAAGATCAAGAAACATGAAGAAAAAAAGTCAGTTTTCAGCATGGAGGAAAATACGGGGTGGAGTATCTCAAGAATCTCTCTTGGGACTAGTTCTATTTAATTTACATACAAAGAGAAGTAGTCAGCTAAGTTCTTGACAAGATGGTGACAATACAATAAGATATATACGCCCTTGTGTGTGTGTGTGTGTGTGTGTGTGTGCATGTGTGTATGTGTGTATGTGTGTAGTGTAATTATGAGATGAAAAATACTCATGCTGCCATTGCAGACCTGGTTATGTGATCATCAGACTTTGGATGTGTGAAAGACCAAGGAATGTCATCTTGGTTTATCTGCAGTTGGACCTTCTCTGGAATATTCTTCCCCCTGAGATTTGATTTAATAAATTTTAAATAAATCTTTTAATGAATATGATATTTTAAATTGTGAATGGATTGTGTTTATTATAATATTTATAATGTAAATTGCTTTGAGATGAACGAGTATATATAGCTAGATTGAAACATAAATACTATATTCTAACTCTCTGTTATACTTTTTCAGATTATTTAGCAGCTGTAGGAAGATGGATGGGCATCTTATTACCAAAGATAAAGCCTCACCTTTATCAGAATGGGGGCCCCATTATTATGGTGCAGGTAGAATTTTGTTGAATAATAAGCTTTAAACTTTTAAACTCAAAAATGTTTTATTTTTTTAAAGAAACATCCTGAATAAAATTAATGTATTTATTAGGAACCGTAATTCATAAAGCAGTCTTTTAAAGTTTTTAGATTTCAATCCCTATAAAAAGTTGGGTAGACCCATCTGCTAAGCATCAAGTTAGTAAATATTGCACGAAACCTTTTATCATTTTAACTGCAGTTGATGTCATATTTTTGATCACATATTCATTTATATCATTAATATACAATCCTAATGCTGAAGTGGTTATTTAGAAAGCCCATAGATTTATGAAATGGTTTTTGTCTAAGCAGCTAATGCTGCAAAATGCCACGTCGATTAATGGCATATCTGCAAATACATACAGTTCAGATCATTTTTTTATTTTCTAGATTTTATTCAGACATTACTTCAGGATGGTTTCTAAATTATTAGATCTCATTCCAGTGAAATAATGTGTCTAATTTCTACACATCTGATCTACAATCTCTTTCATTGCTAGAAAATAAGTTAATTTTTCTTTCTCAAAATTAAAGATTATAAATGAGAATGACATCTAAAAACTTCACATTGTCTGATAGATGAACTTTGATAATGTATGCAGCTATGATGTAGAAATTCTGAGAAAGATGTCTTCAAATCTGTATCTGACTAACAAAACCTGAATATGGCATTGACCTCATAATGACAGAGCATTTCAGGATAATTCAAACTTAGCACCTTTTGGAATAAGTTTGCATCTGTGATATATCCTCACCTATTTCAGCTGATCTTGGATATACGTAGCAGGCAATAATTACCATTAAGGATTAATTAGATGTATACTTTTGAACAGATGTGCTTATCAGAATTCAAAAGAAAGGAGAAATAGAAACTTTAACATGTTAAGTGAAAATGAAAATTATGAAGAATGTGTCATTTAATGTAAATTATGAAATCAGTTACTTTTCACTATTTCATTGGCCACTTAATGAATGATTTGGTTGTTGTAAAATAACAACATAAACTATAATAATGAGGTTAAATTATAATGTTAATAAGCTGGCATTAGATTTGAACCTAATCTTCTGAAATATGGCCAGATTTATCCCTTCAGAAAAGGCATCCATGACTGAAAATTACTTTGAAATCTATTAGAAATAAGAATAACATACACAATTCTGTTTAAAGAATAAAATTCATGTTTTATCTTCAATTTAGCAAGTGTCATCTTTTGTAAGAAAATAAATTCCCACAGTAGGTTAAAAACTGAGTAAATTAATGTAATCTGACATTTATTTGCCATCTAATGTTTTCCAGTTATAGATAACTGGGGGTGGGTAGGTGTTGAATTTCAAGTTTGACCCTCAACATAGAATTCATTTTTTAATTGATCTAATCTCATTCCCTGAAGACTTTGCCCCCCCCCATTTTCCTCCCTTAAATAAGGGAAAAACATGTAATTAAAACAGTCACATTTTGAATGTTAAGATTAAGATGAAGATAATTTTTATTGTCATTTTTTTAGTGTGGGCACAACGGTGCACATCAAAAATGAAATTTAGTTGTTCACTCTCAAAGTGAAACACATACATGACACACACCTAAACATACTATATACAACATATGTATAGACCCACTCCCCTACATATACATAACAAATGAATATTAAATACTGTCCATCTTGAATATATAACAGAAGGAGGAAGCTTGAGAGTTCACAAGGTTAATGCTGTATGTAATGAAACTATTGCTGAATCTGGATGTTATGCTACGGATACCACAAAGCCTCCTCCCAGAAAGTAACAAGGAAAACAGGTCGTGAAGAGGATGTGTAGTGACCCAGATAATCTTACAGACCATGCTCAAGCAACGCTTCTGTGCTATGTCCTGGATGGGAAGGACGGAACTGCCAATGATCTTTTCGGTCATCCTTACCACTCTCTGCACCACCTTCCTGTCTGAAGCAGTGATGCTTCCAAACCAGACTGTGATGCTGTATGACAGGATGCTCTCGATCGTCCCCTGTAGAAAGTGGTAAGGATAGGAGAAGGAAGATGTGCTTTTCTCATGTGACGCAGAAAATGCAGGTGCTGCTGTGCCCACTTCACCAATGTTTCACTGTTGAGCGACCAAGCACACCCAGGAATTTGATGCTGGTAACCATCTCCACAGGTGAATCATTAATGCACAGAGAAGTGTGGCTATGCCTGCCTTTTCTGAAATCAACAATGATCTCTTTGGTTTTTCTGATATTTAAAACTAGGATGTTTTCCTTACACCAGTTCATTAACCCCTCAATCTCCTTGCGATAAGCTTCCACATTGTCATCATGAATAAGGCCCACTACTGTTGTATCATCTACAAACTTCATAATATGGCTGGTGGCAAACTAACACAACAGTCATGGGTCAACAGGATGAACAGCAGCGGACTTAGGACACAGCCCTGCTCAAGAAAATGATATTAGAGGTATTTGTTCCAACTCGCACATATTGGGGCCTGTTGGTTAGAAAATCAAGAATCCAGTTGCACAAAGGAGTATTTAAGCCTAAAAGGCCCAGTTTGTCTACTAGATGCTGGTGAATGATTGTGTTAAACACTGAACTGAAGTCGACAAACAACAAATGCACACGAGTATTTCTTTCCTCTAAGTGCTTCAAGCTCAGATGGAGAATGGAACAAATAGCATCCTCCGTAGAGTGATTTGATCAGTAGGCAAACTGAAGCGGGTCTAATGCTGGCGGGAAGCTAGATACAATAATGTCCGTTATCAGCTTCTCAAAGCATTTCATGATGGTGGATGTCAGTGCAACTGGACGGTAATCATTAAGGCCTGTAATTGTGAACTTTTTTGGCACTGGCAAGATGATGGCCATCTTAAAACATGATGGGAGCACTGCCTGCTGCAATGAGAGATTGAAAATATCTGTGAGAACACAAGCCAGCTTCTCGGCACATTCCCTGAGGACACATTCAGGGATGTTATCTGGGCCTGCTGCTTCCCGAATGTTAACTTTCTGCAGTGTTTTCCGGACAGAGGTGATATCAAAGCTTAACATTTGCTCGTCAGGATGGGGCACAGCTTTCCTAGCAGGAGTGCTATTTGATGCCTCAAATCTACCAAAAAATGTATTCAGTTTGTTTAGGAAGTCTGTGTCATCCTTGCATCGGGATGGAGCCACCTTGTAATCCGTAATGGCCTGGATTCCTGGTGTTTGTTGGGTCCTGAAAAAAGTTCTGAATTTTCTGGCAATGGGCTTGCTTTGCACCTTTTATGGCACTTTTCAGATTTGCTCTGACTGTTCTAAGTGCCAGCATGTCACCAGATTTAAAAGCCACATGCCGTGCTTTCAGCATCTTGTGGACCTCATAAGTCAGCCACGGTTTTTCATTTGCCCTCACAACAATGCTTTTCAGGACACAGACAGTTACAGAGAGTGTACTGGAAAAATTATTTAAATAAGTAAATATTGACTTATCATTGAAGTTTGTTTGCCATGATAATTATTTTTGTATCTATAATAGTCTATTTTAGATAGTCTAGCAATTGGAATAAAAAAAATACAGTCATCCCAACTTTAATGTTTATTCTAGTCAAATAGACTGCACTACTTTTCTCTCAAAGGATAAGCCAACAGGTCACAGGATTGTCTTATTTCATTTAAACTTCACAGTTGCTCAGTATTTCTGTGATTCCCTATTACTATCTAATAGGCAACCAAGTAATAATCCAAGTTACTATAGCCAAATTCCAGGTAGCAGTATATAAAGCCTGATGGACATGCCTCTTTTTAATATCCTTGTAAAATTAGTAAGTATGATTGTATGTGGTTCTGGTGTAATTATGAATGAGTACTATTTGGTACATTTTGTCCTAAATTTAATGTAACTGTTTTTGACCAGAGTATTTTTTTTTTCATTTCATTTGAAGTTTCATGTTGCTTTTCAAGTTTCATCTTTTCCTACTGAACTTGTCTATATGTGGGTTTTTTTTAAATTAGGTTGAAAATGAATATGGAAGTTATTTTGCATGTGATTTTCATTACCTCCGTTACCTGAAGAATCTTTTTCGCCAGTACCTTGGGAATGAAGTAATCTTGTTTACAACAGATGGTGCAACAAAAATTTTTTTGCGCTGTGGAACTCTTCAAGGCCTTTATTCAACCGTGGATTTTGGACCACGTGAGTAGCAATTGAAGTTACATGTTATCTTGAGAATAAAATCCCAAAAGTGTTTTTTCATGAGGCAACTGGATTTTCTTGTTTTTCTTTGAAGACATCTTGCTTCTCGTCCAAGAAGCTTCTTCAGCTCTGACTGGATGGTGAGAAATGGAAGGATTTATACTCCTTGCAGACAGCTGGTCATTTGCATTCTTTTAGAGAGTGGTTGAGACCACCTGGAGGTTTATCTGTGTGTCAGGATCACCTGAGTAGTGCAAATGGGTCTGGAGCCTTCTTGGAACTGCTGAAAGGATTCTGTTGTAGACTGGAGATAGATGATGTCGTATCCCTCTTCCTCTGTTGAGAGAGGGCTGTTCAATTTTGAAAAAATTGAAAAAAAATTTTTTCAAGGAAGGCTGCTGAGAAGGAGTGCACTTTGCAGTTTCAGAGGGTCTTTCAAGAAACAGATAGTCAGGACCCCTTTTATTTAGACCAGGTTAGAGTCTGGAACTGGCCCTGGAGGAAAGAGGAGAACCATTGCAACATCTTTACTGCAGACAATGTTAGTAGGAAGGGAGAGTTCTAGCCAGAAAGTTTGATGAGGGTTGGAAATTGAATCACTCTGGTTGGTCTTAAATTATAGATTGTGTTGCTTTTTGCTTTGCTTTGTTTCTGTGATCCACTGAGACTTTCTATTTGCAAGGTATACAGCTATTTAAACTATTTAAATAAATATGCCACTAGCTATTTATCAACCTATTTGATGGAAAGAACCCATTGGACAGCATTTCTTAATATTTTAGTGTATCATCAACTTTTGAATATCCTATTGTAATAGAATGCAGTTCTGGCTGTTTCTTTTCCCTTTCAAAGTTTTTAGTTTTTCTATTAGAAAATGTCTGCCAAAGAGGAAAAGAATGAATTACAGGTAATCCTTGACTTACAACAGTTTGAAGTTATAACGGCACTGAAAGAAAAGGACTTATGACCACTTTTTACACTTGTGACCATTGCAGCATCCCCATGGTCATGTGATTACATTTGGATGCTTGACAACTGTTCATATTTATGATGGGTCATAGTATCCCAGGGTCACCTTATCCTCTTTTGTGACCTTCTGACAAGCAAAGTCAATGGGGAAAAGCCAGATTCACATAACGATCGCATGATTCGCTTAACAACTGCAGTGATCCACTTAACAAATGTGGCAAGAAAAGTCATAAAATGGGGCAAAATTCAACAGATTTCTCACGTAGCAACACAATTTCTGGAGTCAGTTGTGGTCGTAGGTCAGGGACTACCTGTAACCCATAAAACATTTTTATTGGTAGCATTAGGAACTTTTTTTTTAAAGTAGTGCGCACACATATAAAAAATTTGGAGTGGTGGGAAAAGCAACTGAATATGAAGATTTTATTAAAATGCTTCATTAAATGTAGAATAATGTTACATACTTCAGTTTTAACACATAGATATTTTAATCTATTTTTACCTATTATTTGAAGTAGTTTCTATTGAATTAGGTGGCACAGGATTCGTGCCTTAATATAAAGCACCACACATTTTCCTTATGATTTCACTTTTGTGCAGATTATTTTAAATTTTTATTCAACAAAACTTCTTAATTCAAAAACATCCTTAAAGGAATATTATTGTTAAGATACAGAGAAAAGCAAAAAGTAGTGCTTTAAAAATCTTTTACTTTCCGTGTCCTACTCATGCTCACAAACCATTTTGAACTAATTAACCTTGCTATTTTGATCACCTCTGAAAGGAAGTGGCAGTACAAAAATATATTGGGGAATGTAGCATGCAGAATCAAGTAAACATCAGCTTTTCATTTTTTTCCTTCTCACTTCAGTAATATCTTGATAGAATCATTTTTTTTCAGAAGGTTCCATACTATTGAGACAGGTTAGAAACTGAGAGGCCATAAATTCTACCTTGCCTTAAATTCTAGCAGGATAACCAGCCCAGTTATTGTTTTTTCAGCATAAGACACAGGCAATGGCAAACCAAAATGTTGCTAAGAAAACTTGGACCACAGCCACTGGAAATCAACGCTGGCTCAAAGGCTCATACCTGTTTATTGTTATTTAATCAATCTTTTATTCTCTGCAATGCTTTTAATGCATCTGATAAATTAAATTATCATTGTACTTTTTGTTAAGGCTAATTTCTCTGTGTACCATAAGAATAGTCTTTAAACAGAGGCCTGTAGTTAATAAATCAGATTTAACTCTTTGTTTTATTGATTTGCAGATACCAATGTCACTGCAGCATTTTTATCTCAGAGACGAACTGAGCCTGAAGGCCCCTTGGTATTATTTTTTCTTCATACATTTGTAATTTACTGTTGATATAAGTACAGATTTTCTAAGATTGTAATAATGAATTAATATTGAACAGTCCAATTTGGGTTGATCATTTATGCTGGTTTGTTTACAAAGATGGGTGTCCTTTAATTTAGGAGCATTATGTTAACTCTTTGTAGTTTTAATTATGTCTTAAGAGTTGGATATGTTGCACATAAGATATATCAAGCAGCAGGCATATGAAAGTGTGGAGTATGACCATACATGGTTAGGAGAATAAATGGCCAGTGGAAAGAATGGCTGTAGCATATTTAAAAAAAAAAATCTTAAATCGCTGCTAATTACAAAAATATATCCATCTTGCTTTTATACAGTTAGTCTGCATTTAGGAACTGTAATTGGGACCAGCAACTGGTCAATAGGCAAAGTAGTCACTAAGTGAAAAATCATGTGATTGCAACAGTACTTACATATTACTTCAGCTTTTTTTTGTTGTACACTGTTAAAAAGATACAAGCCCTCATCCAGCTGGGCGAGCCCAAATGGTTCAGGAACTCAGCTCTTGAGGAAGCTGGGTAAAGGGGCAAATCTTACAGCCTTTTTTTAATCATTTCCCAGCCCCTTTGAATGCTCATCCCACCTCTGAGATAATTAGCAAGAAGGGAATTAATGTTTGTATTTACGATCATAGGAGGAAGGGATCACAAGATAGTAAGCAAGCATACAATGAAAAATATACATAAAAAGGAATGCACGAGTGCCAGCTGCACTCGTGTCTTTGAGTCCTAAGCCAAATAGGAGTCAAAAGAAAACCTTTCATGTGAAACTGTTTAGGGTCTTGTCAGTTATAAGCAACAGCTGCCAGGGTTCAATTAATTAAGGAAACATCTGAGCTTTTTAACCTGCTCTTAGCATATTTTGGGGAAGTGTTATACTGTGAAGATAAACAACTCGGGAAGAGATCACGTGTTTAGACAAGCTCTGGAGAGATTTAAAAAACAACTCAGGCACAGAATAATATCTACTGACTGACTGTAATGGTGAATATGTATGAGAAAAAGTGGGGGATATCTGTTGTAACCAGCTTTCTGTAAAAGTTCTTGGATTCGTCTGTTTTTGGATTCCTTTATTCTTGGATATAGCAGGGAGGTTCAAACACTTAGAAGAAAATTGATATTTAAATTTCAAACTAGAGCATAACTTAATATTACACAAAAGGAACAATTCATACAAATATTTGTTAGAACAGACTGCAGGGTTCAGTACACCTTACCACTGAAGCAGATCCTATTGTATTCAGACCTAAGCAGAGGTTTGACAAATCTTTATTTTAAAATCTTTATCCATCTTTAGCATTCCATAGTATTTCCCTTTTATATTAAAGATGGAGCCTAAGAAACTGTGTGTTAGAATTTGCTGTGTTTTCTGAGTTTGTTTTAATGTTTTGAAAAGTTGGTTGATATATTTCATGTGAACTATATTGTGAAAACTGGAAAGAAAGAAGGAAAGTGAATGGGAATAGGAAAGTTTAAAGTTATTACTAAATAGAAGCTACCAACAAGTAAACTCGGCATTAAAGAAAAGAGGGAGAAGAACTGTTCAGTGTATTTTAGATCAGATCAGTTCTGACTGTGGGCTGGAGAAAATGAAGTGGGAATAATTGGCAGTTACAAGGAACACTACAAGCAGTCCTTGGCCTATGACCATTCAGTCAGTGACCTTCCCAAGTTATGACAGTGTTAAATAAATGTTGTTACAAATGGTCCTCAGTTTTCCAAATTTCCTGATCTCGGCGCTAGGTGCACCCGTGGGCCCCCTCCCTGATCTGTGCCATACCTCTTACGTATTTTCTCATGACTATGAGCCTAACTGGAGACACCAGTCTTCTTTACAGGAAGGATAAATAGATGGCTAGCCCAAGCACCTGTTATTTTCACAAGGTTTCAGATGGATCTTGGGGAGTTTCCTAGCAATCTAGGAGGAAGGCAATTCTGTTGAATGGTTTGTTAACCTCTGTAAAAGAGAGATGGCCAGGATGTCAGACAGGATTGTCCTGAGGCGATTCTGCTGCTGATTCAAGATGGCTCTTTGGTACTCTAAAGAGTTCTGGAAAGTAAAGGGAGTGAAGAGAATCCTGGGACAATGTTGATGAAAGAAGTATAAGCAGACATGGGCATAAACTCAACTTTGAGCCTTCTCTATGGTGATGAGAATATTGAAATGAAAATATTTCCCTTTCCCTTTCCATTGCAAATTCCCATTCTTATTTTTTTTTAAATGTAATGAAGTTCTATTTTAAGAGTAGCGTAGATCCTTCTTTTTAAAAGCAATGTAGGCTTTATTTCTCACTCTGTATCATCTTTTCCTTTGTGATGGAAATGTCAGGTTGCTCACAAGGTTTTCTTCTAAATTAAGTAATATCACGTATTTTATTAGAAGCTGATTAATTTTCACATTATTTCAATAAGTGTCCTACCATATTGTCCCATTTTAAGAATTATGATGAAACTTTGGGTGCATAAGTTTCTTCATCATCTGATTTCAGTGTCTATGGAGAGTCTGGCGTATAACTATTTCTCTCTCTTTTCTTTTCTCATTCATTTAGCCTCCTCAATCTTGTTGTATTAGAATATTTAGTATTTGGATACTGCTTTGTGTTTTTGACAATCTGGATTTATACTTTCAACGCTTCCATTTAGTTACAGTTTTTGCCTCCTTGATCTACAAAATCATACCTGAAATACAGGAAATCCTTGACTTATGACCACAATTGAGTCCAGAATTTCCTTTGCTAAGAGAGGCAATTGTTAAATGAGTTTTGCATCATTTTAAGAGCTTTCTTGCTATAGGTTTTAAGTGAATTGTTGCATTTGTTAAGTTAGTAACACAGTTGTTCAGCAAATCTGGCTTCCCCCCATCGACTTTGCTTGCCAGAAGGTCTCAGAAGGGTGGTCACATGACCCTGGGACACTGCGACCGTCATAAATGTGAGTGAGTTGCCAGGCGACTGAATTTTGATCATGTGACCGCGGGGATGGTGCTGTAAAGAATTGTCACCCACATTATAGCTCCAGAAAAAAAGCTGTAAAGGCTGAAAAAGATTGTCACATTTTCTTTAGAGCTGAAGCTGAGTCAGGAGTTCTTCTTCTTACCTTGCAAAAACCTTTACAAGTCTTATGGTGTTGTGGAAACCATGGAATGTGGCATAACTCTTGATTGTGGAAGAGGCTTCTCTGCCACAGCATTTACAGGTTTTCGTGGTTTTAAATAATTGAAATTCCTTTGTTAATTTCTTCAGTATCATAATGAAATATTATGGAATGTTCCATTGCCATAGCTTTGACAATGGGCCTTTAAAGGTAGATTAAATAAATGCAGCTAGATGAGATTTCCTAGTATTAGTTGTAAACATATCACTCATTATCTTCCTGTAGTATGCCTTGAATGACCATGTGCTGGTATAAAATGTAGTGTGAGATGATGAGAAAATTTCTTGCATGAATTCATCCTCATATATATAGTTAAATGTGTAGCAAATCGACCTCTTGAGCAGCTTTTTTTTTTGTTGTACATTGTTATGCGTTAGTTTTTTTTTTTTAAAAAAAATTCCAATATATGTTCTTTTTTTAAAAAAAAACTTTTCCTATTTCAGGTCAATTCTGAATTCTATACTGGTTGGTTAGATCACTGGGGCCACATCCATAATGTTATACCATCATCAGCCATAGCTAAAACTCTTAGTGAAATCTTGGCACATGGAGCTAACGTTAACCTGTAAGTTCATTGATATCTGCTTAAAAAAAAAAGAAACATGTTTCTTGTGCAGCATCCTCAATTGCTTTTCTGCTTCTTTTTTCCAGATATATGTTTATAGGAGGGACTAATTTTGGCTACTGGAATGGTAAGGTGTGTGTGTGTTAACTGCTTGTCCTGCAATTAAAGGATTTTCTTGTTTTCTAATACCAAAAGCAAGAACACGTACTATATGTCCTCCTTTGAAACAGAGGAATGGAAGAATTTTGGATGGAAGAAAAAAAAGAAAAGTCATAGAAGGAAGTTCTTTGTATTGGCATTTCAATTTCCGGAATATAGCACAAATATCTTCGGATTATGAGAGCAATTGAACCAGAATTTCTGTCACTAAGCAGTGTAGTAATAAAGTGCAATGTTATGTGACTCAATCACTTAGCAATGGCAATCCTAACCCCAGGGCTGCACAAGTGTGCAGGTGCCACAGGTGTGCTATGGGCAGACTCTGTGGAGTATGAGTAGGGATGCTTTGGGCAGGCGCTACAGAGCACAGGTGGACAAAAACTAGCAGGGGAGTGAATTCTGACTTTCTGCTTGTTTCCTCACTGACATTGCTTATATGGAGGCTAGCAAGAAACATTGGAAATTGTCCCTTGACTGTGGCTTGCTCACAAGTTACTCACAAGACCAGGCATCAAGTGCCAGCTCACAGTGACGTAACTATAGGGACGGCTAGAACTAAAAAGACTGTCATAGGCCTACTGGTTCAGCAGCGTTGTAATTTTGAATGGTTGCTGAACAAGTGGTCTTAATCCAAGGACTGTCTGTATGAGTATTACCGGTATCTAAATGACAGGCTATAATTACAACAGAGACTGACTCTCTTGCTTATATGAAGCAAGAGAGTTAAATAAAATGAGACAGTTTTACTTGGAACCATTGTACTTCCCCCCTCCCCCCACGGTATAGTCTTTTGGAAGACAAAATTGCTAAGGCATAGATATCACCTTATAAATTAGGAATGCCCTTGGGATTTCATTCATAGCCACCCATCATGGTACATTCTTTTAAGTAAATAATGTTATCAAAAGAATAAAAAACAAGAAACATGGTAAAATAAAGGGGCAGAAAATAGAAAGGGAAACATTTAACTGAATCTTGTTCACAGGGAATTCATTCAACGTATATCTCTATATTTTTAGATTTTTGCCAAATATCCTGCTTCCGTACAATTCTCAAGTAACCCATTCCCGTTACATTCAACTTATTTTTATATTTCTCCTAATATACCCAAGTCTCATTTCCATGTAACAGAATGAGCATGTTCTTATACACAGCCATTTTCATTTTCAACAAAAACTTAGTACCAACTGCCTTTTTGCTAGTATTTTCATGTCTTAAATTAACCTCTCCATCCATTTTCTAACCCTTAGTAAACCTTCTTCCAGGAGGCCCCTGCTCTATATTTTGCCATTTCAAATGGTTCACTCCTTTTTCCTTGACCAATAAGATAGAGTCAAGAATGACCAAAATATGATTTTCTTTGGTACATTTTCTGATTCATACTTTTGCATTATACAGTTTCTCTAACATTTGCCGAGAATAATCCAATTAATAATCACACATTATTGTCACTTTCTGCATTATTTGAACCATGCACTAAGCAATTCATTTACAGAATTCTCATGCCTGTTTTATATCCACTATATATGACTTTTATTGTATTTAGCAATCCCCAATTCCATTTTTCACACAGAACATTCATATTTCAAGCTTGGTAATTTTTATCATGCACTTTGTCTTAGTCAATAAATGTATAAATTTGAAAAATGTACCTATTTAAGAGCAAAAAAAATAGTCTGCACATATCTACTACCTGGTGTAAACTCTACCGTCTTCTCAAAATTTGCTCATAGTTATTTCTTTCAACTATAATTCTGCCAAAACCTGCACCAACACACTTGCAATGCCCACAGTAAAAAAATGACAATAAAGGTTATATTATCTTATCTAGTTCCTATCATTTTGATATCACTCCTTTCCCTCTGTATATGAGAAAGATAATCATGTTCTTCTCTACTATCCAATATGGCTTTGGTCAGTCAAGGATTTTAGCACAATTATCTGTTAGTAAGAAAAGAAATGAGTGCAAACTAGGTTACTAGTCATATCTGTGATTTAAGCAATTATCTTATATGAATGATAACGACAGTATTCATCATTTTGGATGAATACTGATTTTACAAATTCAACCAAAGTTTAATTTTACTCTAAACATGTTTATGCTATTATACCAAGCTACTATCTCAAATATGGTGATTACTACAGCAGGTATATTATCAGCTATGAAGTACATGCAATGTAGTGACACACTGAGGACATAAATCTCCTAAACCTATATCATTCAGAAGAGGCAATCAAATAACCTACTTGCAATCTGCTTCTTCTCACAGGAGCTAATATACCATACATGGCACAACCTACTAGCTATGATTACAATGCCCCATTGAGTGAAGCAGGGGATCTTACAGAGAAGTATTTTGCTGTCAGAGAAGTCATTGGTATGGTGAGTTTCTTTTTGGAATATCACTTCTCTATCTTGCCCTGGATTTGTTTTGACTTCTAATTTAATACAAGAATCTAAAGCACCTGCTGTTGCTAGATGAATCTGGGCTCTGTAATAGTCTGATTCAGTCAAGCAAAGTTTCTCAGATTTGATGATAAAATTCAGGCAAATGATGTATATGCATATGCTGGATTTTAAAAATCTGGAGGCCTAATAGATTGCAGCTATCTTGTGGTTTTCTGGATTTTTTCATCCTAGATTTGGGAGTGTTAGTGTAACCCTATTGCAGGCTGGATATAAAGTATCCCAATTGTAGCAAATGAAAATAAATATTTGGTTATAGTAATTAAAAAGAGAGCAAAGGATTATCTAGTAGAATCAAGAAGAATGTCTATTATTTTTTCACAGATTAAACATTTTTTGTGAAATATGTGTAAGAAACATTTCCAAAGTTGCTCCTCAAATTATTACATTAGTCTATATTCTAGATTTAAAGTTCTTATAGCAGACATGGAAAAAAATGGAATTCATGGTAGCCTCCTCATTGTGTATAATTGTTATCAATGTAGTGAAGATGTGGGGAAATTGCAATTGCCATAAGTCCTAACCATTTTGGCTAGGAATGATACTGGTGAAGGTGGATTTAGTCCCAACAAATCTTAAGGGTTCCAGATTGAGTAATGATACCACAGCAACACATAAGCTTATTTACACAAGAAAGAGAAAATAGATTCTTCAAATGCTAAAGATTATGTTTTAGTTTTTTTTGTTTTTTCATTCATATTTCAGTTCAAGGATTTGCCAAAGGGTCTTATACCTCCAACAACTCCTAAGTTTGCATATGGAGAAGTTAAATTGACGAAGGTAAGTAAATATATATTACTTAGCCATTAGATTTGCATAGTCATGGGTTGGAAAATTTTGTTTTAGCGATTATGAAGATCTACTTTTAAATAAAAGGCAAAACATTTGCTTTGTAGGGGTATGCTTTGGACACTGGAGATGGAAATTTGGAACTTTATCATGAAGCTTAAAAAAATAATGGAGCTCTTCTTTTGTAGTATATAGTTGAAAAATGTGTAAGAACTCTGCAAAAAGTTTAATTAGAATTAACACATCAGAGAATTTAGTCTCAGGGAAGAATTGTATCTTCAGGATAATACATTTACATTGTAGCAATAAAATTAATTATGAAATACAAGCTCTAGAGGAATGATCAATTTTTTTCACTGAGTTTTCACATTATTCCTACATGGAACTGGCATCATTTTGAATTACTACACCCTTCAACATGCTTGTGTGAGAATTCAGTTAAGAGTATGAAAACAGCTTCTACAGGCAGAAGGCCTAAATGGTTTCTATAAATACTGGTGCATATTATAAATAGATTTATCTTTTAGAGGAAATTCTGATAAATATTTGTGTAAGCATTGTTTAGAATGCTTCCGTTGTTTATCTGCATTTATTTCAATGCAAATTGTACTCTGTTTTGTTCTATTACAGATTGGAACAGTGACTGAACTTCTGAATGATTTTTCCCCATCTGGACCAATTAAAAGCATGTATCCTTTGACGTTTGTTCAATTAAAGCAGGTAAAAGTTGATCCTACACAGGTTTTTTGACTCACAATTTAGCCAGTTTATTAAATTATGTAAGCCATGTCAAATTATTTGCTCATTTTAAATTAGTGGGGGAGTTAGACCATTCTTCCATTTTCTGTTATACTTTTTAGAAGAAATGTATAAACATTTTAGGAAGTTTGTACCATTTGCATATTCTGCACTAATAATGGAGAATTTGAGTTTCTACTCTGATACCAAATTCTTAAGAAGTGAAATGTATCAAAAAGGGAGTGGTGACTAGTGTGGGTTGCATAAAATAAACGTGAGAGCTATAAATAAAAAAGGTGGTTGAACAAAATGACTCTATAGATTGGTCAGGGATTTTGATTTAAACTCAGTAGATGGGTTATGGGGATTGAGAAATAAATCTAATTATAGAGGCAATGTTTTTGAAGATGGAGGAAGTAAAACTTTGAAACAGATTTTCTCCAGAGTAGTGTCAGTAGCTAGAAGATAATGAAGAGAGGAAAAGAATTAGAGATTTGTATTAAAGTATTGAAAACTTTTATAGAATCAAAAAAATGGGAGATTTATGTGAACAGAGATGTGAAGCTTATTCCCTGGCAGTATTGCTCCCTATTTTTTATATAAAATTTTGTATTAAAATATTCACATGTATATAAACACAAATACAACTTGAAATGGACAATAATATGAGCAATTTTAAACAGAATAAATATATATGCCCAGCAACATTACAAAATTTTAAACTACACTTTTATTCAACATTGGGAGGGTTCCTACACATGATTTAAGCATTTATTTGTTCTTATCTGTGACACAACTAAAAGATTTTTTTCTTAGTTTTTTCAGTATTCTTTTGATAGAGAGATAAATATTACAGGCATATAAAAATAATATTGAAGATCGTCAATTTGAGAATGACTGCAATGTCAGAATCTCTGTATATAAGGAATTTGCCAAAATACATCTTCAATTATTGCTGAAGATATTGTTTGCTAATTAAAAGCTGTAAATAGTTGCCAACTTTTGTAGAAAGTTATTTTGATTAAATGTTTAGCTCATTTTTGGTCTAATTTCAACTTTTACATGCATCAGAATTTAATTCTCACCATGTAATTCTTATCCCTCCTGGTGTCCAAATAATAAATAAATCTCACCACCTCTTGGATTCCAAGAAAATGGTTGGAATAGAAATAGAATACTTGTCCCACATTTATTTAAGGAAGATTTCCAGCTGTTTTGTTGGAATAACAAATAAAAGATTACCCAACAGGAAAATTATACATTTGTTTCTAAAATCAGGTTTTAATAGCAGGTAAAGTCCAGTTCAATTTGTAAAAGTTGAGCACTATCCATCCTTTTGGATAATTTCATAATTACCCCCCTGCCCTTTAGCTACTACTGTTTTAATATTCTTTGTGAAAGCCTTGTAAAATTCTGTTTCATTAAGTATTCTAAATATTTAAATACCTCACTGTTCTATGATGGATTCTTCAATAGCAAAATAAAACATTTTAGGTGTTTCACCAAAATCATAAATTTGGGCTTGGCAGGATTAATTTCTAGTTACTACTAAATACAATACTCTTGTTTTAAAACATTATTTTAAATCTAATTCTTATTAGTGAGATAAGAATCATGCTAATAGTTTCTGAGAATGTAGAGATAGAAGAGAAAATTCTGGAGTTGGCAAAAAAGGCCATCTTGTAAATTGTAAGAAGATTAAACAAGTAGGCAACAGATTAACCCAATATTACATTCCTATGTCTCACATAAGGAAGGATGTTTATCTTAACATGTAGCAGAAGGAAAATCTTGTTTCTAAGCCTCTGATTAAATAAACCCTGAAAAATCTAGAGAAGCAAGCAGGAAATAGTTGGTATGGATATCTGAATAGATAATAAATTGGGTTAGGGACAATAATTAATACTCAATTATTCTTAGACCCGTTAATAAACCATTCCATCCTACGTCTCCTTCAGCAGTGTTCCCTAGCCCTGGGCCTACTGATTTAGTCCTGCTTTTTATTTGGACACACTGATGTTTGACCCTGCTTGTGTTGACTGCAATACTAGGGATGCTTGATTTGACTCTCTTCCTCTTCTGTCATCTTTCTTCTACTTCATGCCATCCTCTCTCTATATCCAAATATTAACAAATATTTTCCAGATGACGGACCTAATTATTTCCATGTACTCTAGTCCTATTAGAGGATATGCTGATAAGAATATAAATCTATGTCTTTCCACACTCTTAACCTCAAATAAACTAGTTATTATATGTCTTTTATACTTCATAATAATTTTCCAAACTCTCCTCAACAGTTCTTGTCCAACTAACATATTTGTTTGTAATTCTTACAAGAGAACTATCAGCATAGGTACAGAGCATCCAAAACTGGTACTAGCACTAGTCCCATTTCCCCCCCCCTACCATTCCTTGTTAAATACCTGAAGATAATGGTGACTCTTAAATAGCAAATATTTGGTGTTAGTTTTAAACCTTGAAAACTGTATATTATGGTTTTTTTTCCAGAATGTTGCAAAAAGATAAGTGTAATTTGAGCCCTGTTGGTGCTTCCCAATTGCAATTGTGAGATTGCTATATAAATTGATATAATAAATAAATTAAAAATGCAATGCTTGCTTAAAAATAATTTTCAATATTTGTTTTTCTTTATTTTTTCTTCAAGTATTTTGGATACGTATTATACAGAACAAAGTTACCAAGAAACTGTAGTAAGGAAATTCTCTTTTCATTTGATGGCATTCGTGATCGAGGCTATGTCTCTGTGGATGGGGTAAAGCACCATATCAAAACTGCTTTCTTGTAATTGTAGCTATGATTACATCTATCTATCTATCTATCTATCTATCTATCTATCTATCTATCTATCTATCTATCTATCTATCTATCTATCTATCTATCTATGATTCCCTGAGGGATTATCCTGTCTCCTATATGTAATGTAGTAATAATTATATGAAAAGAATACCAAATAAGTACTGTCTTCTAAGTAAGATCAGTTTTGTGATCGTGGTGAAGGCTGTTTATTTCTTTATATGGTCATTGACGGATAAATTTGCTTATATTCTTATATTTATAGATAGATATTTTAGTTTTATAATGGCTTGATCTTGTCGATGTTAACACTAGTCTTAACTTCATTTTGCTCTTTTAGGCAAAATCCAAGGCTATGAGTGCTTCCCAATTGAAGTTGGGTCAGAGGCTGCTTCTTTGTCTTACCCAGCGCAGTCTCCTTGTAGAAATGCATTAAAAATAGTTTGTTAGAAACATGCCAATACTGTGGATTAGTATAAATTCAGATAGATCAGTTTTAGGATACTACTGTCACAATAATTTCTGGTTATTTTCATGACTATGGATCCTTGATTTATAACTGCAAAATTCTAATGTAGGGTATCAAGGTATTCCGCCTCTTTGCAAATTTAGGGGCATCTATGAAAAATAATCCCTGAAGTCACATGACAATATACTGTACTCATAAAATAAGTGACAATAAACTTAAATTGTTTACTTATCAATATCATTGCCTGTTACATTCTGAATGATCTATTCTGACTGTTTCCTAAAAACTAGAAGGAATGCATTGAAATGTGTATTTTCTGAGACGATGTCAAGCCAAAGCCATATGTGCTCACGCCAGCATTTTAACTAAAAATACATGAAAAAGATTGTCTCCTGCCCTTTATCAAGGTGCGGGCAATGAGAGGAGCAAGGAAGTGGATTTAGACTGTATTTGATTTCAAACATGGCTATGTAACTTTAGCTAGCAATTGGTTTGCAGGTTGATTTGAATGGCATTTTTATCAAAGAAGATGAGATGCTACACTATGTTTTCTCTAAGATTAGAAAACGATCAATGGAAGGAAAAAAGAAGGAGAATGTTAACTTGACAAGTGTTCATTATCCCCCTCCCTCCCCCCAAATTTCTTCTTTATAGTCCCTGGATTCTCTATTGTTTCTGAAAATTGATGGTACCGTTTCTCATCAATTTTAAACAGAAGCTAAAAATGTAGTCAAATACTACAGCAAAGTTAATAGATTTTTTAAAAGCTAAGAACTTCCCAGATCATTTCTTTATATATAGCTCTATGTATTTTGCATCACTGTTCCACCTTTGTGGTTCTTTAATTTTCCAAAAATATTAAATATGAGCCCAACAACCTAAAGGTTGTCCATTCTTTTTTTTTATCAAGGAATGATAGAATGTACTAAATGCAATAAAGGGGTTCTTGATATATACTAAGAGTGGTTTATGACATCAATCAGAGAAACAAAGGTGAATTTTTGACTTAAAAAAAACATCAAGAAAACAGGGAGTTGTTTTAATATTTCTTTATACACTTACCATGCTTACAGTGAGGGAAAAAATATTTGATCCTCTGCTGATTTTGTACTGCCACTAACAAAGAAATGATTAGTCTATAATTTTAATGGTAATGTTTTATTTTAACAGTGAGAGACAGAATAACAACAAAAAAATCCAGAAAAATGCATTTCAAAAAAGTTATAAATTGATTTGCATTTTAATGAGTGAAATAAGTACTTGACCCCTTTGCAAAACATGATTTAGTACTTGGTGACAAAAGCCTTGTTGGCAATCACAGAGGCTAGACATTTCTTGTAATTGGCCACCAGGTTTGCACACATCTCAGGAGGGATTTTCTCCCATTCTTCTTTGCACTCTCCAAGTCATTAAGGTTTCAAGGCTGACGTTTGGTATCTCGAACCTTCAGTTCCCTCCACAGATTTTCTATGGGATTAGGTCTGGAGACTGGCTAAGCCACTCCAGGACCTTAATGTGCTTCTTCTTGAGCACTTTGTTTCCTTGGCTGTGTGTTTTAGGTCATTGCCATGCTGGAATACCCATCCATGACCCATTTTCAATACCTTGTCTTAGGGAAGGAGCTTCTTACCCAAGATTTGACAGTACATGGCCCTGTTCATTGTCCCTTTGATGTGGTGACTTTGTCCTGTTACCTTAGCAGACAAACACCCCCAAAGCATAATGTTTTCACCTCCATTTTCGATGGTGGGGATGGTGTTTTTGGGGTCGTAGGCTGCATTCCTCCTCCTCCAAACATGGCAAGTTGAATTGATGCCAAAGAGCTTGATTTTGGTCTCATCTGACCATAACACTTTCATTCAGTTATCCTCTGAATCATTCAGATGTTCATTGGCAAACTTCAGGTGGGCCTGTACATGTGCTTTCTTGAGCAGGGGGACCTTGCGGGGCTGCAGGATTACAATCCTTCACAGCGTAGTGTGTTACCAATTGTTTTCTTGGTGATGATGGTCCCAGGTGCCTTGAGATCATTGACAAGATCCTCCTGTGTAGTTCTGGGCTGATTCCTCACCGTTCTCATAATCATTGAAACTCCATGAGATGAGATCTTGCATGGAGCCCCAGACTGAGGGAGATTGACAGTTATTTTATGTTGCTTCCATTTGCAAATAATCGCACCAACTGTTGTCACTTTGTCACCAAGCTGCTTGGTGATAGTTTTGTAGTCCATTCCAGCCTTGTGTAGGTCTACAATCTTGTCCCTGACATCCTTGGACAGCTCTTTGGTCTTGGCCATGGTGGAGAGTTTGGAATCTGAGTAACTGACTGCTTCTGTGGACTGATGTCTTTTATACAGGTAACAAGATGAGATTAGGAGCACTCCCTTTAAGAGAGCGTTCCTAACCTTAGCTTGTTACCTGGGAGCCAGAAATCTTGCTGATTGATAGCAGATCAAATACTTATTTCACTCATTAAAATGCAAATCAATTTATAAATTTTTGAAATGTGTTTTGTTGAATTTTAGTAATAGTAGTAAAGTTGGAAGGGACCTTGGAGGTCATCTAGTCCAACCCCCTGCTCGGGCAGGAAACCCTACACCATTTCGGACAAATGGCTGTCCAGTCTCTTCTTAAAAACTTCCAGTGTTGGAGCATTTACTGCTTCTGGAGGCAAGCTGTTCCACTGATTAATTGTTCTCACTGTCAGGAAGTTTCTCCTTAGTTCTAGGTTGCTTCTCTCCTTGATTAGTTTCCACCCGTTGCTTCTTGTCCTGCCTTCAGGTGCTTTGGAAAATAGCTTAATTCCCTCTTCTTTATGGCAGCCCCTGAGATATTGGAATACTGCTATCATGTCCCCCCTTGTCCTTCTCTTCGTTAAACTAGACATACCCAATTCTAGCAACCGTTCCTTATATGTTTTAGCCTCCAGTCCCCTAATCATCTTTGTTGCTCTTCTCTGTACTCTTTCTAGAGTCTCAACATCTTTTTTACATCGTGGTGACCAAAACTGGATGCAGTATTCCAAGTGTGGCCTTACCAAGGCATTGAAGAGTGGTATTAATACTTCACGTGATCTTGATTCTATCCCTCTGTTAATGCAGCCTAGCACTGTGTTGGCCTTTTTGGCAGCTGCAGCACACTGCTGGCTCATATTTAAGTGATTGTCTACTAGGACTCCGAGGTCCCTCTCACAGTTACTACTATTGAGCATGGTGCCACCTATGCTGTACTTGTGCATTTGGTTTTTCTTGCCTAAATGTAGAACCTTGCTTTTTTCACCATTGAATTTCATTTTGTTAGTTAGTGCCCAGTGTTCAAGTCTGTCCAGATCCTTCTGTATCTGAAGCCTGTCTTCTGGAGTGTTGGCTATTCCTGCCAGCTTGGTGTCGTCTGCAAATTTGATGAGTTCCCCATCTATCCCTTCATCCAAATCGTTGATGAAGATGTTGAAGAGTACTGGGCCCAGAACAGAGCCCTGGGGCACCCCACTACACACTTCCCTCCATATAGATGCAGTTCCATTGAGGACCACTCGCTGAGTACGGCCGGTCAGCCAGCTACGGATCCATCTGGTGGTGGTTCTGTCTACCCCACATTTTTCTATCTTGTCAAGTAGTAGGTTGTGATCTACTTTATCAAATGCCTTACTGAAGTCCAAGTAAATTATGTCCACAGCATTCCTCTGATCCACTAATTTTGTCACTTGGTCAAAGAATGCAATAAGATTTGTCTGGCATGATCTATTTTTGACAAACCCATGTTGGCTTTTAGTAATGACTTTGTTTGCCTCTAGGTGTTCGTTGATTCGTTGTTTGATTATCTTTTCCAGGATCTTCCCAGGTATTGAGGTCAGGCTGATAGGTCTGTAATTTCCTGGATCCATTTTTTTTCCTTTTTTGAGGATGGGAACTACATCAGCTCTTTTCCAGTCCTCTGGTAGTTCCCCTGTGTTCCAGGATCTTTGAAAAATATAGTTCAGTGGCTCCGATATCACATCTGCCAGTTCCTTGAGAACTCTGGGGTGTAATCCGTCTGGTCCTGGCGATTTGAACTCATCTAGGCTGGACAGGTGCTCACTAACGATTTTCTTGCCTATCTTAACTTGTGTTTCTGTTTTGTTTTTTGTGGCACTATTTTTGATAGGTTGGTCTGTTTTTTCCCTTTGTGTAAAGACAGATGCAAAAAATGAGTTAAATAGTTCTGCTTTCTCCCTGTTGCTTGTCACCTTCTTGCCACTTCCACCCACTAATGGACCAATCATTTCCTTCACTTTTTTCTTGTTTTTTACATGTTGAAAGAAGCTTTTTTTGTTATTTTTGACTTTGGTCGCAAGCCTCAGTTCATTTTGAGCCTTGGCTTTCTTCACTTCATCTTTGCAGGCTCGGGCTATTTGCTGATATTCTGACTTAGTTATGTTCCCCTCTTTCCACTTTCTATACTTGTCCTTTTTATCTTTCAATTTGTCAGAGAGTTCTTTATGCAGCCATGCTGGTTTCTTTTGAGAGCTGTTATTTTTCCTCTTTGTTGGTATTGTGCTAGACTGTGCTTTTATTATCTCATTTTTCAAAATTTCCCAAGCTTCTTGAGTTGTTTTCCCCTTGAGGATTCTCATCCATGGAATCCTTCCCAAGCCCTCTCTAAGTTTATTGAAATTAGCTCTCTTGAAGTCCAAGACTCTAGTTTGACTGTGTTCTATTGGTTGTGCTTCTATAATGTTGAATTCTAATATTGCATGATCACTTCCTCCCAGGGTTCCTATGGCTCCAACACCGTCTATCATTTCATCTCTGTTAGTGAGAATTAGATCCAAAATGGCTAATCCCCTAGTTCCATTCTCTACTTTTTGGGAGACAAAGTTGTCTGCTAGGTTTGCCAGGAACCTGTTTGATCTTCCACTTGGTGCGGAGTTTGTCTCCCAGTTGATGTCAGGGTAGTTAAAGTCCCCCATTACTATTGTGATGTGCTTCCTACATACCTTAGTTAGCTGACTAGCAAAAAGTTCATCTATTTCCTCTGTTTGGTTGGGTGGTCTGTAGTATACACCTATGGCAATGTCATTCCCCCCCCCTTTTATATTGACCCAAATGCATTCAAGACAGTTTTTATCATTGTTGTACTCTATTTCTGTGAAGATGTAGTTATTTCTTATATAGAGAGCAACTCCACCTCCTCTTTTATTTGGTCTGTTTCTTTTAAATAATTTAAATCCCTCTAGCTGTGTGTTCCATGTGTGAGTTTCATCCCACCATGTTTCCGTAATGGCAACAATATCGTATCTGCCCTCATTAACCTGAATTTCTAGTTCACCTGAATTAACCTGAATTTTGTTGTTATTCTGTCTCTCACTGATAAAACAAACCTATCATTAAAATGATAGACTTGATTTCTTTGTCAGTGGGCAGACATACAAAATCAGCTGGGAATCAAAAAAAAATTCCCCTCACGGTATCTATTTTTTTGTCAATTATTTAAATTTCCTGACCACAGAGGGTGGGGAAATTTGAACTTCTTCAGAAGTACTCATTTTATTTAAAAAAAACACCTGAAATATTTTGAATTATATAAATGACTATCATAATTTTGATTCAAGTCAGATTATGAATTAGCACAGTTGGGCATTAAGCACTTTCTAAAACCTCCCATCAAAATGCAGATACATCTGAAAAAAGCACTAGTGAAGAGTGACATAGCTTTTGTTCTTGTCTTGTTTTGGGTTTAATTTTAAAATATATTGCCCATTTAGATTCCCCAAGGGATTCTTGAAAGAAGGAAATCCTTGACATTGAACATAACTGGGAATGCAGGTGCCACTCTGGATTTGTTGATAGAAAATATGGGTCGAGTCAATTATGGACGATACAACAATGACTTCAAGGTATAGTTTCACCTGTCTTATATGTCCAGTCAGCTATAAACTTGCCAATTATTTGAACACAAAGCAGCACTTCTAATGCTATTGAGTGAACAATTATAGAGGTATAGTATTTAGAGGTATAGTTGAAGAAGAAAATTTTTTTTGAGATACCATTGTATCCCTTTAATTAAGAAAGGGATACTATACTTGACTAGTGATTCCAAAATCCCTGCTGTCTTTGGTGGACATGAGGATGATTAAAAATATGCATAATAAACAATCTGACCAAGCCTTAAATGCCACTGGCATTGGCCTAATGCAGGCAAGATGCAATACAGTGTTTTATGAAGAGATGTTATCTCAATAGGGACCTTCCTTTGGAAATGTGAACAGTTATTCAGATCATGTAGTTCTTATGGGCTTGCTGGAGGAGTACAGATCCTCCCTATCATCCTTTGTATTTACATTGTTATCTAAAATAAGTTGGAAAGTAGGAGTAGGTATATTGTTTTTGTTCTAATCATTGTAATCTGAAGACTTGTGGTCTGTGCCAACCCAGTTTTGATGTTGATTAGTTGTGAAGTAATTTTCTCATTTCTAGTTCCTTATTGTCTTTCAACATCAGGGAACAATTTTTTAGTAAGTTTGGCATAAAAGTTGGAATATCATTTATTTTACAATATCAGAAGTTTATTTTCTCCATGTCAACCCTTTTATGGGTTGCCTCTGTATGGATTGATTATGCAAAATATAGTCTGCTGCCAACCTTGATTTTGATAGCAAGGATTTCTTATCAGAAATACATTACTTTTATCAGTTGAATTGAGTTTAGCTTGATATTGTATATATATACCAGTATTATTATTAAAGAAGATATACAGATATAAATTAGTTTTAGTCTTTTTCTCTCTCTCTCTCACGCGCACCACTTTTGGAGGCAATCTTGCTGTGATAGCACAAACTACTATCACAGCAAAATTGCTTAGTGAAAAAAAGCAAAAAAAGAGAGCTTCATAGTTTTCTTTAAGGAACATAGCTTTCATGTGTTCAACTGCTTCACTACAGGATGTGGAAACTTGCAAATCATATTGTACCGTGAAACTTAAAGTGTAAAGGTGAGATCAAAATCCTAGATTAAATTTATCTTACAAAGAATCTCTAAAAATGGAGCTTTAGAGGTGATGCTCAGGTATTGACAGCTTTTGCATCTGAGCTATTTCTGTTAATGTTGTAAGCTACCTTCTAATGTTAATAGTAACACCTTTGGCTATTTGTGTAAATAACTTGGATAGCTTGAGGCTTGTGGTGGTTATTATATGCATATGCAGTAGGATTTCCCTCAATGATTCTATCACTTGACCAAGTCTTTTCAAATTGTTTGGACTCTTATATGTCAAAAACATGCCTCACTCAGCAGTCCAACCATTGCATTTTGTACCAGTTACAGGGTCTGGATCAAGCATGTCGCAACCTCACAAAGAATGCATAGTCCAATCACATGGTTACCATTTTGTTAACCACTATTGTTAGGTTTCCCTAACCAAGTCAGAATACAATTGGTATTCCAGATGGAGTTGATAGTATGCACTTCTGTTAAAAAGATTTGAGTTATCACTAATGCTTTGACTCAAGTAATGCACCCACATTACATTTCTGAGAAAGAATATCCTTTTCAGATCAAGCTATTCCCCAAATTCTCATTCCCTTGAATCCACTGACCTACAAAATCCCCATCTTATTCATTTTTAGTATATTAAGCCACATCTATCCCATCATAGCATTGTTCTGGCTATCACAGCTTTTTCTGATGTAGATACAGAGCTGAGTGTTATGACTTCAGCATGTTAATGACAAGTAAATTAATGACACCTCAAATTCCTAATGAACATCCCTTCCCAGGGAACTCATACATTTGTTAAACCATATCAGGGACAATATGCCTTGCAACAATCTAGCCCAAAGTTTTCAGTTGTCAAAAAAACAATCACCCATTATTTTTCTTTGAACAATTTCCATAGATAGAAGCAGAATCATTGTGCCATATCAACCACAATTGGTTCTCGGATTAAAAAAGATTCAAATGATATGTGACCAAAATAACCAGCTATAGACTTCCTACCCCCCAGTATATTGTAAGGCTATGGCTATCCCCATCCAAATAAATTGGTTCAAAGTGATAAATTAAGTTCAGTTGAAGAAATTCCTGTGCCCATTCTTTTCCATTTTAATAAATTTTGTTAAAAGAGAATTCTGTAAGAATTGTGTAATATAAAAAAGAAAAACCTTTAGATGAATCAGTTGCCTAAACTCTGAATACAAACTATATTTAACCTTGTTGAACATTGCTGAAAGATCAAACAAGATCAATAGGGTACCACTCCCTCTATCACTCTCCCATATGCCATTTATCTAATCATAGCAGAAATCCAGTTGAAAAATATCTGTATAATCAGTGTTTTTTTCCAGAGCTCCCAAATACCTACTAATCTCATGGGACGACCTGCACTAACTTATTGAAGTTTATGTAGTCACTATACTGAGGGTTTTCAAAATAAGGCTATGAGACTGCAAAAAACTCAGGTAGAAGGAGAGAGAGAGAAAGAGAAAGGGAGGGAGGGAGGGAGGGAAGGAGGAAGAGAGAAAGAGAATTCCAAAGCAATAAAACTCTTCTCTGACTATTTATAATACATTTATTTTCAGGGTCTGATTGCGAATTTAACTCTTGCTAAAGATATCCTCCTTGACTGGGAGATATATCCTCTGGACATTGACAGAGCAGTACAAGAGGGCTTGAGTCATAAGATATCTGGAAGGAATATATCAACATATGAAGGGCCTAATGTTTATACTGGCAATTTTTCCATTCCTAGTGAAATTCCAGATTTGCCTCAGGACACCTATCTCAAATTTCCAGGTTGGACAAAGGTACAATTTATTTTTTCATAAAAAGTTCATGTATAACTTCAAAATTCATATCAGATTTCTCATCCACCTCATTTATAGGTAAAGTGTAAGGCAGCTTAATTCGAGTATATTAACAGTATTGAGATTGTTAATTTCCAGTGCTAGGATTGAATGCTGCTTAATAATAGGAATATTTAGTAGGTCAACCACAAGGATTGATAAAGTTGGCAATATATGACAAAACAATTATCTTCAGGCTGATATAATCAAATAAAACTAAATTATGACTGTCTAATATCTATCTCTTGCAACTGGTAAACCTGTAGATATGTACTGGCTGAATTATGTTAATGTTAGTTATGGATTTGGGATATTTTTAGTACTTGCCTCATGTGCAGATTAATACTGAAATTCATATTCTGCCTTCCACACATACGTTCCAGTGCCCAAGACTCATGTGCCTTAATAGCTCTCATAACATAACAGTTCTTATAATTTTTCATTTGAGAATTTTTTATTGAGAATGTCAATGATTAGAATGCACAAATTGTGAAAATTAAAAAGTTATTTGGTCCATTATTTCTAATTAAAGGTGTCCTTGGGAAGCATTCCTTATGATATCTGAAGTTCAGGGAACTAATTCTCTGTATTATTTCAATCAAGAGAAAACCTTTCACCCCAGTAGAAAAGTTAATTTCTTTTCAATTGTATCTGTGCTGTTATGTCTCTTGTTCATGTGTTCTAATTTTATTCTTTTAGCCCACTAGTGAGATTTTTATTGTGCAATAAAAAGTGGCTGAAGAACACATAACATAAGTCCTCTTTCAGATTAGGCTATGTGAAACTCATATTTATTCCGGAGAACAGCTGTCTCTTTCATCATACTTGATGGCACCTTATTTGCTATTAATTACTTGAATAGTTTGTCATGCAATTCCATAGAACTATACAGAAGGCACTGTTCAGTACCCCTTCCTATATAGAAGTGAAAACTGTAAGCTAATATTAAAAACGGGGTCTATAGTAAGAGCTGATACTGGCTGATTTTTACTAGAGAAGAGAATATTTGTAATTCATGGTTGAACTAGGGAGTCCTTGATGCTCTCTGTTCTTGGCTGTTTGCTCACAGACCAGCATTACCTGATTAGGTAAATCATCAATGCTAGTGAGTATAGGATTTGCTTGCCATTCATATACAGTAGTTAACCTTGTTGGTGGAAGTGTGTTTTCTGCTCTGTAATTCCTTGATTAGGCTTCTTTTTCTGCTAGATTGTTTGAGTGGTATTAATTATCTGGATTAATTGAGAGGATGCATTTTGATCTTTTTTCCTTCCTTTTTTAATCTTTCTTTTGAATAATGCTTCTTGATCTAGAATGCCTACAGTTTTCAAAGGAAAAAGGAAACACTTCCTATACAACATCATCCATGAGTTTCTTGCAACTTTGGCATTAAATGCCTGACCAGTCAAATCTTTGCAGCACAAACAACACAAGCTATAAAAAGGATTATACTGCCAAACATCAAAACATATCAGAACAACCACAGATTATCACAACTACATGGCATTACCATAGCACACAAACTAACTAAATCCTTCCAGCATATTTTAAGTAAAACAAAAGATCCAGTAGTCTAAAAAGAAAATACAAGGATCATCTTCAACATAAAGTCTTACATAGGGCATATAGGCAAAAGACTAGTAGAATGCATCCATGAACACAACTAGCAATCAAAAGACATTATGAAAGTTTCTTAATCTCACAATATATGGACAGATTCAAATATTGATTCAGCTGGGAAAATATTAGCATCCTAGACTAAGCTAAATCCAAAAAAATGATAGGGAATTTCTGGAAACTTGGCATTCAAACAAATTAGCCATCAATAGATACATAAAGATAAATCGTATTTACATACTTCAGTATGTAAATACATACTTACATATTTACATTTCTCCCTGCAAAAAATGTTTGTTTCAAAAATCGCAAGAGCTTTATACCCAACTGGATGCCTGTAGGTTCCATAAGCAGGGCTTATGTAAGATTCCTCAATACATCTTTCCTTATTTCCCAGCAACTGGGAATTTCACCTTTGATGTAGAATTGGATATTGTCATCCTGTGTAGTAATCACTGATCAATTTATATTTTCTTTGTTCTCCCGTTAAGGTCAACTAAAGTGTCATTGGGACATTGAAGTTTAATTTTTATGAGAAAGTGCTATATTATATAGGTGTTTATCTAAGTACAATATTAGAATTTTTGTCATCAGTAATTTATTTTTGAAATAAGAAAGTCAGATTTATAATGAATATAGTAATTTAAACAAGTAAACCTTTTTCTTGCAGAGGTCATTTTAAATTCTTCTTTTGGAGTGAATTGTTACTTACAGATTCTATTTTTGTTTTTTTTATGTATTAAACAAATAATAGAGAACACTATATATTTTAGCTTAATGCTGCAAAAGTCTTATCAATCTCCTGCCACACCCACCCACACCAACACATACATACACACAAACAAACAAAACAGATTAGCAAGGGCAATTTTGTCAAAGCCACAGCAAGAGATAATTTTGATAAGAATGTTATCTAACACTTTGTGGAATGTGATTTAGCATATTTACAGAACTATCTTAAAATGAATTTTACTCTTTAAAAGGTATAGAAAATGTGCATAAACAGAATGAGCTGCCAAAAATTAAAAATGGGATTTGCAAAGGCTGTTTGCACAATAACTTGGTTGAGTTCCTTTTTTTAAATTGTTTCAGTTTTTCTTGTTACAAATATTGTCTAATCAGTATAATACCCTTCAGTGATTCCAAGAACAGCATGCTAGCATAGAGGTTAGAGAGATGGATTTAATTTCTGTGTAAGAAGTGATCCAACTAATCAGTGCCTTTGTAGGCACTTTCTATCACTCCAAGTCCCAACTCCCTTCAGTGAGTAGATCCGTGTTTCTTGTTGACAGCTTTGGGATGTGTGGACATTCTGGTTGCGGAATCCTGGAATCTGAAATTTATACATCTTAAAGTTGCTAAGGTTGAGAAACTTTGCCATAGATGACTCATTTGGCTTCCTGAGCATATTTGAAGCCATATCCAGTAGTGCCCTATATAATCCTACATATATTCCTCTGGTTGCTTCTTTAATAAATGCTCCAAACCCAAACCCTGATATCACTGTTGGGGTGGGAAATTTTGAATTCTTAATTAGAATTTTGTTAGATTTGATTTCATATAAATGTTGCAGTCAGGATAGCTAAAATTATATATTTTTTCCTTTGCAGGGACAAGTCTGGATTAATGGCTTTAATTTAGGACGCTATTGGCCATCCCTTGGCCCTCAATTAACATTGTTCGTGCCTAGAAATATCCTTGTTTCATCTTCTCCAAATAATATTACCATTCTAGAGCTAGAGAGGTCTCCTTGTGGCATCCAGAATTGTTTGGTGGAATTTGTGGACAAGCCCATCCTCAATAAAACCCTTGACTATGAAGGCAATTTTGAGAAGCTGTTCTCTAAGGATTTATGACTGAATCCTATGTAATTCTACTTGATTTACTGATTGTTGAGCCCATCAAAACATTCTGATTCAAATTTTTGGTTAGTAATGAGAAGTGTTACAATTCTAAGAGGTTTTTAACTCCATGAAAATGAAGACATATCTTCTGTGATTGACATTGATGAAGACTCCATTCTATTTAATTGATTTTTTCCCATATTAAATCAAAATGATAATTTCTTAAAATTGTCTGGGTGTTACCTTAACACTCAAATTTAACTGGATATTCTTAAATGTACTACACTGTGTTTTCCTTGGACAATTGTAGCTTTTCAGAATAAATATGTTTGGTTTTGGAATATGTTAGTGCTTTAATATGTCCATGTGCTAAAATTTATGAAATTATTAATACTAAATGCATCATGGTTCCCCTTCATCATAAAAGTCTGAAAATAAATGCATAACCAAGGTTAGCATAAAATCCTTAATTACAAAAATTGTTGGTGAACACTTTATTTTTATTATACTTTTAAAGTATACTTAAGTTTGATGGTATCACAGAAGGTGAAATTACCTAGCTAATCATCATCACAAGACTAGCCATTCTGGAAAATTCTCCCAATAGTTTACATGCTCAGGATGATCTACACAGCAGATTTTTGGAATTGCCAGAAGCAGAAGTGTTTCTTGATGTTCCAGACATGGCTACATCCCTGAAATTAGCTGTGGCAATATTATCTTTATATATGGATGGGTTAGTCACCAGGAATCAAGCTTGCCTTGAGAAAAGTCTACTATATATGCTGTATATCTTCTGCCCCCAATACTACGGTATGTCCAAAAGTAACTTTGTTAAGGAAGCTGTTCTATCCTTATATGAATGTTAGTTATTTGTCAATGAAATGTGGGAATGGTTTAATTTACAGAAAAGCTGATTTTACATACCCAGCTATATTATTTGATTGTTCCAGTATTCTTTGATTCCCATACTGTTTTTCACAGTAGCCTCAAATGATTTTGTTTTAAAAGTGAACAGGATTTGTAGCATTCCATTAAATGGTAACTATTCCCTCTGTGTCATCTCTCAATATTCCCACCATTAAAATAAATAAAACAGTTACTTGCAAAAAAAAAAATAATCCCATTATTTCTGTGTACTTTAGAGTCAATTTTGCTCCTTTCTTCCCTGTAGATTTCCCTCAACTTACTATACTTTTATTCCTGGGTATACCGTTTGGGAACTTTATTTCTTTCACAGACATTCTATTGCAATATCACAAGATCCATCCAGGCTTCTGGAAACTACCATGGCATTTGGTCCTAGCAAGCAATCAGGGTTTTTCCTTCATGGCTTTACAGAGCAACAAATGTACATGCTTTCTCAAGTATATGCGATAACAAATATAGAAGATGAGGTGAATCTTCAAACATGATGTATATTGAGGTGTGGTATGCTCATCTGATGCACCAAGAATCTTGTGTAAAATGAGTGAAATTGCTCTGCATGCAGACTTGAATCCAGGCAGCAGTTGGTGCTTTACATTTCACAGCCAAAATATGTTGGGGAAAAAGCTACAGCTAAAGTATAAAGCAAGATCCAGTTTAGCATAGTGGTGAAAGGCACTTAGCTAGAAGCAGGAGGTACTGACAGTTTGGACAGTTTCTCTCAGCTCTGGCAAGGAAGCAAATGGCAAATTATTTCTGAATATATTGCCAAAGAAACTAGGGACTTGTAGTTGCCAGAGTCAACTCTGATTTGCAAATCAAACCCCCAATTTAAAATAGCATTTCCAGGAAATAAAAGCACACTTCTCTTACATTGGGTAAAATTACTGCTATCTATGTGGACAATGCTGAACTAGATAAACCAAGAGTCATTTATGTGTATTATTAAAGAACATTAGGTTTAGAGTGGCATGAATTCATCCTGCAACATTTGATCTGGAATGGCTGAAACTGGGCTTTTGATGTGCTAATCAGGTGATTGCTTATAGATGCCTTATTCCTTATTGAAGGTTATCAAGATGAAGTCTAGAAAGAAAGTTTGTAAAGTCAAAGACTGAATATTTTAATTTTCTCTGTTTCTTTGTATCTATCTGGCTTAATGCTGGTTATAAATAATATTTGATATTCTGAGACTGAATCAAGATAATCTGCAAATATTTATAGCTTAATAAGAGGAGGATTTTGGCCAAAGAATATTTGTGTATTTTGAAAATAATACTTTGTGACCTTAGCTTTTCCATAATTTATTTGTTTATGTATTGTCATATGTCCAGTGATGATCTTTCTCATTTTAAAGAGAATTTTGGTGAACAAAATACCTGATATCCAAGAAAATAGCATTTGATAATGTAGGCAGAATGAGTATAGGACAGGTTTCTGACTGCTCTCTGGTATACAATAACGAATTTGGAATTAGGAAGAGCCATAACATGTGACCTATCCAACTGAATAATTCACTGGATGCACACATACACACATATCCCTACCCACCCACCCCCCCCGCAAACTGGGGAAAAAACGAAAAGAAAAAGATAATTATTTCAAGCTGTTGGGTGACTGACAAAGTCAACAGTAAATTTTAAGTAAGTAGTTTAGAAACATATAAATAAGAATGTATTTCTAAACCCATCTGTAAAAAGGACTGCTCAAATGTCCTCTTTTTATAAACCTTGTGGTAGAAAAGATAGCAACAAATCAATGTGAAGTTAGAAGTTATTCTGTCTTCTTAATTTTTGATTTTAGACTAGATGCTCAAAGAGAGAGAGAGAGATTTCTCCATTTAAATTCCAACTTATGCAGCAAGAGTACACAAAGCTTTATTGAGGTACAGTAGTTAAGGATTGTGAAACTAAGAAAGCATGTTGTGGTCTCTGCAACCAGCTAAAAACCACTGCTGGGTGTGTATGTTTATAAAGCTGATATTCTAATAAATACTGCTGAGATCACTTCAAGAATTTAACTAGCTTCCATTCTTTTCTCCCCCCCCCCTTTATATTTCTGTATTAAATACAATACAGAAATGTCAGCAGCACACCTTAATTTAGCTTTCTATATTTTGTACTAGTTAGTATAATTTAGAAGTTTAAATTGACAGATTTATTCTTGGTTCTTCTGGCACTAACTACCCCCTATTCATTCATGACTATGAAATATAACTTATCTTTAATTAGTTCATATTCCTCACATGCAATAGAAAATGTACTAGCTTTTTTTTACATTATTTAAATTTATTTTGCAATAAAACGAAGCCACTGTAAAGTCCAGTGTGTAATGTAATAACTGAAAGCATTTACAAGCATAATTCCATTGTTCTAAAGGCAGGAATTAGTGGCAGAAATTTTAAGGAGGAAGCAATTAATTAAAATTCAGTAGGATTTTTGCTGATCCTAAGAAACTGACATTGAACCTGAAACAGCAAAAAATATCTATGTATTTATTTAAAAGACAATAATGGGGAAGTTAAAGTAAGAGCAGGAATTTCTCTTCTTGCCTCAGGCAGAAATTGAAATTTATTCAAATTGTTCTTCAGCACAATTAAATGCCATCCATCTATCGTTCTAATGCTATATAGGAAAAGTCTTAAAGGAAATGTAAAATGTTCATAGAATTTGGTGGCTTTCTGTAAAAAACAGTCTTGTATAAATACCTGGGAGCGAACCTCTTGTATAAATACCTGGGAGCGAACCTCTTTCTAAACAATGAGACTAATGACATATTATCCCTGCGTGGTACCAATGTAATGGTACCAATGTAATGGTACCAATAGTGTTAACAACCAAATAATATTAAGAGTTCAGCTTTTGTGTTTATGGCCATAAAAATATAATTCATCTTCTTTATCCATGTTTTCCTGATACATTCATGTATCCCTCTTTTTTTTCAAAGTAACACTTCTCCATTAACTGGAAGGCACACTTAGACATTTACCATTGAGTTGATATTTAACATATTAATTGAAAATAAATTAATAGAAAGCCATGAATAATTCTGGAGGCATGTTGCTCTTATAAGTTCCTTCCCACTGCCTACTTTCTGTACTGTTTGAATTATTTTGGGGCTCCAGCATTTGTTGACATACTGCAATTCTTTGTGATCTTGCTGAAAATCTATCTTTGTCTAGGTTTATGTTTGTTAAAAAGAATTAATTATATTTTCCTCTATGTAGCAGTAAATGGAGCTCCAATGATAGAGTGATGGATACAGATGTCTTCCATTTAGTCCTTGTGTAACTTGGCTGCCTTGACTATTCTTTCTGTTTATAATATCCCCATGTTCTCAAAAATTGGGGTGGGATTTGGGGAGAGGTACATTTTTAATGGTTTTATTATCTATGAGTCTTTAAATATAGTCCACCTAGAATCTATAAGCTACATTAGAAAGTAAAAAAAAAATGCTTGGGAAGTGGCACTGGCAAAACATTTCTGTTACGTTTACCAACAAGATATTTTAGATGTGTCCATGTACTTACCGCTTTGGCTAGAGGGGGCCTTCAAAAGTCTTGATTTCATCATAATACATTTTAAAAAGGCAAAAGAGTAACCAACTCCAAAAGAGAATGGCCTTTCCACCTTTCTTTTGAAAGATCTGAAGCAGTGTGTACATTTGATTTGGCAAATAAGAGCCAAAGACTGTTAAGCTAAAACCACAGAAATTTCTCTGAAACTTCTCTGAGTTTCATTAGTGAGTTTGAGCAAGAGATGATGCCCCAAGGGGGAAGGGATCTGTTTATAAAGGAAATTGCCAGGTTGGAGAAAAAGAGAACATAATGCTTTCAGTCACAGACTTCTCAATCCCAGTGCATAATATCACAGCAGTATGTTGTACGTCTTGTGTTTGCTTAAGGTGACCAATTTTTTTACAATGAACAGGAGGACACAAATAAATTGAAGAAAAAAAATTATTGTACATAAAAGAAACATTTTACTCATTGCAACAATAATACAGAATATACTATAATATGATAAATGCAGAGTGGGCCCCACGGATTCCAAAGCACCAGCCGTGCCAGCTCCGGTCCCAGAGGGCAGCCTGCCACTGACACACCCTGCCTGCAGCTGCCCCGCCAGTATCACCACCCACCCTGCGCAGCCCTGTATAGAGCGGGCCCCGCGGCTCCCACAGCACAGGGGGCAGCTGGCCGCTGCCACACCCTGCCCACAGCAGCCCCACTGCCCCTGCCTCTTGCGCTCGCAGCCATTATTGCCCTAGCAAGACCAAAGATCAAGAGAAAGTTACCGTGGCATCGCCGCTCCAGTTTCCTCCAGGTATCTTCGGGACTAACTAGGAAATGGTGTAGTTGGGTAGCAGGGAGGGGTGCAAAGTTCCTGCCAATTTGTCTTCGCTGCAGACAACTTGCATGTGCAAAGTTTGCCAGCTGCGCTCAGCAGCAATTTGGCGCGCTCAGCAGCAATTCCTATTGGCTCTCGAAAGCCATTAGAGGGAGTAGCAAAGCTCATGCAAAAATTGAAAAAAAGCCATCAAAAAAAGGTGCCGGAACGCCATTCTGAGCGTTCTATGAGAAAAAAAGCCCTGCAGATTAGTCTTCAAATATCGAAAAGGAGGACATGTAGGAGGACACTTTTTGAGGGAGGACAGAACTCACAAAAGGAGGACTGTCCTCACTAAAGGAGGAAGGTTGGTCACCTTAGTTTGCTGCTCTTTGATTCTCTCTTCAGAGGACAAAAATTTGATTTTGGTGGAATCTTTGGAACTTAGCAGCATAAATTCAGAGCTTGTTTGAAAAAAAATGTTCCACTATTCTTTGCTATCTACTCTGTTTCTGTTTCATAACTCTGAAGTTAATGGAACAGGATCCATAAAGGCATACATTTTCACCCATAACTCCCTAATCAAGGACAGAACAAACCTAGAACTTAAAAGAAATTTCCTGACAGTTAGAACAATTAATCAGTGGATTAATCAGAGGTTGTGGGTTCTTAAACACTGGAGGTTTTTAAGAAGAGATGGATAGCAATTTGTCTAAAATGGTATAGGGTTTCCTGCCTGAGCAGAGGGTTGGACTAGATGACCTCCAAGGTGCTTTCCAAGTCTGTTATTTTGTTAATTTTGCATTTACTGTTTTTCCCCCCAGATTGTTGCTTATGGAAATTGTGGTAATTTATGGGATTTAGTTTAAAAATAAAGTTATAGGAAGAGGAAGGAAATTAAAATATTTATTAGGAAAAATGATTCCTGTCTTCCTTCCACAAAAATATTTATGCTTATGATGCTGATAATTTGCATGTTTATGTAATTACTTCTTTGTTATCTTTATAAAAATGATACTACCCCCTCCCAAAACATATAGGAGAGTAAATATTGCAATGTTTTTGTAAATTCCCAAATTAAAAAGTTTATTGTCATTCAAAAGCTCCCAAACCTATTCATAAATATTTACTGGATACTATCTGTTCAAAAGATCAACTTTGCCTATGTATTCCATCCAATTCAGGCAATACAGTATAGTTCTCTTAAACTTCCAGAACCAAAAGGGAAAGTCCACCCATCCTTTCAAGTCATTTGAAATCCATCATCTTGACATAGGTTGTAATTGATAATTAAAAAAAGAGATTGGACTTCCAATGTGTTGTCACATTTACATTCATATCCCAAAGCAGTTGGTGAGACTCCAAAACATTCATAGATGAAGCAACCCCATTTTGTAAACTAGGATCCAGATCAAGTATTTTGATCTATAATTTTTTTAGTACAATCAAACTGGGTCATTTTTTCCTTTCCAAACTGTTCTCTGATCAACTTGAATTAGTAATATAATCAAGTTTTACATTAAATGGGAGATAGTTTCTTTCATTTTTAATCAATAACAAATTTCTGTTGCTATTGATAAAACAGCAGAAAGCATATATTTTTTAGTATTAATCACATATATAGCCTTAGATAAAACATGAAAACTGGCTAAAATAGTGGTTCTCTATCTGTGATCTGCAGAACCCTGAGGGGAATGCGATGTCATCACAAGGTCTGCAAAGACTTGAAGAAAAGTTATGATTTAAATATTGAATCTTTGTGGTCCATGGTCGTGGTCCATGGCCACACAAGGTATTTAAAGCAGGTCTATGGTGAAGAAAAGTTTGAGACCACTTGGCTACAGTATATATGTGAAGGCACTTATAGTTGTTCACCAACTGGGCAACATTTGGTCCATTTCATGAAATCAAGACCATGTTTCTTCAATTAATGTATCTATTGGAAACTACAGTAAACTAAGATTCCTGGTGGTTCTTTTTCCCCACATGGTGCCCTCTGAATTATATTCGACTTCAAACCCTGTGGAGTTCAGCAACTATACCCTATGTATTTGCTAAGTAAAAATTATGGGAGTTATACAACTTAGATGGAAGGCAACACACTGAAAAAAGTTCATTTACTGTCACTGTGACAACTGTATGAAATGGCATAACATCCTTTGCATGAAATGGGCTGGTATTTTATCTACTTACTGAGGAAAAATGGCAATGTTAAATGGCTTTATGGCATGAAATAGATACTTTTGGCAAGTCATAATCAATTTAACTTAGTAGTGAAACACATTTTCAGAAAAAAATGCTAGGTAGATTGTACCAATCTTAATTGCAAGATAATGATTCTTAGAGTAGGAAAACACTTGCTTTTGATATTTATATATTAGATACTGCAACAACTACAATCTTTTTTATGCTTATTTTGTTAATAACATTTTCCTTTGCATCATAGGACTTCTGACTACTGACCAGTAAAAAATGCTAATGCATGCAAAGACAAGTTCTCACTATAAATTTACGACATATACTTTCTGTAATCAAGTGTGATGTACATCCTTACTTCTGTCTGCCAGTGATGTATGACTATTTTTTTCATATAATTTGTATAAAGTCATTGATAAATCTTTCACAAAAGATATTTATTTATTTTATCATTAAAAGATAAAGAATAGAAATGTTAAAAAACATTCTTCAGAAAATAATACATTTCTTCTATTAACATTTATAGACAGTTAAGTAATACAGCGCTTAAGTTTCAAGTGCCCACAAAAAACAAAGGTTCTTTACATTTAAAAAGCTGAGTATTAATGGTGTTATTACTTGAAATGGCTTTACATTAAATGATTTCTAAAAACTAAAACTAACTTAATATAATATCATTATACTTATCTGAAAACATGACAGGAGGTTATGTGTTTGACATTAAAATAATGAATTCTGCAAAATCATAGTATAAGCTGTGAATAAGATAGGCAGAGTTCAGTGTCCCTGTCAACAGGAGAAAGTGAAGATCAGCATCATGGCCAAGGTTCTCCTGCATGCATCATGCAGTAACTTATAATACTGTGATATGTCTGTATACTTCATTTCAATTCAGTAAGGCATGAATAGATCTGTACAGCACTCTCATGAAAGGAACATGGCCTACATTTTGTGAAATGTAACTACATGTTGTAATTACATATGAGAAATTGAGTAATCTTAATTCCCTGAAAGAGGAAAGTAGATATGTTTTTCTGCTTTCAGATAGATACAGCCTCTAAAATAAATTCAACAAGCATAAACTATAATGATAGACTCTTGGACTATCTAGTTTGCAAGAAATTAAGATATCTCCCTGTTACAAGGGATTGTGGGAATTGGGGTAAGAAGGGAAAGAAAAACTTCCAACCCCTTGTCTGTACTAGTTATGCTGAGATGGAAGGGTGTTAGCCATGGCAAACGATCCATAACTTTCTCTGAGATTTATTTATTTAGCTGGGGTTTATGAAAATTGCCTTTGAAGAGACATCTAAAGGAAGATAAAGAGTTAACTGAAGATAATAATTCTGCTCACAACTGACACAACCACTTTGAAAAATCTTTGGAACTGCTGTTATTTCCAAGCTTATCTGCTGCCTCAGAGGACCCAAACTTGTGAACTGCAGAGTTGATTTGAAGCTATCTTAACTCTGAAAAGAGAAAAAAAAAACTTCCTAGATAGCAAAAGATATGTAAAACAAGTATCCTAATGCCATGACTAGAAAGGAAACTTAAAGAGTTCACATCTTTGTCAGAAATGTGACCATAGGACTGAAATGACAAATTGATGTATACTGAGACTTAAAGCTCTGTGTAATTGCTGCATCCAAGGCAAAATAGCTTTTATGTTTCCAAGTTGGATGGGCTGCTTTTCTTTTTCCATGTTAAAAATTTACTTGAAGCCATGCTTATTTGTTGGCATATCATAGTTGTCATTGTTCTGTTGTGTTGGTTCAACTTCAAGTGTTTTAGATTTCAGAATGTCTCTTCATCGCTAGTGGATTGAGTATAACCTGAACCTGATGACTCAGAATAGAAAGATTCATGGAACCCACAGGATTTACAAAGTATTTTTGAAAGAACACAGTTTTTGAAGAACAATCTGATATATAACTTGAACTTTTGTCCCATAAAGAAATAGATGATTGGATTCAAACAGCAGTGAAAATATGTTAGGATTTGAGTCACCTGATCTGCATAGTCCAAATTTTTGCTGATTTCACATTGTCCAAGAATACCCACATCATCCAAACATTTTAGAAAAAGTATAACATTGTTAGGTGTCCAACACATAAAAAACACGACCACCACAACAAAGATCATCTTCACTGCCTTCTTTTTCTTGTTATTTCTACAGTGTAGCAAGGTCAGAACTATTCTTGCATAACAAAAGGAAATGATGATGGAGGGCACAATGAGGCCTAATATGTTGATTTCCATACAAGCAAAGAGTTTCCATGCTGTGCTATTCTTATGGTACACTAATTTGCATTCAGTACGATTATAGCCATTTACTGATGAGCTAAATATAAGGTCTGGAACAGAGACATTGATGGCCACTAGCCATACAATAAGACTAGTAAGACTGCCATAAGTGGCAGTTCTTGCTTTCAGTGAAAATGCAATATGAACAATGGCAAGATACCTATCAATACTCATGAGCATGATAAAAAAGATTCCACTGAAAAATCCAATCTGGAAGGTCCAAGAGACTATTTTACATAAAGTATCTCCAAATACCCACTTATCAGCCATGAAGTAAGACCAAAAAGGAAGAGTAAGAACAAAAAGCAAATCAGAAATGGCAAGATTGAGTACATAAATATCTGTCATGCTTTTTAACCTCTTGTACTTCAGTAGTACCAAGACAACAAGAGTATTGCCAGTTAAACCAAGCAAGAAGACCAGTGAGCAAAGAGTAGGAAGGAACAATGATCCAAAGTTCCTTACTCCATCTTTGATGCATGGTTGAGGACCATCATAATCATATTCATAATCAATAAATGAAGAAGATTCCATGCTGATGCTGGCTGCTTCAGTGATAGACATCATTGGAAACCTAAATGAAAAGATTAAGGAGTCAGCACGGGAATTCATAGCTTTCTATTCAGAGGAATTAAGGTTGCTATCTTACACATGCTTATTCTGGAAGGCCCACTAAATTCAGTGATATTGGTTCAGAGTGATGATACATAAAACTAGACTGTCTGTATTATAATTTTAAAAAAATCACAAAAAATACAGATTTGGAAGATATGCATTTCAGAGCCAAAACAGAAATTTCAGACTGAACAATGTAATTACCAGTGCTCTAATATCATTCCTGAGTAGAAGAAACTATTCCCTCAGTCACTGGATTACAGTACACAATCTGGCTTTGCTACTACAAAAAAAAAAAAAAATGTCCATACTTCTGTCTGCCTTACTAGAAGCAGATGGAGTTTGTTCAAGGCAAGAGAAAAATATATATTATAATTGATTATAATGTTTCAGCACCTTGTCTGGATGTTTCTTGATTTCATTCTGCAGACCATGAGACCAGTTTTTGCCACTTGATCTGATGCAAACTGTTGAAGAACTTGAACATTCACCCGTTCATAGTCCTTAGTTTAATAAAATATTGTCCATTCTTGAACTTCAGATTCTTTGTGCTGAGGAGGCTACATTTTCTATTGAATAATCAACCCTGTCCAACTCCTGTTGCAATCTTCTCTAATTTTCTATTTCTCTTATCTTATACAATCTCCTGCCAGATTAAGAATTATCTTGCCCTGAAGCAATAAGGTATTCACTATCTTTTTTCTAGTCACGCATGCAGATCAAAAATTCACTTTAAAAAAAATCTGATCCTCTTACTCACATGTAAAGAATTGGTTCCAGAATTTATGAATATGCTTTTTCCACACTTTATATTCACCTGCTTCTGGATCTTTTTCTTTCTTCCTTTAATTTTACAGTTGTTTTAATTTTCTGAATTTTTACCATAGCACAAATATATTGATCTCAGATAATATTTTTTAAAATACTATTGCAAGTTTTACTCATTTTAATCAAACAATTAATGAAATGCCAGGATATTTATGCTTTCAGCATTGTTTAAAGAATAATGCTACACTATATAATTAACAATTGCAATTCAGTTTTATTTTTATTGCTTCTGCATATCCCTTTCATCTCATTGTTCCTCTTATTTTCCTTTTCATTACCTATATATCAATGTTGATTTGCATTATATAAATCTTACTCCTAGGGATACTAAAATTTGGAGAAAAATCCATTAAGTGCAGCATGATGATCTTTAATGGATTCCAACTTACTTGTATGACATCAGGTTAGAAAAAAAGACTACATTAAATTCTGTATCTATTACACAGCAACAAAAATCATATTGATAATTCCTATTAGAGGAAAAAACAATGAGATCTAATCCAACTCCTTGTAATCAGTGGATTTATTTCTAAGAGGCAGAGTATCATAAATTAAAATTTATGAAATTAAATCAACTTCATAAACAAAAACCTAATATATCAAGCTGAAACTTGTCTAGTTTCTTCATCATACCTGCAGAAGTTTAATCTGGATTGGTGAAATGGACGGCTCGGTGTGGTTGAAGGATTGGTTGAAGATTCTGCCAGTCCTATCTTTAAGAGTCCCTGTGATTAATGGTAGCAACAATTGTAGATCACAGTGCAAGGAGATCTTATCTCAAAGGAAATGAATGTGTAAGTTTTGTTGATTTGCATATTACAGATCTTATGCCTGATCACTTTAGCCTTTCATGAAAATAAAAACCTATAATTCATTGTTCTCAATCCCACACACTTTTACCTGGAAATAAATATTGTTGAACTCCAGTAGATTTTCTTTTGAATAAGCATAGATATGATTAGTTTGTATATGTTGTAGGTAAACATCCATTTATAGAGTTATATAGTTCCAAAATATCCTTTAAATGATACACAGTTACTTCTTAGAAAGCTTAATTCAGCTCAGAGAGTTTTCTGCAGGCAGTTACAGATTTGTGCTGTAAGTGCCTTCATTTTTCCATGGTAACATGAGGGAACTGATTTACAAAAATGTAAGTAATTTTCCATTTTTCAAATCATTAAGCACAATAAGAGGTTCATTGTTTAGAAAAATATGGTTAAAAATTAGTAGAGTTGGACATAAATTGTGTTTCCAATTTTTATTTTTTTTCCTCTGTAAAGAATAAAATTGAAAAGACAAATTCTGTGAATTTCTCTAGAAAGAAGAGAAATTTGCCAACAATGTCCCAAGAGCAGGATTTCATCTTAGCTGTGAAATTAGTACCAGTATCACAGTGAAAGAACGGTCTTTGAGAGAAGATGTCTTACACTTTCATTTTGGGAATGTATTGGGAATATAACATGATCATGAACATGAGAACTGCCAGATTACCATACAAGTTATCAAATAGTAATTCAGAAACACTATTCAACGACCATGTAACTAAGTAAATGCTAGAATGCCATATATTCTCCACTGTAAATTCTTCAAATGCCTCTTTTTTTTGGTAAAAAAAAATCTAAAGCAAATTCTATTCATTAAAGATGGAGTTAAGAAAAAAATACAAGCAATTTTCTCTGTCTGAAACTATTCCACACTTAACATACATATATATATATCCACGAAGATAAGAAATATCTTACATAAGTGTAATGTACCGTCTGCCTAAGGAAGTGGTGTAAATCAAGTGAGATAGACTGCACAACAGTTAACTGAAGAGAAACAATTCATTGAAGTACACGTTACCTTTTTGTAGATGAATGGAAGAAGCCTCACTAACTCCCTCTTGTGAATAGAATCAGGCTAATGCCACACATTCACCGTTTTCTACACTAGGAACATTATCTAGCTCTTAAGAAAATCACCTTCTATTTACTTCAAAAAGTTTAATAATTATATGTATCATTAAACTTTTTTTCTTTCTAAAGTCCCTCTTCGGGTCTTTTCACATCCTTCTGCTATCAAAGCAGATTGAAAAGAAGACACCCTGGTTATGCATGATGTTTAAAATTGTAGTAACTTAGTTCATTTAAGATTGCATTTCTAATTGTAATTAATACTAATACTTGAATAAAATACGATCTGTGCAGAAATCAAATTGTATTGAAAAAAAATCAAAGTATTTATTGTTTTAAAAATAATTATTTTCTCAGAGACAATTATGTTACAATATGAAGGACACAGGATTCTGGACAGCATAGCAAGTAAACAAACTATCCTAGGTTTTTTTAGCTGTCAAATTATGATTTTTGTTTTGGACTGAACCATTCTTACTTGAGCTCCTAAATTATTCTCCAGCCTTTCCACACTGTTTCTAATATAACACGGATGTCAAACTCTCTGCATCATGTGATGATGCAACTGGCCCGCGGGCCAGTTGTTTGACACCCCTGTAATATAGGTCTATTTCACGGTGCAGACTGCTCACTGATGAGTTTCAATTTTGGAAAAAAAAGAAGTTTGGTTTCATAATTATCTGACAGGGCTAAATATATTCCGTTCTGAAATAAATCCAGACTGGATCTGGATGTATAATTCTACCTAGCTGAAATTTTCAGTCAATAACTTTAAGTATAATATATAAATTGTGTTTAATAGTGTAGTTGACTCACATGAAATAACTTCCTGTATTTTTTTTCTTCACAGTCCAGAAATATTAGATTTCCAACCATGAAACAAGAAGATTCAAATTATGTATTTGAATTTTTTTTTAATGACGTTGGATCTTAAGTTCCACAGAATATTACCTGGAAAAGGGAAGATAAACAAATATATTCCTACAATGATACCTTACCCAAAATGACATTTTTTACAATGTTTGGATTTTACATGTTACTGATAAGGTGTACCACCAGATATTGTAGTATACCTTAATAGTAGCTTGTGTAAAATCCAATATTTTGTGAGACATATGGTATATTTTTTTTTTCTTTAATTTTCTATCACAAATAGGATTTAAGGAAAATTTGAATCTTGGGGGGGAAAAAAACACTGAAGAAAGGATGCAGAATCTAGCTTGAGAAATATATTTAGTTGGTATCAGTGGCTAAAGCACAGAACTAGGAAATTCAACCCTTTCCTTGGGGACCCTGGATACCAGTAGGGCATCCTACTGCAAAAGCATGGTTGTTGTTCAACCAATGCAGCGGTAAAAAAAAAATTGATGTAGCAGAAAAAAGAGGACAAAAAGTGGCAATGAGAGCTGCATGAAGAAAGGAGTGTGAACACACAGATACACACATACCAAATTAAACCACGAAAAGTAAATGAGAGAGAACTTCTCCTTGCTATTTGCACCCTGAGAAAACACCCTCACAAACATATACCTTGGGTTGGGATCACCCTCCAACAAGTTTTTTGGAAAGCTCCCGGTTGCAAGCTGGGCTGGTACACGCTTGCCTTGCAAACTTGGAGACTTGCACGAAGGGAGCACGAGCCCAGCTGGGGTGCTGAGGAGGAAAGGAGGAAAGAGAGAAAGAAGAGGAGGAGGAAGAAAAAGGAGAGGAAGCAGAAAGAGGAGGAGGAGGCAGAAGAAGAGAGAGCACAAGAAGCAGGAGGAGGAAGTGGAGGAAGGACACTGAGCTTATATGTTGCAAGTCAGTTGCAAGTGTAGCCGCTCGAGAACCTTTGCACTGAGCAAGCTGGCTTCTGCCCCACCACTCTCCCACTCCTACCCAGACCCCTGCAGATTTTCTGCATGCCTCCAGTTGCGCAGCCCAGTTCCTAACTGGCCACGGACCGGTATCGGTCTGTGGCCCAGGGGTTGTGGACTCCTGTGTTAGAACAGAGGTTCCCAGACTTTTTGGCACAGGGGATTGGTTTCATGGAAGACAAATAAATATACTACAAAAAGAAGCACCAGTCTTCAAACTCAGCATATTTCCCAATAATGCTACCAAATATTACATGGATTGCATCAAAATCCTTAGGAAAAATGTCGTGAGTGGCTGCAGTCCAGAGCTTTGTATATGAGACATGTTCCAAGAAAAAAAAAAGTAAATTTCATGAGAGACTAGAGATTTGAAGAGTGCACCTTGCTACTTTTTCTTCTGGTAAATGCATTTTCTGGTAGGTCACATTTATGTACTTCTGTTTGTTAAAATGGAATTGAAAAAAACAAAAATACATCACAAAACTGAGTGATATAGTTTGATGAACTTTCAAAATTTTTATATCTCCCACAAATGAAATCAGATATCCATCTATTCAGATACTTTCTTTGAGGAGGCCATATTTGAAATAGAATTTTGATGAATCAGTTTTAATCCTAAATCTGTTGATCTTAATTTAAATTATTATTTTGAGTGTTATTTCAAGTTTCTTTTTCATTCTTCTTTCACAGAATTGTGCAATTATTCGCAGGCTTATTCCTTCCCTCGTCTGAAGATTATCTGTAAGGTCCTTCGTGCCCATGAAGAAGAATGACATGGTTGATATAGGAACTGGAACCCAAATCTTGGGAACAGCAACTGAAAAAAACTTGAGAAAGGGCACAGATGGGAGATACGATAACATTTTTCTACACACACCCCCAATGGAATGTCACACAAGATCTGTTATCCATCATTAAGAAGTAACCATCATGAAAAATGTACGTCCAAGCAGCCTGCAGGATTCAAGCTCAATTTAAATTGATTTTTTTTTAAAAAATAATCCCTCATATTTTGGGCCAGCTCCATTTCTTCTCTGCCGCTTGCAGCAGAGCCACCTTCTGCTAGCAGCGCGATGCCCATGGCACCTGCTCCCTTCCCACCCCCCTTGCCTTTCCCTTGCTTCCCCTCGCCAGGGTGCCGCTTCTTCAGTAGGGACTCTCTTTGTGTCTCTCTCTCTCTCAAGGGCAGAAAGAAGAGAGGGAGAGGGAGGGAGGGAGGGAGAGAGAGAGAGAGAGAGAAAGAGAGAGAGAGAGAAGGGAAGCACAAGTGTCTCTCTCTGTTTCTCTCTGTCTCTGTCCCTCTCTCTGTCTCTGTCTCTGTCTCTGTCTCTCTCTCTCTCTCTCTCTCTCTCTCTCTCTCTCTCACACACACACACACATAAACACACTGAGTGGAGGAAGAGAACTGGCAGACCAAGGGCAGAAGAAAAGGGAGGGAGAGAGAGAGGGAAAGAGAGAAGAAAGGAAGGGAGGGAGAGAGAGGGAGAGAGAGAGAGAGAGAGGAGAGGGAGAGAGAGAGAGAGGGAGGAATGGAGAAAGAGAGGGAGGGAGGGAGGGAGAAAGAGAGAAAAAATATATATGAATATATGTGTTTGTCCTTACTGGACTTTTAGTAAAGAACATTTAATAAATATTTTGATTTTTTTTAAATTAAGAGATGAGGTATGGGGATAATTATGCTGTATTTAAAGATGGTAGATAAGCTACTAAAATTGTTTTTACCTGTTGGGATGAATGAGAAAGATTTTTTCCCCTCTTTCTCCTGTCCTTTTCTTCCTCCACCCCCTGCAATTTTTTTCTTTTTTCTTTTTCTATTTGTAGTTTTTATAGTTTGTACTGGCTTTTTATTTCATAAATATGAGAAGGACTTAAATAGACATTTGTAGTAATATGTCCTTAGTCATTGCAGGGTGCAAAAAGATGGCTACCCACATGTAGCAGTTTATTGTTTTTATAGCAGATCACAAGAAGCAAAAGTTTCTACATGGCAATAGCATTTCATTGGTTAAACTCCCAACCAATCCTCAAGAATATAGCAGCCAGAGGCCAGAAACAGGGAATAGTTGGCAATCTCATCTTGTTGTCGGCAAGCTCACTGTTATCAAACAGGCAAGGTCACACAGACCTGCACACTTTCACATCGCCATGGTGATGTGAAGGAATGAGATAGATACAGAGAGGAGGGGTACACAGGCTTTGGAGGGGCAGTGTTCTGCACATGACCTTTGCCTGTCTCTCACCTCTACAGACATTGAGTATTTTATTTGAAAGTAAACTTCAACCCAGCGTCTTTTTTTGGGAGTTCAAAATGTTTTGTTGCATGCAGAAATAAAAATTTGTTTTCTTTGTACCTGTTCATTGATTTCATAAATGCAACACACTATAGTTTTTTTTTTATACATAACACAAAGGTAAAAAACAATATATGCAGTGTTATCTTCATTTTAGATGTCAAAAGGGTTTTGTGGTTCCCAGTGTTTTCTTTTCTGTGGGAAACAGGTCCAAATGGCTCTTTGAGTGTTTAAGGTTGCAACCCTCTGCAATGTGCAGAAAAACTAATTAATCAATCCAGGAGGAGTGGTTAACTAGCATCTTCTTAAAATCAATCAGAGATGAAGTATCCATATCCTGACTAAACATGTTATTCTACTGTCATATTGATCTTATTATTAGCACATTTCCTCTTACATTTAAATGAAACTTGAGTAACTGTAACTTATGCCCATTGTATCTTGGTTTGCATATTTAACTGAAAACTTATCAGTGGCTGAGATAAAATTTAGAAAGTCAGATTACTGAATTGATGAACCAAGGCAAAAAGAAAAGAATTTAAAAATCAAAACCAAACACCAATGTTATGAGAAATCTAAAGAATGGACACTTTCACTATATTGTCACATTGCTACTTAAGCTGGATTCAAAACAGAACATCTGGAGGGCAAAAAACAGAAGTGGTTAATCCGTCTAGTTTGCTAGCTTTATTTAGAACTTTTCTTTGCAGGTTCTCTGTACTTTTTGAACAAGTTGGTTTATTTCTCCTTTTACAATTTGTCGTATAATTGAAATAGAGTTGGATCTTCCTTCTTTGCCAGAAGAAATCTTCCTTTCTCATCAAAGTTGGACAATTCATAAGAATAATTATATAGTGTTTTTAATTTTTTAAAATTTCTGCTAGCTCATCTTTTTTTCTTTCCCTGTTTTCCCCATTTTATGAAAATATATATAGTAATTTCAAAATATTTTATAGTCTGATTACTTAATACAGTCATGTTTGTAAACAAATGCTGCAAAATATAGTTGTTGCTGTCCAATACTTGTAGCATTCAAGTGATCTGAAAAGCTCAGGGTTGAAGTTTCAGAATTTCTGAAAGAGAGAGGTAATAATAATAATCAGAACAGAGCTGGAAGGGACCTTGGAGGTCTTCTAATCCATCCCCCTGCTCAAGCAGGACACCCTATACCATTTCAGACAGGTCACTGTCCAGTCTTTTCTTAAAAACCTCCAGAGATGAAGCACCTACAACTTCCTAGATCTGTTTTGCAAACTAGAGTTTAATATAATTAAGTTGAACCAGCATGATGGGACAGATTTATTTATGGAACTCATGACAGATAAGGCGTGATGGCAGTGCCATTGCTTTTCAGGCCTAGCAGTCAGAATACTAGTGGGCTTCTTTGTGCAGTTGGTTGGTTACCCTGAGAATATACTGCTAAACTAGATACGTCAGGGATCTAATTCAACAGGACACTACTTACCTTCCTTCTAGAAATATTTAAATAGAGGCTGGACGACCATTTGTTGGTGATGCTATAATGTTGGAGTCTTACATTTGGTAGGAATTTAGATTGAATAATTTCCAAGACCTTTTCCAACTCTAACTTTCTTTGATTCTGTCAAACATATCCTATTGGATTATGTGTTGTACAATCTGAATGTACCCTGTCTTTTCCTTTTCAATGCCTAATCTCTTGTTCTGGTGGTAAAAGTGGATGGTGGAAATACAGTATGACAGGGTACCAAATTTTTCAGTTGTTGAGAATAGTACCAAGAACTGTGGGGTACTGAGCCCTTACAGCTTTATTTTGTAGAAATTCTTCCTATTCTTCCACTTATGAGAAGTACTCAGAATGAGTAGTTCACAGGCTGAGATTCCAATATAAAACCTTTCTCCCTATGAATAATATGTTGTGAAAGAAGGATATTACTGCTTAAACAATAAATAGTAAAAAATAAGGATGTAAACAATATAGAATTTATTGGTTACTGATTTTACTTGTTTGCTATTCATCATAAAGAGAAATTCTAAACTGATACTAAAGAATCTTACTTTATAAATTTATAAGGAAAATACTATAACTATGGTACACAAAAGTTTCAGTACTGAGAAAGCAAAGTCTATCGATGGTTTGGGTAAAGTAGTTCAGTATTTAATATGTCTCAATATTCAATACTATTTAACTATTAACAATCAAATAAGGAGAGATACATCTTGGTCACTGGTATTCTGGGTATGATTGCTGGTCATAACACAATCTGGAATAGCAGTAGGCACTCCACTGCAATATTTGCCACAAGACCCACAGGCACATGTGAATGAAATGCATCTGAGAACCAAGTAGGAAAGGTGCTTTCTGAATTTTTCACCAGCAAAAACATAGATGATTGGATTAAGACAGCAGTGGCTAAAAGCTACTGACTCAGACACTAGTATTGTGTAATCCAGAAACCTTAAGGAACTGCAGTCTTTGAAGACTTCAAAGTACTGTAGCACTTGCAGAAAAAGTGAAAGGTGATATGGAGTCCAGAAAAGAAAAAATACAATTACGACAAGTAAAATCACTTTCATAGCTTTTTGTTTGCACTGGTTTTTGCAAGACATCAATGTTCTGATGATCTGCAGATAGCAGTAGCTTATGATGCACACTGGGAGAAGAAATCCAATGATGTTTTTTTCCAAATAGCTGAAAACAGGCCATATTATTTTAAGATGTTCTGGATACGATGAAGTACATTGTTTGTCTGACTTTTGGATGAATATAAAGTGGGGGCTTGCAAAGAAAATCGCTAGGGCCCATATTGATATACTAGTAAGATATCCATAGGTGACTGTCCTGGATTTCATAGCACATGTTGCCCGAACAATAGCTAGGTATCTGTCAATGCTTATGATAGTGATGAAGAACATGCCACCAAAGAGGCCCACAGAATAGAAAGAAGAAACTATTTGGCATGTAAAGTTTCCAAGTGTCCAATCATGTATAATATAAAAAGCCCAAAAAGGAAGAGAAATCACAAAAAGAAGATCGGAGATGGCCAGATTAAAAAAAAATATATCAGTGATGCTCTTTTGGTTCCTGGCTTTCAGAATGGTAAGAACTACTAAGAAATTTCCTATCAGCCCAATGGTGAACACCAGGCCATACAACTTAGGCAGGAAGATTTTTCCAAGCATCAGGATGTCCGTTTTGTTACATAGAATGGCTTCTTCTTCTTCTTCATATGAAAACGAAGATGTTATTTCAATATCTTCTTCAGTCATGGCGAATATATGCTTAAAATATAAATGGAAAACATTTAGAAATATACCCAGCACTACTAGGAATTCTATATTATAGAATCTTTCTGTAATATAGGCAAACATTACCAAGTTACTAAGTCAAACTTAATTTTACTAGTTAAATATTGGTTCTGGGGGGAAATTTGAAGGGGCTTATTTTTGAGTAAAACATAGAGGAAAACATTGTAAATCAAACAGATTTTAGTAGGATTTTGTTACACTTAAGTTTTGAGTATTGTATTTTATGTTTTTATTCTGGACAATCTCTGAATGGCCAAGAATTGTATTTAAATTGTTACTATGCACAGGGATTGTAGTGAGCAGAATCACAATATGAAATGAAAAAGGACATGCCACATATATTTTTTATTGGCAGGAACTGTTGATTAAAAACCACAATAATATTTAGATATGTCAGATGGGTTCTATTACAGTAGATCATGGGAAACTGCTAATGATTTGGGATGACTGTGGTTGAGGATTGAGGCATAAAAAGAATTGGGGACTATGAACAGCCAGAGGGGCATGACTTCTGTTTTAGCTATTTCCAATAGCTTATATTGTGACTGCTCTTTTTTAGCTTCATAAATGTTCAAAGTCTTATAATGTGAAAATAAAAGACAATATAATACTGTATTGCAACATTAGAAATATTTAGTTAACCTTGTCTACTCTTTATAAATGCAGCAGAATTGGATTGTTAGTATTGGATAGGAGACTACAGTAGCAGTGAATCTCAAAGCTGTTGTATGAACTTGGAAGGTAGAAACAACATCCTGGAAAAAAAGCAGTGTAAATGATTTTTGAATTGTCGCCAACTAAATTTTAAAAAATGACCTATATACATACGCATATGCATACGCTTACGCGTACACATACATACATACATATATATGAACACTAGTGAAGATGCAAATTATATATAGACACATACATTTAAGCATGGATTATGAATAGTAGGATATTCAAGTTATGCAGTAATTACCATAAAATACATTTTCTGTTTCATCCCCTAAAGCTGCAACGGGCAAAGTATGGAGCTTTGAAAATTGTTGTTTCTTCAGCCTTAGTCAACAATCTCAGGTAATGGGCTACTAGGATATATATATATATATATATATATATATATATATATATATATATATATATATATATGTGTGTGTGTGTGTGGTGTGTGTGTGTGTGTGTGTGTGTGTGTGTGTGTGTATGTGTGTGTGTGTGTGTGTTTTCTGAGGTTTTCGCGGGTGTTTGTATGTAGGTCTTTGGTTGTTCGGGTTTTCTCCCGCGTAAAATTGGAAGTGTCTTGGCGACGTTTCGACGAAGTCCCATTCGTCATCTTCAGGCTGGTGTTTTCAGCTTCGTGCTTCGAGCAGCAATGTGTGGTCTTAGCTGTTTCTTCCTTTTAACTGCCAGTGGGGGTATGAACTGATTGGGTGGGAGCTTGGCTGTGTTCTGATTGGGTGGAGGTGTGTTCTGATTGGTTAGGGGCTTGGCTGTGCTCTGATTGGCTGGGGGGTTGGCTGTGCTCTGATTGGCTGGGGGGTTGGCTGTGCTCTGATTGGCTGGGGGAGTGTTCTGTTTGGTTGTGCTCAGGTTAGTCTGAGTTGCAGAGGGGTTTAAGATTTTGGGCTGCCTTGCTATTTTTTGGCTTCGCGTTCGTGGTCGTGCCTCCTCTTCATGGAGGGTGTCAGTTTGCTTCATGTATGGATTGGAGGGGTTTAAAGTGGCTAATGATGCAGCTGTGGTCTGGCTTCTGGTTTGTGGTCGTGCCTCATCATCGGTGTGGCTTTGGGTTTGTTTTTTGCGTGGATGTGTGGTGGTGACATCCTGTGTGGTTTTTGTGAGTGTGGGTCTGGTATCATTTTTTGTGTTAGGGAGTCGTTTGTCAATAAGGGCGGGTTTCCAAATGGCTGGTAGGCGGGAGGTATCATCTCTCTTGTTCATGCTGTGTGGGCGTTTTTCTATCTCGATGGCTTCTTTGATTATTCTGTTATTAAAATGTTCACTTTTGGCAATGGTTCTGGTATTTTTAAAGTCAATTTCATGTCCTGTGGCTTTGAGGTGTTGGATCAGGGAAGATGTCGTCTACGTATCTGAGAAAAATCGGATCACAAACCCAAACTCTGGCTCAGATACGTAGACGAAACCTTCATAATCTGGCCACATGGGAAGGAAAAACTGGACAACTTCCTCACACACCTCAACAGCCTACACCCCAAAATACAGTTCACCATGGAAACAGAAGCTAACAACCAACTTCCCTTCCTCGATGTCTTAGTCTACAAGAAATCCAATGGCTCCCTAGGACACACCATCTACCAGAAGAAAACACACACAAACCGCTATCTGCACGCTCTCTCACACCACCACCCAGCACAGATCAACTCTGTAGCCAAGACACTCATCTCCAGAACAAAACGCTTAGCTGACGAACAACACCTAAAACCCGAACTACACACTCTCACCAATGTACTAACATCCAATGGATTCCATAGAAATAAGATTACAAACCTAATCCAAAAAGAAACCCCCACTAAAATCCAAGACAAAGAACAAGAAAACGGCAAAGCCCTCCTCCCATACATAAAAGGCACCACAGACAGAATCAGTAAGATCCTCCATAAACACAACATCAAAACAGCATTCTGCACAAACAGAAAAATATCCACCATCCTTAGAAACCCCAAAGATAAAATTGAATTAGAAAATCAAGGAGTATACGAAATCCCATGCACCACTTGTCCCACCACATACATCGGACAAACCAACAGAAGAATAAGTGCACGCATTGAAGAACATAAGAACTCAGTCAAAAAAGAGGAACCAACATCTTCCCTGGTCCAACACCTTAAAGCCACAGGACATGAAATTGACTTTAAAAATACCAGAACCATTGCCAAAAGTGAACATTTTAATAACAGAATAATCAGAGAAGCCATCGAGATAGAAAAACGCCCACACAGCATGAACAAGCGAGATGATACCTCCCGCCTACCAGCCATTTGGAAACCCGCCCTTATTGACAAACGACTCCCTAACACAAAAAATGATACCAGACCCACACTCACAAAAACCACACAGGATGTCACCACCACACATCCACGCAAAAAACAAACCCAAAGCCACACCGATGAGAGGCACGACCACAAACCAGAAGCCAGACCACAGCTGCATCATTAGCCACTTTAAACCCCTCCAATCCATACATGAAGCAAACTGACACCCTCCATGAAGAGGAGGCACGACCACGAACGCGAAGCCAAAAAATAGCAAGGCAGCCCAAAATCTCAAACCCCTCTGCAACTCAGACTAACCTGAGCACAACCAAACAGAACACTCCCCCAGCCAATCAGAGCACAGCCAAGCCCCTAACCATTCAGAACACACCTCCACCCAATCAGAACACAGCCAAGCTCCCACCCAATCAGTTCATACCCCCACTGGCAGTTAAAAGGAAGAAACAGCTAAGACCACACATTGCTGCTCAAAGCACGAAGCTGAAAACACCAGCCTGAAGATGACGAATGGGACTTCGGCGAAACGTCGCCAAGACACTTCCAATTTTACGCGGGAGAAAACCCGAACAACCAAAGACCTACATACAAATACCTGCGAAAACCTCAGAAAACAAATATACATACATACATACATACATACACACACACACATACACAAACACACACACACACACACACACACACACACACACACATATATACATGTAGGTCTTTGGTTATTCGGCTTTTCTCCCGCATAAAACTGGAAGTGTCTTGGCGACATTTCGACGAAGTCCCATTCGTCATCTTCAGGCCAAGACACTTGGCGAAACGTCGCCAAGACACTTCCAATTTTACGCGGGAGAAAACCCGAAAAACCAAAGACCTACATACAAACACCCGCGAAAACCTCAGAAAACACACACACACACACACACACACACACACACACGAAAGAGACAAGAGAAAAGAAAAAAGAAAAAAGAAATCTGAATTTGTAATGTATCACAGTTGCGACTCGAACCTGCTTAATGCCCCTAGTTGGGGGGCTGCAAGGCAAAAAAGATTATAAAAAAGTAGAACTGCAGTATAGCAGTCAAAATGCCAAGGTGCAATCAATCAGACCGATCTGTCTGAAAAACTTTCTGTATATATATACCTGGCCTGTCCCCAAATATCCTGCTTCTTCAGATGGAGCAGCCAGAAGCACCTTATTAGAATGCATAACATCTAAGGTGAGGTTCGCTATATGATGCTTAAAGCAAAATATTTCACAATGCCACTCTCCCACACCCAGCAGTAGAAATACAACATTAATAAACTTTAGAAGGTAAATATGCAGAGTTAAATGTAATTACAATTAGTTTCACAGATTTACCCATGCACTTTTCTTGGCTACAGTAAATATGTAATTAGCCATTGATTGCTTCCAATATGTTTTTCTATTTCTCAATTCCCAAAGCCCTGGAATTCTCTGGTGTTTTCAGATCCAAATACAGACCAGGTTCAACTCTATGTAGCTTTTGTATCAGGAGATGCTGCTACTTGCTAAGATCAATGCTATTTGGTGCTTTTTATTAATACCCTCAAATCACCTCTAATCATAGTTAGGATCCTTGGAGTTTCCCAATAATTGTATTACAGTTGGTTGTGATACAGTTGTGTTACAGTTGTTGTTATTTCCCAACAAGTTGCCTTGTTTTCTTTGGGTAGGAAATTTATGAAAAACAAACAAACAAACAAACAAACAAACATAAAAATAGAAAGTCCTCACACTCTGAAGTAATAGTTATTCATCCATTCTCTGAGAAGGGTGACCATCACTAAAATAAAATATCAAAAAGTATGATTTTTTCCCCACCTTTCTTGTTTGTTTCAGCTAGACTGGGAAGTGCTAGAAGTGAATTCATCAGTTCTTGAGAAGAGTTCTGGTATCTAGTTTCAGGAGAAACACTATGAAAGCTAAAGGAACAGTTTGTAATATCAACACTCTTCCTGATTTTGCAACTAGTAACCAACTTCTGTATTTTTTCAAAATTCAAAACAACGAAGGTGTCTGCTGGTCAGGGGTCAGGGCAACTAAAATCAGAGATAGGCTGACAGTTTCTTAATAAAGGAATTATCTGCAACAAAGCAAAAGAGAAGATGGTGAGAAAAGTCTTCATGCAAGTTCTTGAAAAACAAGACATCCTGTTTCTCTTGGTGCTGTTCTTCTGGGGGGGGGGGGCAAGAGAGATCAATGCCCTTTGACGACTTAAATGATCCCTTGCTGGCATTTCTTATGCAGGATTAACTTGTAGCCCTTGTGGTGCCTGCCTTAGTTCTGTTAGCTCTATGGATGCAATCAGGAGTTAATGCTTCCTCAGAGTTTCTCTCCAAGTTATCTCCATGATTGCAATGTGATATGTTGTAATATGAGATTTATACTAAAGACTTATGTATGCTATTGAACTATTGATCAACCCAGTCATCACACTGCTTTTTAAATACCCAATTGTAAAATGAGAAAATCAATAAAATATTATAAAAAAATAAATATATAAAACCAAAATCATTAATTTAAAAAAAATTTTAAAAAACTATCAAAATAGCAAGAACAAAGAAATAGCAGATGAAAGAATGTAAAAGAGTCACTTCATTAATACAGCCATTCCTGAGGGCCTTAGAGCATAATGCCATTTTCTATGTATGACCAAATAATGACACATTCAATATGGGGAGCTGAGATTGGGTTTATACAGGGAAATATGTGTATTTAAATGAAATAAAATGTTATGCTCCTTTTTGCTTCTATATTTGAATATATTCATTCTAAACCTGAATAAAAAGCTAGTGCTTCAACAGCCTGATGGAGATTAGATGAAGAAGGATGGGGAAAAATACAGAATAATTATAGAGAATTTAAGAAAAGGAAGTCCACATTTCCCACAAACAGAGACAAAGGCAGAAAGGACAGTAGTTCCAGTTTTGGACCTTCATGCTAACCATTCAAGCAATATGATCATGCTTCACTAGAAACCACAAAATAGGAAGCAAACAAAGGCACAAGTATGAAGAAATTGTGAAGGGAAAGTGCTCTACTTGCTTCTCCCAGCATCTTAACACATTAGATAGTAAATAGTAAGTAGAACACTTATATTTTACCTTTATTTTGTAACACTAGTGAACAGCAGAAAAAGAAATATTAGTTCATACTGGATATAATTTGGAAACAATTTTGCATTAATGAAATAATATGATTTATTTTCTGTTTATCACCCAAAATACTGCTTCAGTAAAAATATCTATTTTGCTTTCTGTCTCTGCTTTTCAGAAACTGCTTTCAGCTTCAGTGAAATAAAAAACATTTCACTGCATTTACAATGTATAGAAATTAACAATACTTAGAGACAATAGGCCACTCATTATACTTTAGTGATATCTTTGACAAATATTGAAATTTAACTTGTTGTGCATGCTGTCCAATATGAATCCATATTTTAAAATTTGGGCAGGAAGTTATACCATCTTTCCAAAGTTGATAAAATGAGGGCCCAAATTGTTGGGGGCAATATGCTGACTCTCTAAACTGCTTAGAGACGGCTGTAAAGCATTGTGAAGTGCTATAGAAGTCTAAGTATAATTGCTATTATTAAAAACTTTAACAAGTATTTTGAAAAGCTGAAAATTGTTAAAACTATCATTCTTCTTCTCTAAATATTGTTATTAAGGATATTATACTATATACAAGCAATGTACAAAACCAGTTGCTTATTTGTATTCAATTTTTAATAGCCAATTAATCAATTAAAGTATGATTTATTTACAGCAGAGGTCCCCAAGGTTTTTCCATGGACCAAAGAATGCGTGGTTTTGAGTGCTGCCTGCATCCCATGGATGGGGCTTTGCTTTTTTGTGAAGACCGGTTGCTCGCATGCCATCGTCCGGTACTGGTCCACAAACCACGGGTTGTTGACCCCTGATCTACAGTGTCTACTGAATAGATCACAGTTATGGGACATTAATATTTTGGAGGATACCTCAGGGGAAAAACTGGGGGGGGACCTACTTTTCATTTTTGAGATGTTATATAATTTCCAGTCTTACCTTAAACAATTCTGTCTTGCTCTGAAAACACAGACTTTTCAAATATGGTTTGGATGAGTCTTACATCTACTTTAGTTTACAGTCAGCATTTATATAAATACCCTATTTCTCAGTTGCAAAATCAGCAGAGATAATAAATTGCTTCCCTAAAAGAAGTTGCATACATTATAACCACAAGCATGGAAATGTGAACTATTGCATGCTTTTGATGTGGTATGGTATTTACTTAAATCTCATGAAAGCCTGTGTTTGTCTTTTTTTATCTTTTTTAAATTTTGGATTTAAAATTACACACACACACACACACACACACACATTCTTGAAAAATATTTCTCTATAATTCATCTCAGATTTTACTTCAAATATTTTGATAGCTCAACAAACTAATTTATATCCGGAGTGGATTATCAATCTATGCTGCCGTTGTGGACACAGCCTGGTATCTTAGCAAATGTAGAACAGGCAGTGACAGAGACAATCCTGAAACAGAATTACAAAATTAGTTCAAAATTAGTAGTGTGAACAGACAGATTGTTCCATGCTTGATTAAAGACTGATACTCTCATTTGACTGTGAATATATTCAGCCATTAAATCATGCTTTTTGCCCTGTTTCTAGATCAAAGAGGTCTGTGACTCCCATCGTTAGAGAAACTCTTTGGAACAAAGCATCTACAATTGACAGATACTTACCATATTAAACGCTCCACAGGAATATCAGTTTTATATCAGGCAATTTTCAAATATAATAGATCTTGGAAGATAATAGATCTTAGAAGAGCCATGAGATGCTAATATCTTTTTGTAGGAAACACAATTTATTAATTAACTATGAGAAAACATAGGTAATGCATTTGCAAGGGCTGCTAAGAATTATGTTGGAACATTGAAAGACCCAAATAAAAAGAATTCCTTGTTCTAAGTACTTGGGTTTCATGGTACATTATTTAGGGAACCAATACATTCATTTCCTTTTTTGGTAATAATATAATTTATTTCTTGCTGTACTCTTTTTCATTGTTGATTTTATTGTTCTATTATCTTTTTTCTGTTCTGTTCACTCTCTTTTCATTTCTTCCTTTTTATTGTTATAATCTGACTAGAATGGCCTCATGGCAAGATACAGCAAGTAAATTTAACAAATAAATAAATATAATTTCTCTGAATGCTCACAGGAATTCAGCAGCAATTTTTTCTTTTTCTCTGAAGGCTTTCTCTCTATGTTCTGCTACTTTGAAATTCACTGAAGCCAAGATGCTGGCACAGCAAAGTAGAATAAGCACAATTTGAGGCCTTTTTACTATACATGTAAGGTGACCAACTATCCTCCTTTAGGGAGGACAGTCCTCCTTTTGTGAGTTCTGTCCTCCCTTGAAAAGTGTCCTCCTACATGTCCTCCTTTTCGATATTTGAAGACTAATCTTCAGGGCTTTTTTTTCTCATAGAACGCTCAGAATGGCATTCCAGCACCTTTTTTTGATGGTTTTTTTTTTCAATTTTTGCATGAGCTGTGCTACTCCCCTTTCGAAAGCCAATAGGAATTTCTGCTGAGCGCGTCAAAACACCCGGCCAGCAACCTTTGCACATGTAAGTTGTCTGCAGCGAAGGCAAATTGGCAGGAACTTTGCACCCCTCCCTGCTACCCAACTACACCATCTCCTAGTTAGTCCCAAAGACACCTGGAGGAGACTGGAGCGGTGACGCCACGGTAACTTTCTCTTGATCTTCGGCCCTGCTAGGGCAATAATGGCTGCGGTCGCAAGAGGCAGGGGTGGCAGGGCTGCTGTGGGCAGGGGTGTGAGGGGCGGCAGTGGCCGGCTGCCCCCTGTGCTGTGGGAGCTGCGGGGCCTGCTCTACACAGGGCTGTGCAGGATGGGCGGTGGTGCTGGTGGGGCGGCTGCAGGCGAGGTGTGTTGACGGCGGGCTACCCCCCGGGGCCGGAGCCAGCGCAGCTGGTGCTTTGGGAGCTGCGGGTCAGCAGTGCTGGCAGGGCAGCTGCAGGCGGGGGCGTGGCATGTAAGCATAATTACAATATAAACTGTTATTGTTACAAATGTTTTTTATTATGCATTTATCATATTATAGTGTATTCTGTATTATTGCTGCAATGAATAAAATATTTTCTTTTATTTACAATATTTTTTTCTTCAATTTATTTGTGTCCTTTTCATTGTAAAAAAGTTGGTCACCTTAATACATGCCATATTCTACTTGATATTATATACTGCATTTTCTTTTATTTTCTTTTATGTAGTAACTTTTAGAAAACGTTCATTGGATTGATAAGTTGAATTTTAACTTTATGGTGCTTCAATTATTTAAAGGGTTTAAAACATGGGTTTTCAAACTTGGCTCTTTTATGACTTGTGGACTTCAACTCCCAGAATTCCTCAGCCAGCGAGGGCCAGGTTTGAAGAACCCTGGTTTAAAATGATGAACTCTAGTGCTAGAGTACACTAGAAATTTAACAATTATTTGCTAAGTCATTGAGAAATAAATCAGCAGCAGGTACAAAGCTTGAATTACTGATGTTTTGTGTTGCCAATGATGGGAGCTGCAAAATCTTTGTTCTGACAGATTGCAAGCAGTGGTGGGATTCAGTCGGGTTGCACCACTTCGGTAGAACTGGTAACTAATTTTTTGTTGCCCAGGCCCAGAATGGACTTCCAGAAGCAGCATCCACACAGATAACCGATTGTTCACACATATTTGAATCCCACCACTGATTATAAGGGTAAGGAATGCCAAATCAAGGGACTAGAGGGACTTGGTCATGCATGGATATACCATGTGGCCCTTAGTAGCAGTAACTATTACAGTCTACATTCTTCTCCTTTTCTTCCAATTATCTGGACCTGTGTCACCACAAGCCAATTCCGAGAGCTTCAGAAAAATTCCCAATGCAAGCCATGAGCAAACTTGCAAAACAGTGCTGCTCACCCAACATCCAGAAGACTGTGGCTCACATCACTAGGACCACACTAAAGCAAAAAACAAAGAACAAAAAATGTACTGAACAGATGCTATCTACATCTTCCTTTTACTTCCTGTTCCTAAGATTATTACTATTTCCCAACTCTAAAAGTATTTCTGAGATAAGAAGTAAACTGCAATATTTCGTTCTTTATTCAGTTTGGTAACTGATTATAGATGTTAGACAACATTTACTTTTTGTTGATCTTGCCAGGTCAGGAAGATTAAGTTTTTGATATTGCTTCATAAAAATTAATGTTTTTTTTAGCTTCCTTTCTTTTTGGAGAATTCTTTTGTTCATAATGCAGTAATGATAGTGTTTTTTTATCTCCATCTACCTAATAAACAATGGTAATTTTACTAGCAATCCTAGTAGGGAATGGGGGAAATAAAATAACTATCAAAGGTAACAGCCTGACCTGTACTTAATCACTACTTAAGCATCTTAGTTACTATTATTGCCTGTCAAAAGAACAGAAGTGTACATCCTAAATTATGTAGAGACAATTGATTGCTACCAATGTCTAAGATATTCAGGCCTAATAAAAAATAACAAAACAAGACTGCACATGCTTCTGTAGAAATTTAACAAAATATATTTAAAATACAGGCTGTAAATATTGTCAGTTAATAGGGAACTTCAAGTGTCAGTGAGAATTCAGCCCAAATATCTTCTCTTTTTAGATTCAATTTTGTTATAGTGTACTCTTCTCTTTTTGGCTACTTTTGTGTTTAAGGATTCTGCATAAAGCAGATGTCTGTAACTAAATAATCACAAATGGCTCTGTAGTTCAAACAAATGTTGAATGCATTCCTATAATTCTACTTAAAGACTTACTTATAGTCTCTATCTATGAGTCAAACTGGTGACTTTATCAACCTGTCCGTAGAGTTTTCTTGGATACAAAATGGAAGTAGTTTATCATTGCTTTCTACTAGACATCCAGAAAGAAGGACAAATGAGGAAATGTGCAAGTTGGGTCCATTTTATACAGGTTTCATTATGTCTCATGAACATACATCAAGAGTAGTACATGCATAGAGATGGCATAATAATCTTTGATCATTTCAAGGAAATTTCAAGATTCGGGAGGTGTTGTTGATTCCCTCCACTTTCCCCCAAATCCAATTTAGGCTGGAGATTTGGTATAGTTTCTTTCCCATACATTAGAAACTCTGTACAATCACATATAAGCTCAGGAAACCTGGGCTTCTCACTATAATTGTTCTATATTTTATTAGGAAATTAGGAGATCTTTGGCAGTTGACCAATCTGTAATGTAAATGAATGAAGTTCTTATTTATATCTCTACAACATAATAAACAATCATTTTAAACATTAAAATATTAAACATAATTATTAGTATTGACCATGTATTTAAAGTATAATTATTTTATTATATTCTGTAATAGAAAACAATAACAGGAAATACTGCAGTCCCTGGTCTTGAATTCCACTCCTCTGGGTCTTGCATTCTCCTCCCCACCCTTCATCACAAATCGGTCACTTACCTTTTCAGTAGATCTTTGGGAAGCAGATACTCTGCCACACACCCTACACAGCCTACCCAACAGTTTTAGAAAGATGTACAGGTGGTATGTTGCTACCTCCGAAGCAGTGCCATTTTGAGAGTAGACACCATGAATTCCAGAGACTGTGTTTGAGAAGGAGAGCTGGCTGCTCCACTCCTCAACCTTCCTGGAAGCCATAAAGGGTCATCCTGGAAGCGAGTGCCATTTCAGAGCAGTTGCAATTCTTGGATTGGGATCGTTTGGTGAGGCGATCTCATAGACATCTCGCCTAATGACCCTCATGATTAGTAACTGCAATAGGTAGGGTCCATTACAATTTTTAGTCAAGGGATACTTGTATCTTCCTTTTCTATGATATTTTCAAATGAAGTCTTTTTTTTCCAGTAATCAGCCAAATGAGATTCAGTCCAATTCTAAGGGATGATGTGAAAATATTTTTAGGGGAAGTTTGAGCTAAAGGCCATTTTACTTTAGAATAGGCACAGAGGATCAAGATGTAGTGTACAGTATACGCATTGACAGCAATCTTTTGATTTACCCTTACCTTTTTGAGTGTCACTAAATTTGTATGAATGCTAACATCATGGTGAACAAGTATTTCAGTATATGTTTAATAGAAAATTTCACTAAACACGATCAACAATTAAACTGCCTGGAGAAGTTAATGTGTTATTATGGAATATCTATGAATGTGCCAATTGATCATGGAACAGAGCTGCCAGTAAAAATTGTAATGAGTTGTAAAAATAACTTGTGGATTAAGAAAAGGATGTTCAGTTTTATCAAGGCTCAGTTTGAGGGAGCCTGTGTATTAAAGGCCACAATTCTATGCATACAAAGCCAAGTAAGCAAATTTATTTGAACACAGTAGACTGTTGAAAGCAAACAAGAAAACATAAAGAGTAGAAAATTGCTCACTGTGGCTTCTAGCATAATTGTAGCATTGTAATAATTTCCTCTATTACATTGGTTCTCCTAAACCTATCAGTACAATAAAACATATTTTTACAAACATCACATCAGTGAAGCCAATGAAGTTATTTAACTTCACTATTTCCCTCATTTCATTTGAAGAATAAACTCATTCTAGATCATATAAGAAATTAGTTCCAATGTAACTGATTAAAAATGACTGTTAAGAAAAGAGGATTGTGGCCTAAAGAGCCTGGAACTGAGAGTCTAAAAAACAATTGAATGGCAGATTATTGGGGACTTCTCTATTGGGAACTTCCTCTCACAAGATACTTGTTCTGAGAAGAATCTTAAGATCCAAAGGCCAGGGCAGGCAACCATTGTAGGAGAAACTCAGCAGCAAAAAACTCTTCACCATTTATTTTAGACAGGTTAATATCAGCTTGTAACAAAAAAATTTCAGGCTCTTTTTATCATTTCCCATCGTTTTATAAGGCTAGCACTTAAGAAATTTTCAGGAAGCACTCTCGCACATCAATTGGTTTCTCTGCACAAAAGCCTTTCCTCACTATTTGTCAACTCTGATTGCATTCACAACAGATAAGCTCTAGTTTCTTTAACCACAATCAACTTAAAGTGACAGTTGGAAGGGGTGACCCAACATGATATAAGCCAAAAACATTTTCTCTTAATAAAAAATAATCAGTTGCTCATCTACATAAGCAATTTCCTCCCAGCGGTTAAGTTTCTGATCTATTCTATTCTATTCTATTCTATTCTATTCTATTCTATTCTATTCTATTTATTTATTTCTAAAATTTATATGCCGCCCAATCCTGAGGGACTCAGGGCGGCGTACAAAATTAAAACAATAAATATAACAATAAAACAGTAAAATAAGTACATTCATACAGCATGTCCAATCGTATCCCGTCCCCCCCTGGGGACATCAGCCCCAGGCCTGCCGGAACAGGAGTGTTTTAATGGCTTTCTTAAAGGCCGG